TTGTCACAAAGCTACATCAACATCATCTTCCGCTATCTCGATTCTCCACAACCGCTTGCATCGAAAAGGCTGCTTCATTCTACCAAAAACCCTTGAAGTTGATCGAATCTTTAAAATTATAGAGAGAGAGAGAGAGATAGAGAGAGAGAGAGAGAGAGAGAGGAACAGATGTAGCTTATCCAGCTTAAACTTGTTCTACCTGCAATCTGACCACAACGATAGTTGAACAGAACATAACAATTGGAAGAAAAAACTAAATACAAAAACACCAGATGAAGTAGACACAAACACATATCATGTAGCACATGAACTCAGTACAAATATCCCAAACATAAGGAACCAAGACTTTGAAGAATATGAATAATAAGATGACTCCAGATGATCAGCTAGCTAGTCCTTGGAATTTTCACAATGCTACTTTCAGATAGTATAGATTCTACTAAGCATAGCTATGTTGAAGCTGTGAATGGAGTTGATATTTCGAAGCTATGAATGAGAAGAAAAAAAACAAGTGCTTATTTCATAATTTGATATACATTAAAGTTAATAGATTAATGAACGTAAAATAAAGCACTTGATTATTTTTTTCTTTTCCATTCATAGCTTTCAAAATATCAACTCCCATTCACAGCTTCAACATAGCAGGCCTTGAGCGCTTCTTAGCTGCTTTAGAGTCTTTTAGCTTACTCCACCATTCTGCTACCATTCATTTGAAGTTTGGATTATTAAACACCATGAGAATGAGAGCATCCTAATATCTGTCTTAGTTCAATCTTTTTTGCCACGTTTCTAACTCATATATATATATATATATATATTATCTTCACTAGGTGTATCCATTCATAGTTGGCTCTTATTTCTCCTCCTGCTAAAAGCTTCAATAAATGAAAAGAATGCTTCTACAAACACACAAACACATTTCTCCAGGAGAGGTAAAATGAATTTACTGTTAATCATAAGTGGAAAAAATAAAAGCGTGTCTAAATCGGATGAGTTTTTAAGGTTTGAAGCACATAAGTCAGAATTAACCCTGATCGGTTCATCTTCTAACAATTGTTTTCTTATCATAATCCCAAATCTCTTTCTTCTCATATATTTTGAAAAATTCGATCTGATATCATGTTAATGTTGACTGTTATCAAACCATCGAGCTTAACTTAATTCTTAATTAGGCGGTCATCATGCAAACATATCTACAAACTTGCTAATGCTCATTTCATAATTTGATAAACATAAAAATAAGTTATTAGATTAATGCACATAAAATAGGGGTCTCTTCCCAGAGAAAATAAAATAAAATATTACAAACTTGCTAAAGTTTCAATGAAAGTGATAAACTTGGAAAGCAAGGAACAGATAAAGCGATAGTAAGTTAGTAACCAAAGTGATACAAACGATAAACTGTTGTTGAGCGTTAGGACGTGAAGAATTAGCTCCAAATTGCTATCATTATCTCCAAATTGAAAAAAAAAAAACTATATAGAAAGAAACAAGTTAGCTTGTTAAATTGTATAACTTGTTGAGTAATCAACTCAGTGTCTTCTGCATTCAACACCTTCTTTAGGTCAAATATTCTCTGTAGTTAATATATCAGGCAACATGAATTCTAGCAGTGCCTTTTCCCAACCACATCTTCTTATCTCCCTCTTACTCCTCCTCCAACTTCTTCCTCACTCGAACTTCTTCCTCCCCTTCTTCTATGTCCCCATCATCCAACAACAAGTCCTCCCCGCTCACTCTTCACCTCCCAATCAGATTCTCCTAAATCATCCATCTCTACACAATTGTAGCTGCTATTGCTCTTATCTCTTCCAATAGCCATCGACGGTGGCAAAGCGCTTAATCGAATTATTAGGCTATTGGCCACAAATTAAGCCCACTAATATTCGAATTAGTGGGTTAATTATCATCCACCTCAACACAATTATCGCTGCTATTGCTCTCATCTCTCCTGATCGACCGTAGCAGAAATCATTGTACTCTTGGGCCATAAAGTAACCCACTAAAAATCGAATTAGTGGGTTAATTACATCCACTTCAACACAATTGTCACTGCTATTGCTCTTATCTCTCCCAATCGCTGTCGGCGGTGGCAAACGCTCAATCAAATTATTGGGCTATTGGGCCCTAAATTAACCCACTAAAATTCGAATTAGCCCAATCAAAAATTTAAATCAAAGCAAACTTATAAATATTCTCTATATAAGTAATGGTTAGGTCGATTATTATATTTATCTAAAGGTATCCCACACAACCAAAATATATGGGTGTGATGAAGTACGTCACCAATGCATAGGGCTGCGTCGTGGCATCCTTCTCCCGAATCGTTCTCAATCTGAATGCAAAATCAGATCGCACTCGCTAATTGATGCGACAATTGATGCGACCAAGGTTTGTTTCTTTTGTTGTAATATTTCAGTGTTAAATAATGTACACTTTACGTTTAGGGTATAACAAACTAATGCAAAAGATGAGAAATTACAAAATCTAATTAGAAATTTAGGAACAAAATACAAGCAGATAGGTCCATTGAATCTTGCATGTCAAGATACTTTTCTTGGAGAGACACTTGTAAGTGAAATTGTTATTTTCTTTGATTTGATATTTTTGCTTTTCATAAGTAAAAAATGTTTTTGTGATTAGTGCGTCTATTGTGCATAACATTTCGTTTTGTTGAAAGTCAAACTGAATAAAGTCAAACTGAATAAAGTCATCATGGGAAACAATTTATCGATCAATGAAAAAGACCTGATGATTGTTGCATCTCACTTCATCTGTTTTTTATTGTTTTTTATTCTTGAGTTTTTTACTTTTGTTTGGAGAAGAAATCCATCTTCACTAATTGATAATAATAATAAAATTTTAATCATATTTAAAATATTGTTAGTGAGATATGTTTAAGTTTCCTTAAAACTGAAGTTGGAAGACATTCTTTCCCATTGGGTTCTGTTAAAAAATGATATCTCTCTTTGCATTGGGTTTCTTCGGTGGAAAAAAAGGGAAGCAAAAATCTTAATATCTTTCTTGAGTAAGACATATTCTGTACAGATCTATGGCTTCATAACTAAGGTTTTGGTAGAAAAAAATACATACGCAAGATAAATTTGGAGAAAATTAAAGATGTTAGAGATTGTCTTGGTTTTATATAGATACTTGCTTTTTTATAATTATACAGAAAATATCATTTATAGATTCATTTTCCGGGCTCAATTATGCCAAAACTTTCTTGTTTTTAGTTTGTCTTAATCGACTCTTAACTTTATTATTTTAAAATTATATTATATGTAAAGATGTGGTGACAATGTGAGATAAGCTAAATGTTCAGGCTAATTGTATTTATCATATCTTTTTCAAAAAAAAAAAAAATTGAAAAAGGAAACTTCACTAAAATATTGTGATCAGTTTATAGTTCTGATAGATTATAGCAGTGGCGGAACTAGGTAGTAGACCCCTGTAAATTTTTTAAAAAATTCAATTTTATTTATATTTTAAAAATGATATTTGGTTAAATGTTATAAAATTAGCTAATTGATCCATGTAAAAATTGTTTAAAATAATTAAATTGACCTTCCTAAAATTTGTGGCTAGCTCCGCCACTGGATTATAGTAGTAATAATTTCAATGTTTGGTAACAAACCCTTTTTAAAACTTAAAAGTATTCAAGAGCATTTCCTAACCAAAATTACCTCATGATGATCGTAATTACTACAGTACTTTACATATACGTATATATATATCATCTATCATCAAAATTTCGTTGGTTTGTTTTTCTCGAACTGATTCTGTTAGTAATTATGGTTCGTTACTCAGAGATATTGACATTCACCTTTAACAGGGACATTTGTGTGTGTGACGAAAATATTGTCATTTTATATTTGTCTTTATGATTTAGGTGTAACCGTATATATATACTTGAAATTCGCCAAGTTTTAGGTGGATTTACTTCCTATTGATTTTACTTATATGATATTTACACATGAAGTTTATATGAATTTGATAAAATCAAATAGAGTAATAGATTTTGGAATTTGTATGTTTCTTTCATTGAAAAAGTATATATGAAAGCTAGAGAATCTAATACTTAAATACAAACAGACTGAATTACAATAATTCCATGATTGTCTCGTGATATTGACAATTTCGAATGGAATAACTTTTATAAGGGTTATGCGCTCTGTTGTCAATTAATTAACAAGAAAAACGACACTGTTCAACCCAAAAAATTAATATTATTAGTTTTTAATTATTTAAACTAAGTTATTAGAATGTCAAAAATGTCGAAAACATTAGAATGCCGTATTTCAGATAGAAAGTTCTTACAGATCCAAACTAATCTAGAATGTGAAAAGTGATGGTTGATGATATGAAATGTTGCTCGAATGTTTAACAAATTTCTTTGTAAATTTTGTTAATCCCAAATTTTGTTCTGTTTTACAAATAGTATAATTTGAATTTGTAGGATGATGAGGATCAAAGTTGATCTAGAAGAATGAGCCACTTCTCGTGGACTATTCATCGCTCTATATTCATCTTTGTTCGAATGTGGAAACTGAACAGTAAAAATATGAAATGTTGTTTAAATGTTTGTTTTGCAAGATATTTGTTATCAGAGAAGAAAGACGATTGTAAGAATTTTTGTTTTAATTTAGTGTTATCTATTAGTAGATCTTCATATTACTCTTGAATATATCCTTATGTACAGCTAGCCGGACAGTTTATAAATATCTATGATATTTTTATAGGCTTAATAGAAATTTTATATTCTTTCAAATAGAGTCGCATCGTTTTACCACCAAAGTTTTACCAATAGTTTTACCACCATCACACTTTGTTCCTCATATATGTAAAATATAGTCAGAGTTGGCTATGGGTTTCCTTGGGCCTAAGAAGGGAATCAGATAGGCCCAATGTAAAAGCCCGTAGACGTAAACATTATTCGTCCGCGCGCTTAGCTTTTTAGCGATGCCGCTCTTTTGTAATAAGCACACGTTGTTCAGTCTCTCGCCTTTCTTTGAATCTTGACTTTCCCTTCCGCGAAATTCGAAGTAGAAACTAACAAATGTCGCATCTCCTCTTCATCTTCTTCTTCCTCCTCAATTGAATGAAAGAGTCACTTCTTATTATAATCTAGGGTTTTCAATTTCATGTGACTTTTCCCCCTTTTTTTCCTCCTTTCAATTTTCGATCCAGCAATTTTTTTTGGATTCGGAATGAAACGCGATTTCGACGAAATCTCCGAGGAGGAGTGGTCGCAGCACTCGTTTAACCCTTCCCGAGTTCTTAAACGGCCACGGACTCCGAAGAAGACTCGTCCGGCGAATCCGTCGCCTCCAATTGAGTCTTTCGCGTACAGGAGACCGTCGACGGCGACTGGGAGAGAGGAGAGCAATAGCAGTGACGATTGTGTTGAGCTAGAGGATTTAGGAGAATCTGATACGGAGGTGAAAGTTGTGAACGGCGAGGATTTGTTGTTGGATGATGAGGAAGTCGAAGAAGAGGAAGAGGCAAAGGTTGTGACGCGGCCTGCTCGAGCTGGTCGGCGATTTGTGATTGAAGATGAGGATGCGAGTGAAGATGATTTTGATGATGAGGTTGACATTAGTTCGAGTGAGGACGAACTTGGCGGAGGAAGAGGGAGAGTAGAAGATGAGGATGTAGTTGGGAAGGCTCTGCAAAAGTGTGCCAAAATCTCTGCGGATCTTCGGAAGGAGCTTTATGGTAGCTCTTCTGTGGCTACTACTTGTGATAGGTACTCTGAAGTGGAAACGTCTACTGTAAGGATTGTCACACAGGTAAAGTAATTTATCACTGCTCTTCTTAATCTTCTATATGCGTTGGAGGGTTTGCTTGAATTTGGTGAAATGGAACTTCTGTTTACTGGGTTTTGAAGGTTACTTTGTTAGACTTTTAGGCTGCATAACTCAGCTAGAAAGTAATTGGTTTGAAATAATCTGGAATGTGTTCCTTAAGCAATTGGAAAATGGGTTTTGATTGTATGAAATGTATTTGAGGTAATCTCTGATCGGTTAGTGTAGGTTTCACTGTCTTCTTAACTAAACTCATTTGCTTTTGGTGTTGATTGATTCTGTGCTGATCACAGACTGATATTGATGAAGCCTGTAAAGCAGAGGATTCTGATTTCCAGCCTATACTCAAGCCCTACCAGTTAGTTGGTGTTAACTTTCTTCTTCTCTTGTATAAGAAAGGAATCGAAGGAGGTAAATATATTTACTAGTTTGGATCTGTAAGAAATCTCGATCTGAAATACCTTTTTGCAACTGACATTTCAACTTCTTGTAGCCATTCTAGCCGATGAGATGGGTCTTGGAAAGACCATTCAGGTGCATTGTGCTCTGATTTTACATGCACAAGTTGTCTTTTGTTTCTCCATCTTATCAGACTAATGTTGCTCTCATTAACAGGCAATCACATATTTAACCCTCCTAAATCACTTAAACAATGACCCTGGTCCTCATTTGATCGTATGCCCTGCCTCTGTCTTGGAAAACTGGGAGAGAGAACTCAGAAAATGGTGTCCATCATTTACTGTACTTCAGTACCACGGCGCTGCGAGAGCAGCCTACTCAAGAGAGTTGAACTCTTTGTCAAAAGCTGGGAAGCCGCCGCCATTCAATGTGCTTCTTGTGTGTTATTCTTTGTTTGAACGACATAGGTACATACAACGTGAAAGTACTCTTTGATGCTTTATTTGCTTTTTCGCTTTTCCTGTAACTCACAGATGTTGGAGTTTTTACAGTGAACAACAGAAAGATGACCGGAAAGTACTGAAACGGTGGCGCTGGAGCTGTGTTTTGATGGATGAAGCCCATGCGTTAAAGGATAAGAACAGTTATAGGTGGAAAAATTTGATGTCTGTGGCCAGAAATGCAAACCAGCGTCTGATGCTTACAGGAACGCCTCTACAAAATGATTTGCATGTACGGTTGGTTTCTCTTCATCTGTTCAAGATCTAATTACCCAAAAATTGGGGACATATCTTCATGTGGTGACAAAATGCTTATTCCTTGTATATGTTAATTTATGCAGGAACTATGGTCACTGCTCGAATTCATGTTGCCTGATATATTTACTACAGAGAACGTTGACTTAAAGAAGCTGTTGAATGCAGAAGACACTGAGTTGATTACTCGAATGAAATCTATTCTAGGTCCTTTCATATTAAGGCGTTTAAAATCTGATGTCATGCAGCAACTTGTTCCAAAGATACAGCGGGTATGGCTAAAACATTTGCATGTTCAGATACCACTTAACTTCATGTTGCAATCTCTCATCAATATATCATCAATCCGATGCAGGTTGAGTATGTCAATATGGAGAAAAAGCAGGAAGATACATATAAAGAAGCCATAGAGGAATATCGCGCTGCTTCTCAAGCACGGCTTTTGAAGCTTTCATCAAAATCCTTGAATTCCTTAGCCAAGGCACTTCCAAAGCGTCAAATTTCAAACTATTTTACTCAATTCCGGAAGGTAATACATAATTCTCACCTACTATTGCGATCCCCACAATGTTCTTAGTTTGGTCCAACTGAGTGCTTTTTTTCTTCATGGTGCATATCAATTTTGGTGGTACAGATTGCAAATCATCCATTGTTAATCAGGCGAATATACAGCGACGAAGATGTCATTCGCATTGCCAGGAAGTTACACCCAATCGGTGCTTTTGGATTCGAGTGCTCCTTGGAAAGAGTCATCGAAGAAGTTAAGAGTTACAACGATTTCCGTATCCACCAGGTATATTTCTCCCTTTCCCACAAAAAAACAATTTAAAATCCATAAACAAACATATGTTATACAATTTAACTAGCTAACTTGTTTCTATCTATATAGCTTTTGTTCCAATTTGGAGTTAACGATACCAAAGGAACTCTCTCAGACAAACATGTTATGCTTTCAGCAAAATGTCGGGTAGGCGATATTCTTCTTCCTTTTTATGAGTCTTGTAAGTAAAACCCAATAAACCAACCTCGCGAGTGATCTCACTGTCTCTTTATATATCAGACATTAGCTGAGCTTCTCCCTTCAATGAAACAATCCGGCCATCGTGTCCTAATATTCAGTCAGTGGACATCGATGCTCGATATCTTAGAATGGACGCTCGATGTAATCGGCGTTACATACCGAAGACTTGATGGCAGGTAAAAGAAAAGAAGAGTAAAACTGTGTCACATTTTGTTTTTACAGATCCCTGCAACAAAGAAGAAACTAAAAGTCATGTTCTTTTTGTTTCCGACAGCACTCAAGTCACAGATAGACAAACCATAGTCGACACATTCAACAACGATAAGTCGATATTCGCTTGTCTGTTGTCAACTCGAGCAGGTGGACAAGGTCTGAATTTAACCGGAGCAGATACGGTTATTATTCACGATATGGATTTTAATCCACAGATTGATCGGCAAGCTGAGGATCGATGCCATCGTATCGGTCAAACAAAACCAGTTACTATCTTCAGGTTTGAGCTTTACATTCGTGAGACAAGTGCAATTGATTGGATTTTGGACAGAATTTTGGTTTGGTTTTGGTTTCAGAATTCATTTTTGTTCGATATATTTGGTATAACAAATAAGGAAAACCGATTGGATTTTAAACAGATTTTTGGTTTATTTCGGTTTATAGGTCCACCATCAGTTTTTATTACCTCTCTGATCTGCAGTATTAACTTTGGCTATGTTTGTACAGACTGGTGACGAAATCGACGGTTGATGAGAACATCTACGAGATTGCGAAGCGGAAACTTGTTCTTGATGCGGCGGTCCTAGAGTCCGGAGTTCACGTAGATGACGACGGAGACACGCCTGAGAAAACCATGGGAGAGATTCTCGCTTCTCTTCTCATGGGATAACAATTATTTTTTTGTGTTTCTTTCTCTTGAGGTAAAATTAGCCAAGAAAAAGAAATTTATGTAGTACTGGAAACATGTGTAACACTAGCTTTTTAGACTAAAGTTTAATAGATATCGATAGTTATATTTCTTTTGCGCATGTGAAATGAAACCGAAAACTTCCTTCGTCCGACTAATGGACGAACATTTTAGGTCTCAGTTGTTTCAAACACAGATTTGAGATTAAGAAATTTTGGTAGGCTTTGAGAGAAATTTTAAAAAAAAAATTAGAAAATTTTCATTCCGAAACCTGAGAAGTGAGAACTAAAGGCCAACAATGAGTAAAGGAAATTTTGTACAACTACAAAGTCACACGCTAAAGAGAAAATCAACCAGCTTTTTGTCTGCCACTTCCCATAAGAAAGTACTACATCACTTTCTTTTAATTTAGAGCTAAATGCATTGCAATTAGTTCCACAATGTTTTTTAATCGTTCTGGGATAAGTAATTCCAAATTAGCGTTCATATAACTAATGTAATGGTTAAGATACTTAGTATTTCTTTGGTTTTTTGCTACAGACTAACAGAGTGCGTAAAAATACCAATATTTTACTTTTATACGACCGGTAAATTTTTCATTTTGGGTCGACATTAATAGATCTATCCTTACTTCACTTTGGTTTTACTTTTTCACGTTGCCACTAGCACATTGTGGACTCCACATTATCTGACTAACTCAATTATTTACTTATTTTATAAGGTTTTTTCTTCTGAAATAAAATTGTTTTTTATTGATTTCGAGAATGACTTGTCGAAAGTATGATATTTCTACGTGTCTTGTCACTTCCAATAAGGACCAAAATTACATTTATTACAGTGTCGGTAAAGCAAATAAATCGACAAAACAACAAAGCAAAATGTGAAAAAAGCAAAAAAAAAAGGAAAAGAAAAAAACGACAAATCGTCGTCACACTATTGTGGCAAGAAAAAGAAGTGATATCCAAAAAGATATTCCTACCTTTCACTATACTTTCTTAATAAATTATTCTAAAATACCTACTAAATACTAATCAATAATCTCGATCGTTCTTATACCGCGTTATAGCCCCTTTATATAGTGCCATCTTCCTCATGAGCTCCCTACACAGTTAACATTTGTCTCTAACTCTCTCTCTAAGAAAATGAAGCTCTCTATGCGTTTGATCTCAACTGTTATTCTCGTGTTCATGATATTCGTCGCCACAGGTACTCTTTACTCATAACTTAATATCTAAATATTTTTGCAAATATGTAATCATTTACATATATATGTATATACATAACATGTTTGTATTTATGGATCTATATATATATCTAGGGTTTCTATCAATTGTTCTTGTGAATGCTCATTTGCTAAGTAATTTTTTTAAATCATATTTCAATCCTCTACTATTGTGGACGTCTTAACTAGCAATAAAAACTATTGTTGTTCCATAATCTTTGAAGATTTAATAATATGGATTATAAAATGAGAACATGAAACTAAGATATGGACTATAACCCAAGTTTTTTGGTGTTGATTTTGTCTAGGGATGGGTCCTGTGACGGTGGAGGCACGCACGTGTGAGTCGAAAAGCCACAGGTTCAAGGGAGCATGCCTGAGCGAAACAAACTGCAAAAACGTGTGCCACAACGAAGGCTTTAGGGGAGGTAACTGCCGTGGGTTACGTCGTCGTTGCTTCTGCACCAGAAACTGTTGATCCATCGATTCGCATTATTTATAATCTTCGATCCATCATTTTCTTGCATGTATGTGTTTGCTTCTTTCTATCGAATCTTCCGTACTGTACCATGTCGTACCGTACATGTGTGTGTGTGAGTGACTGAGTGTTCTCGAATAAGTATTTTTGGATTGTGTGTTTTCAGTTTTAATGTACCGTTAAATCAACTAATGGCTTTTATTTTATTTTATTAAGGGGCGTCTACAAACCATAAAAATGTTTATGCATGTTTATGCTATTATCAGATATTGGTACGAGAAATTGTAGTATATAACCAATAAACAATTTATAATTTATAATTAAGTTAATAAAAAATTTGAACTTAAATTTTTCTATATTATATATATATATATATATATTTTCTTTTTATTTTTATTTTTTTAATTAACTTTTTTCTCTTTCTTTTTGTCATTTCTTTGATCTTTTATTTTTTTATTTTTTTGGTTTCTGAGCTATTGTTTTTTCACTCTCTGTTTATTCTTTTTTTTTTTCTATTTTTTCTTTGAAGATGATATCACCAAATTTGTCGCCATCATGAATCCTTTCGATCTACTACAACATTCAATACTTATTCTATTAATGCACCATTGCTAATCAGTAATTCTCCCACTCCTTAGAGCAACTCCAACGCTAAACTCCATCGCTAAACTCCATGGGGAGGTTCTTTGGAGTTTTTAATGAATATTTCTTTGATTTGTGAATAGTGTAGACTCCCTTAATTTTTCCCCCTCCCAACCCTGAACCTTTTAAACTGATGAACCCCTCAACGAAAACGAAGGTGAAACCAAAAAACTCCTTAAAACAGAAACACAAAAAAAACCAAAATCAATTGAAAACAAAAAATCAGGAGAAGAAACAAATAGAGAAAACCATGAGAAAGCATAGAAAATAAAAATCAATCGAAGAATCAGGAGAAGAAACAAATAGAGAAAACCATGAGAAAACACAGAAAAAAAAAATCAATCGAAGAAGAAAGAGAAGAACCTCATCATTATTATATATACCCAAGAGAAAAGAGAATTCTGTGTAGAACCCGAAAAGCTATGACCAAGAATCTGTGTAGAGAGAGAGAGAAATGAAGGAGAAAAGAAATGGAGGCTCTGCGTTTACAGCGAAGAAGAAGAAGGGAACAAAATGAAAAATAATAGATCGAATGAAAAATAGACATGTGGCTGATGAACCCCTGGACGAGCCGCTTCTTCAGACCCTTCAGTAAGGGGCGGTTCATCAAATAATAAGCCTTTTTGATTTAATTTTAACCCAAAAATCTGATAAACCCATGCGAAGAACCCCATTTTATCCTGCGTTGGAGTTGGTCTTATACTTCTTCCACCAACGAAGCTTTTTATAGAGTCAAAAGGCTTCAGAATACTGAAATCCAGATTAAAGTTGACTCCTTCTACCGCAGGTTGATTTTCTCATCCTCCTCCGTTGATCTCCTCCATTGCAGCCTTTCGTTCAATACTTCGTAAACACTAAAATGGAGGCTACCGGATTGTTTCCATTTATAACTATGATATATTCAAATTCTTGTTTTTGTGATTTTAATATAATAGATTGTATATTGATTCAAACGATATAGTATAACTATTTTTTTGTATAAACAGTTTATTGTTGTAAGTTGTTAAATATGTTTTTATTAATTTTTTTTAAAATAAACATGTTATTATTGATTAAAATAGACTTTTTATATTATTAGTGCTATTATTAATATATGAAAATTCTTTTTTATTTTTTAGAATTAAACTTATGTTAAACATGGAATAAAATCAGTATTTTTTGTACTAATATATAGTAGAAATCAAAGGCGGAGCTGAAGGAAGAGTGGAGTCAGCTGATCCCAACAAATTTTAAAAATTTAAATTATGCAGTACTAAATTTAATGGTTAGACACAGTGCCGAACCGATCAATTTGGATGCTCGCGTCTAACTTTTTAAAATATGTTTTTTAATATTTTTTTCAAAATTAAAATAATAAAAATAAAACAAAACTTAATAAAATAATTAAACTCCATAAATAGTTTGTAAGAAAAGAAAAATATCCAATAAAACTATATGTTTTATTGCTGAAATATAGATTTTTTTGTATTTTTCCGTGTAAAATCGTTCATTAAACTGTCGTAGTCGAGTTTTTCAACCATAGCTGTTTCAATTGATAACAAAGCTATGGGTGGACGCGGATTCACTTGGAAGGTGGGAGGGGGGGCGAAGTCCCCCACGGTACAATTTCCTTATTGGGTTAGATTTAGGTTTTCCTTTACCTAGTGGGTTTAGAAGTTGGGTTTTTGGGGTTATAAATACAAGATTTAGGGTTTGTAATTATTCATTCACACAATTAATAAAAAAACCCTAAACAGGTGTTTGCCTCATTTTACGATTTTTTCTATTGTTTATTGTTTTCTTCGTGCTTGATTTTTAACACCATTCAATCGCTCTTGTGACATAGTAGCGCACAAATAATCATTTATCAGTTTCAACTTCAAGAAATTATCATTGATGGCCGATATTAGTTTTTTATATCAAATAAAAATCCAAAAGTTTGTTTATACTTTTAGAACGATTCAAACCTAAATTCGAGAGAAACTAGAATTTGATCCCTAATATTTTTTTTTTAACAAAAAATATGCCCCTTAATGGATGCCGCAAAAAATTATGCTATGGATGTCTGTGGCGGTCACCTCCCTCCTTCAAAGCCGGGCCTGATTAAACATGTTAATGGTTAATTTTGTCTTCATTGCCCCAGTATCTATCGATCATATTTTATTATTGACTCATTTTTCACCTTTTTTCTTGGCCCATGAAAATTTCTTCAGTGTGACATCTCATAACCATTACTTATTGTCTCCAATCTCCATTATCAATCTCCATTATTAATCCTAGATTTAAATTTTCAATTTTCAATTTATTTCTTTTTCATTTTAACCACTTTAAAAATATCCATCTTTTTTTTCTTTATATTACACATTTACTTAACTTAAACTATATTTTATTTATCTCTTGTTGTTAATCATATTTGAATTTTAAATTCTGTTTATTTATCGTAATACTACTTTTTTAATTCTCTTCTAGTTTTTTCTTTCTTTATAATTATACAAATGGTTTTTAGTAAACTATATTAAACGTTGTTTATAAGCTGATGAACAAAATTACTAAAAAATAAGTTATTGCAAAAAGAAAATATTTTATTTCGGCTGAAGTTGTTTAAATAATATTTTTCAGCTATAAGATTACAACAAAATAATTATATGTGACATATTTTTGAAATTTAAATAAGAAAAAACTTTTTGTATATCAGAAACTACTTATGATATTTTACATATTTTATATTTATATTATATTTTAATTTTAGTTGAATAATTTTCGGATTTTATCGCTGGTTGAAGAAATTAAAGGTATATAAATTAAAAAAAATTGAAGTAAAAGTATATGTATCAAAATAAATATTATAGATTAATTATTTTTTCGTTATTAAAAATGAAATTGTTAAAAACATTAATAATGTTGCTTGCTAAATTATCAGACATGTATATATTTTTTATCCATTTTTCATTGAATTAACCCTATTGATATTTGGTACTATCACTATCATTTTTGATTGGTTAGAGAATTGTTCGTTAAATAGCGACCAAGTAAATGATATTTAATTTTGATGATATAATTTCGCATCAAAAATAGTAAACACATGGAGCGTTATACTACACGTGTCTTTGGTATTATACAAGAGCTGTACACATGGACAAGTTAAAAGTATTGTTTTTTTCCATTAACAGTAACAGTATTGTTTTTTCCGCTTTTAAGGAAAATTTATTAACCATGTAAAAAGCTATTGTAAAAAACACATATTTACAAGAGTTTCTTTCTTTTGATGAGAAATAAGAAAGTAATGCAGAACGACGACTAAAATGTAAAAACAAGAACAGGAGTAGAAAATCAATTTTACAAGGGTTGATATTTGACGTCTTCAAAACATTCACTAAAATTCATATACAATAAAATTTTGCATTATTCGACATTAAGACACTTCCAACTTGACACCAACGGACCAACCATTTTGTACCGAGTTTCAAACTTGGATATTAAAACACAGATTTAATTAATTAATTTATTTAAATCCGTTTTTCGATAATATGATCAAAACCTAGATTTTTCTTCGTTGGCATGTGATAAGGAGGATATAATTGTGTTTTTCGAAAGAATAAAAAAAATTATAATTTCCAAAAATATTCGAAACAAGGTGTACTGTCTTATAACCAAAAAATGTGGAAAATGCAGAAAAAAAAAAGAAAAAGAAAAAAACGACAAATCGTCGTCACACCACTGTGGCAAGAAAAAGAAGTAATATTCAAGAAGATATTTCTACCTTTCACTATACTTTCTTAATTAAATATTCTAAAATATCTACTAAATACTAATCAATAATCTCGATCGTTCATATACCGCTTTATAGCCCCTTTATATAGTGCCATCTCCCTCATTAGCTCCTACACAGTTAACATTTGTCTCCAACGCCCTCTCTCTCTTAAAAAATGAAGCTTTCTATGCGTTTGATCTCAGCTCTTCTCCTCGTGTTCATGATCTTCGTCGCCACAGGTTCTTTACTCATAACTTAATATCTTAACTTTTGTATAGATTGATGCAATTGCAAATATGTAATCATTTACATATACATATATATATATATATATTTATGGATCTATATCTATATTTTTATCAATTGTTCTTGTTAATGCTCATATGATAAGTATAATTTTTTTAATCATATTTCAATCCTCTACCGTTGTGGACGTCTTAACTAGCAAACATACTATTCTTGTTCCATAATCTTTGAAGATTATTTAATATGGATTATGCATGAGAACATGAAACTAAGCTATGGACTATAACCCAAGTTTTTGTGTTTTTGTCTAGGGATGGGTCCAGTGACGGTGGAGGCACGAAAGTGTGAGTCGAAAAGCCACAGGTTCAAGGGTAAATGCCTGAGCGAAACAAACTGCAAAAACGTGTGCCACAACGAAGGCTTTACGGGAGGTAACTGCCGTGGATTCCGTCGTCGTTGCTTCTGCACCAGAAACTGCTGATCCATCGATTCCCAACTTACAATCTTCGATCCATCATTTTCTTGCATGTGTGTGTTTGCTTCTTTCTATCGAATCTTCCGTACAGTACCATCTCGTACCGTACACGTGTGTGTGTGTGTTCTCGAATAAGTATTTTGGTTTGTGTGTTTAATTTCAGTTTTTAATGTAACGTTAAATCAACTAATGGCTTTTATTTCATTTTATTATGGAGCTTCTACAAACTATAAAAATGTTTATGCTATTAACAGATATTGGTACTATCACTATCAATTTAGATTGGTTAGATAATTGCTCGTTAAATAGCGACCAAGTAAATGATATTTAATTCTGCTGATATAATTTCGCTTTGAAAAATAGTAACACATGGAGCGTTATACTACACGTGTCTTTGGTATTATACAAGTGCTCTACACATGGACTAGTAACAGTATTTTAAAGCATGTTAAAATGCTATATTATCAAAAAAGCTTTTTTTACAAGAGTCTTTGATTCTTGTGATGAGAAATAAGCAAAGTAATGCAGAACGATGATAAAATGTTAAACTAAGAACATGAGTAGAAAAGCAAATTTACAAGGGTTGATATTTCACGTCTTTAAAACATTAACTAAAAGTCATATACAACAAAATTTTGCATTAGTCGACATTAAGACATTTCCAACTTGACACCAACCAATTTTTAGCGAGACACGTTTCAAACTTGGATAAAAAAGAGATTAATGTTGTGAAAATTTAGAAACTTTATTAATCACTGGAATGTATATATAAAGTACATAGGGAATCTAGGTTAAGTACAATGCCCTGATGGGCCTAATGAGCCGGTATAAGAGTCCATATATGATATGTGTTATAACACTCCCCCTTGGACGAGTGAACCGGGTCAGCTATTCAATCGGGATCTCGATAATGCGCTGGGGAATGTTGCCTCATTAAAACCTTACCAGGAAAAAACCCAGTGGGACAAAACCATGGTGAAGGAAAAAGAGTACAACACGCATTACTCCCCCTGATTGTAGCATCACTGCAGATCTCTAAGTCTATACATTCCTATCTGTTTGACGAGCTTCCGGTGTGTTGAAGTAGGCAATGATTTGGTGAAGAGGTCAGCTGAATTCTCACTGGATCGGACCTGCTGAGCGCTGAGAGTGCCGTCCTTCTGCCAGTCTGAGGTTGAGAAGAACTTCGGTAGAATGTGCTTCGTCCGATCTCCTTTGATATATCCTTCCTTGAGCTGAGCTATGCATGCCGCGTTGTCTTCATACATCACCGTGGGCTGTGTGTCTTCGTCCATACCACAATCTCTGCGGATGTGCTGAGTCATGGAGCGCAGCCAGACGCATTCCCTACTAGCCTCATGAATGGCTAGGATTTCAGCATGGTTTGATGAAGTGGCAGTGAGTGTCTACTTCATTGATCACCAAGAGATAGCTGTTCCTCCATGCGTAAAAACGTAGCCAGTTTGAGACTTGGCAGTGTGCGGATCTGATAGATATCCTGCATCGGCGAAGCCGACTAACCCATCTTTATTTTGGTTAGTATAGAAGAGTCCTAAGTCTTGAGTACCTCGAAGGTATCTTAGGAGATGTTTTATACCGTTCCAGTGCCTCTGAGTTGGAGATGAACTATATCGAGCGAGGAGGTTCACGGCGAAACATATGTCTGGTCTAGTGTGACTAGCCAGGTACATTAACGCTCCTACAGCACTGAGGTATGGCTTTTCAGGACCAAGGATTTCTTCATCATCCTTTTTGGGACCAAGAGGGTCATCACTTAAGCTTCTAACTACCATTGGGCTGGTCAATGGGTGAGCTTGGTTCATATTAAATCGCTTGAGTACCTTTTCGATATAAGCCGATTGATGCACAAGGATTCCTCCTTTGATGTACTCAAGTTGTAATCCCAAACAGTACTTTGTTTTGCCTAGGTCTTTCATTTCGAATTCTGCTTTTAAGCAGTCGACTGTTTGGGAGATCTCACCAGATGTTCCGAGGATGTTTAGATCATCCACGTATACTGCTATGATTACAAATCCTTTGTTTGAGTACTTCTTGATGAAGATGCATGGACTGATGGGGTCATTTTTGTAGCCTTCTTTGATGAGGTAATCGCTGAGGCGGTTGTACCACATACGCCCACTTTGTTTCAGTCCATACAAGGATTTTTTCAGCCTGATGCAGTATTGATCTCGAGATGCATTTTTGTCTTTTAGTTCAATGCCATCTGGGAGTCTCATATATATTTCATTGTCCACGGGCCCATAGAGATATGCGGTTACAACATCCATTAACCGCAGATCAAGATTTTCTCTTATGGCCAGACTTATGAGGAATCGGAATGTTGTTGCATCCACCACTGGAGAATAAGTCTCCTCATAATCGATTCCGGGTCTCTGTGAGAATCCTTGTGCTACAAGCCGTGCTTTGTATCGAACGACTTCACCGAGTTCGTTCCTTTTGCGCACAAAGACCCATTTGTGGCCCACTGGCTTGATGTGTGATGGGGTCCGGATGATCGGACCGAACACATTTCTGAGTTTGAGACTCTTTAACTCCACGTTTATGGCTTCTTTCCATTTTAGCCAATCTGTTCGATGTGTACACTGTGTTATTGACGTGGGTTCTAGATCCTCTTGCGTGAGCGCAACATCAAGTGCTACTTTGTATGCAAAGAGTGCATTTAAGTCGACTTCTTTTCGATTCCATTGTATTCCGGACATATTGTAATTGATGGAGATCTCATTGTTATCTTCTGAACCTGGAGATTCGGCGTCCCGAACTTCCATTGAGGGTTCATTAGATTGAGTCTCAGCCGCGGCTATGTCTGATATTGCAGGAATCCCGGTTTCGGTTATTGCACCTTTCTTTGATTTCCGGGGATTCTTATCTTTGGAACCGAGAGGTCTGCCCCGTTTGAGACGTGGTGCAGACTCTGTAGCAACTTGGGTCTGTCCCGTTGGGACAGCTATTCGTATTGGTGCATTACAAGCTGGGATGTACGATTTGGTTACTTTGGTCGGGTCAGCAAAGGAATCTGGCAATTGATTAGCTAGCTTTTGATAATGAATAATCTTTTGGATCTCTGAATCACATTCTAGAGTCCGAGGATCTTGCCAATTTAATGATGTTTGATTCCATGAAAGATCTTTGACCAGCTTGTTTGTCTCACCACCTAAAGAGGGATATACCGATTCATCGAATTGGCAATCCGCATATCTGGCCTTGAAGAGATCTCCAGTGGTTGGCTCGAGATATCTTATGATGGTGGGAGAGTCAAAACCAACATATATTCCCATCCTTCTTTGAGGTCCCATTTTGGTTCGATGTGGTGGAGCAATGGGTACATATACTGAACACCCAAATGTTTTGAGATGGGAGATGTCTGGCTCATGACCCGAGAGTAGTTAGGATGGGGAATATTTGTGTTTACTAGATGGCCGGATGCGTATGAGTTCAGCAGCATGTAATACTGCATGTCCCCATGCTGAGGCCGGGAGCTTTGATCTCATGAGTAATGGTCGGGCTATCCATTGAATGCGTCTAATGAATGATTCAGCCAATCCATTTTGAGTATGGACATGTGCTACAGGATGTTCCACGGTTACCCCCATGGCCATACAGTAGTCATTAAACGCTTGTGAGGTAAATTCACCAGCATTGTCAAGGCGGATAGACTTTAGTGGGAAGTCAGGGAAATGGGCCCGCAATTTTATGATTTGGGTCAAGAACCTAGCGAAGGCTTGGTTCCGAGAGGACAAGAGACAAACATATGACCAACGGGTCGATGCGTCTATAAGGACCATGAAGTACCGGAATGGTCCGGAAGATGGATGTATAGGTCCACAGATATCGCCCTGGATTCTTTCTAGGAAATGAAGTGTTTGTTTAGAGATTTTAACTGGTGAAGGCCGAGTGATCAATTTGCCTTGAGAACAAGCTGTGCACATGAGGTGTTGAGGATAAGCTCGGTTTTCTTTGAGGGTATGCCCTTGAGAGTTTTGAATTAGTTTACGCATCATATTTGCACCGGGATGACCGAGCCGGTCGTGCCAAATAGTATAATCAGTAAACCGGGCTTTGAGAGTGGTATTAGCTTCAATCATACTGACTTTAGCATGGTAAAGTCCAGTAGAGAGCGCGGGTATGGTTTCGAGGATTTGTTTATGGCCGTCTACGGTTTTAGTGACTAGGAGGGATTCTTTGTTCCCTTGACCTTGGGTTTCTATGTGGAAACCATTCTGTCTTATATCCTTGAAGCTCAGAAGATTTCTCTTCGAACTAGGAGAATATAGAGCATCTGGTATTTCAAGTTGTGTGCCATTTGATAGCAACACATAGGCATGGCCATATCCTTCGATAAGGTTTGAGGGACCCGCGATGGTGCTAATATTTGCGGTTTGATAGGTTAGGTTTATGAAGTAACTTTTGTTTCTTAAGATAGTGTGGCTGGATCCACTATCTACGACTATGGTTTCCATTTGCTGGTGTGCTTTATTATGAATAGAAGATAGAATTCAGTATTGAGGAATTCAGAAAATGTGATAAATCATAAAGTAAAGCAGTGTCTGAGAATAAAGGCAAATGGAAAAAAAAAAATGAAACAAATCCTAAAATGAAAAAAAAAATAAAGAACAAAATCAAATTGTATCAGAGTTTCAGATGATTGAATTAATCGAGGAGATCAGCTGTTTCATAGTCCATGGGGTCGGTCTGCTCGTTTGTGGTGTTCTCATCATCAAGGAGGTCGTCACCTTCCAGGTTAGCAGCATCGACTGGCTGAGTCATGTTGGCTTCAGCAGGAGCTTTTCCGTACTTCTGGTATAGATCGCAGTGGATCTTGGGGGTGCGACATTGCTTTGTTGGGTGGTTGAACATCCCACATCTGGTACAAGCAGAGTGATCGAGGTTGGTGTGGCGGGTCGGCTTGGTGATGCCTTGACCACGACCAGGACCATAACTGAGGTTAGGTCGGTTGCCACGACCATGTCCGCGTCCACGTCTTCCACGTCCATGTCCTCGGCCATTACCACGTCCATTACCACGTCCACGGCGGTGATCTGAGGATCTATCGGGTTGAACATGGTAGGACTCTTGACGAGAAGCTGGGACAGGAGCCGATCCCGGGGGCCTCATAGCGCTGTTCCTCATAAGCAGCTGGTTATTCTTCTCAGCGAGGAGAAGACAGGACAACAAGTCTTCGTACAATGTGTGTTTCATTGCACGGTATTGTTGTTGGAGCACAACATTCTCTGTGCTGAATGTGGATAATGTTTTCTCGAGGAGATCATTATCTGTCACATCCTCGCCACAGAGTTTCCGGATGGCAACAATACGAAAGAGTTCGTTGTTGTAATCATCTACGGATTTGTAGTCCTGGAACCGAAGGTTCTTCCAGTCGAAATCTGCCTGAGGCAACTGGACCATTTTCTGATGGTCATATCGCTTTTTCAGCGCTTGCCACAATTCAAGTGGATTCTCAAGAGTGAGATATTGCTGCTTAAGGCTCGGGGCCAGATGATGGCGTATGTGACATATCGCCTGAGACTGTCCCTTACGGGATGCGGTGTTACCGTCGGTAATACACGCATCGAGTTCTTTCGATGCGAGGAACAAGCGCATGTCTAGGGCCCACTCGAGGTAGTTATCCCCGGAGACGTGAAGGACCTCGAATTCACATTTCTGAATGTTTGACATCTGAAACATGAGATTGATTTTGTTAGGGATTGTTTTGAGAAAATTTTGAATGCTGATGATGAAACTTTCTATTTTGAGAATATTTCTATTTTAGGAAAGTTTCTAAATTTGGAAAGTTTCTAATTTGGGTAATTTTCTAAATGAGGAAAGTTTCTATGTCGGGAAAATTTCTATATGAGGAAAGCTTTTATATGAGGAAACTTTCTATTAGAGGGAACTTTCTCGGAAATAGTAAATTTTAAAGGGTATGGTTTTAGTTACCCCGAACATGATGTCGGTTTAATAGCTGTGATTTAATCGGTTAAAGCCGAATATAATTTTGGTTAATGAGAACCAGGTTTAGCCGGTTTTAGGCGGTTTAGGAGGAACCCTAGGGGAGCCGAATATGATTAGGGTTTTATCTAGGGTTTTAACGGTTTGGAAAACATATTTTGGATGTGATTTCGAGATCTATAGGATCTGTGGTCGATGGTTTTAATAATTTCACAAGGACAACAAAGAAATCACGTGAAAAGGACTAGGGTTTAAGCATTATGACTTACGATTTTGAAGATTACAAAATCGTGAATCAAGCTTAGGATTTAGGGTTGATTTTCTTAGTTTATTCAATCAAGTGTTTCAAGCAAGAGAATCAACAATCAAATAAGCTGCAACAAGCTTATTAAACATGAAGAAAATCGAATAGGTTTATGCCATAAACATGGCCAAAAACGGTTGTTAGGTTTTTGTAGATTAGGGTTTTATAAAACGAGTTTAAAACCTTTGAACATGCATAAACTTGTAATTTAAACAATCAATCAACAAGTTATCAATCAATCATCAGAGTATTAAACACTTTCAATCAATTAGAGATCGATTTTTTTTTTTTTTTTTTTTTTTTTTATAGGGTTTTGAAGTGTTTAAACAACAGGTTCTATGACTCTCAGTTTTAGAAGATACCTTTTCCACCTTTGGATTTCTGACAGGCTAATGAAACTGGGAGCTAATAGACCTCAGTTAGCCGCTACAAATTCCAAGGATTGATCACCAAAACTGGAGAAGCTGCTGGTTGAAGAAGGAAAAACTCGGATCTGTTTTTTTTTTTTCCGGTTGATCGTCGTGTACTGTAAGTGTGCGTGAGGGCGCGTCCGAAGTTGGATCGACAAACGGTTTTTACCAGTAGATTCGTCTCGTCGAGGGCTTCGATTTGATATGTAGATCGTCTTCTGGTTCCTCACGGTTTGGAAGATATGCGTCTTTTAAGTTTCGACTTGCTTTTAGGGTTTTGGTGGTGGCCGGATTTATTAGGGTTTTTCGCTCAGAGAGTCTTATCGTGCTGATAACGTGTTGTGAAAATTTAGAAACTTTATTAATCACTGGAATGTATATATAGAGTACATAGGGAATCTAAGTTAAGTACAATGCCCTGATGGGTCTAATGGGCCGGTATAAGAGTCCATATATGATATGTGTTATAACAATTAATTAATTTATTTATTTAGTTCCGTTTTTTCATCTCTGAACAAAAGCTAGATTTTTTTTTCTTTGGCATGTGATAAGGATATAACTGTATTTTGCGAAAGAAGAAACAAAATTATAATATCCAAAGATATTTGAAACAAGGTATACTGTCTTATTAAATTTTGAAAAACCCCCCACTCTTTTACTTCAACGCTGGACCATGAAGAGGAATATGATAGATTTTTTTTTTTTTTTTGTCGACAAAGAGGAATATGATAGATAATGTTCGAGAATTCACACAAACTTTAGAATCCTTTGTCAACAATAGGCTTTTAAATCTGAAGACAATATAATTAATTCTTGCTACTCTCTTTCACATATTTTTTCGTTAACAAACTTTATTCAAATATCAAAGACCCATATTTAACTTTTACTACATGAATAAAATCAACCCACCTTTTTTTTAAAATTCACATACGTATATCTAAATTACAAGTGAATAAAACATGGAAAGAAAAACGAGAAAATCTTTGTCACGCCACTCTGGCAAAAATCAAGGTGAATGTGAATATCCTACGATGAAATACGAAAAAATAAATACTAAATACGCGGAAAATAATAAAAATTCATATCAAATATGTTTAATTTCTCGATCGTTCTCTTTAGTTTTTTTGATATAGAGCTTCTTCTTCTCCCATTAGCTCAACACAATACTTCCTTACAACTCTCTCTCTATATCTTTCTAAACATTTGCATCTTTCTCTTTCCAAGAATGAAAGCTTTCTCTGCATCTGAGCTCATCCATTCCTATCGTTCAGGCCCATATATCGCTTCCACGGGTTCACAGCTCATTCCAAAGACATCTAATGAATATACAATTTCATGCCAAATATGTAATCGTCTACATATTGTATCTGCATATAATCTATGACCAGTGTCTTGTTAATTACTCTTCATTCAATTATAAGAAACATTTTCTTATATACATCTACAGTTTCTATGCGTATTTTAGTGGATGCTATAGATATGTCTTGTCTTAATTTCCTTTTTCGACATTAATTTGGTTATAATTAAGCGGATTTATTACCGTTTGTATGTATGATTCTCTAGAGATGGCTCCGTTCACGGTGGATGCAAGGTGGTCTGCTAGTCGAGGAGCCAAAGGTTCAATGGACCTTGTGTGAGCAAACAATTGTGCCAATGTTTGCCACAACAACTGTAAGAATCTAAGTTTTCTTAATTACGTTCATTTAAATTCGGCTTTAGGTATCTAATGTGAACAGAGGAAATTTTATACATATCTCAACGTAAAACAAATCAACAATCACGTAAAGTAATACCTTAACATGTTTCTTCATATAAAGTAAAACACACGTACATATTATATCATGTTTTTCTAGAATAGTATACAAATACTATCTATATTTATGTTATATATCTTATAATAAGCTCAACACTGTACATTAGAGAATTTTATGAGAGAATCAATATTTCCGTGTGGATTGTGCATAACATTTATATATATTGGAGTTTGTGGATTGAACCACTGTTTTAAATTATTGAAAAAAACTGATTAGACATTTTAAAACTGGAAGATTTAGCGAAGAAATGGCCAAGAGAGTAAGGTAAATTGTAGGGTTTAATTAACTTGATTATTTAATTGATTGGTCAACCTTGAATTACGACTGCTCCTCTGGGCAAAGGTTTAAATGGTTCACATTTTGTTTCTATTTTTTTCTAAGGCCTTAAAAAAATTATTTTCATTAGTTAAAAATAAAAACCTTTTTAAAAACAATACGATTCATCCCCTTTATATATGCTGCCATTTTCTTCTTTTTCATCTTCTTAATTCCCCTTGGAACATTTGTGTCTTTATCTCTCTAAAAATGAAGCTTTCTCTGCGTTTGGTCTTTGCCCTTCTCCTCTCCTTCATCCTCCTCCTCGCCACAGGTTCATAACTCATCAGTCTCATCTCATAATTATTAATATCTAAATTTTCATGTATACACACATTTTTTGAGCATATGCAATTATCTTTATAATGTATTTATGTAGGAACCATGTCTTGTTATTCGTCATTTAGTTTTGATTTTACAACTTAGAAAACTCGTAAATCAATACAAAGAATTCAATTTCACGGATCGATTCGAATAACGTTGACGGATAAGAAACTAATTTAACATCGTTCTGATATTCGAAGTTATTATGAACCTGGGACCCATAATATTTCGGTATACAAAATTAGTTCATAAGAACATATCTGATTTCTATGATGATATTTGCGTGTTGGTGTGCATGCACATAAAGAAATGAATCAAATGATCACATGAATTAATTGTTCTTGGGCTCAGTTTTAAAGGGTCTTGTTAATTTTTGTTAGTATTTAAAGTTGATTATAAACATTAATAAAAGAAAACATAATAAATTGGAAAAAAGTAGAATAGATAAGGTAATCCTAGTCATAGAAATCTTGTGGCGGGACTTTACCGTAAAGAAATTTGAATTTAGAAGAAAAAAACAGGAATAATAGCAAAATTTTATAATGTTTACTTTCGGTTTATGAATTAAAATAAAAAAGAATACAGGAGTTCTTTTAAACCCACTAAATAATTGCTATGATAGTTTAATAAAAATAGATTTATTTGATTGTATTAAAAGTCCTTAGAACATTATATACATCTAGTATAGTTCTCCGATTTTAAAAATCAGAGCTCATTTAGATTTCATAGACGGGCTTCGAATATTTTTTCTGGCCTTGAATCTGATTATATAACATATAGCATTAGAGTATGAAAATGATCTACATACAAAGCCCATGAATGTCTCTTGTAGTTCCACATGTTGGTTATTTATATGTACAGTATATGGTTCTTCTTAATTATGGTACGTTATGGTTATGCTCCAAAACGAGAGTCTTATAAACAAGTTGGTGGGTTGATTTTGTGATATGTGTATAGGAATGGATCCAGTGGAAGCAAGAACGTGCGAGTCAGCGAGTGGGAAGTTCCAAGGAGTTTGTCTCAACTCTAAAAGCTGTGCATCTGTCTGCCAGTCCAACGAAGGTTTCTCAGGCGGTCATTGCAATAGTCTCCGTTGCTACTGCACCAAAACCTGCTAAATTTATCAGTTAAATAATCCCAATAATCTATTCTTACAAAAAAAAAATAACCAACTCATATTTTAATCCTCTTTTTCATCATTTACAAGTTTCATTTCGAGAATAATATAATAATCTCGAAAGAAACAATTTGTTTTGTACTCTGTATATATAGCCATCTCTAGGTTTTATATGATGTTGGTTTATTTGTATCGTAAGAGTTTCAATCTTTGTGAATTGATTTAAAATTGCTTATTATAATATGTATATATATATATATTATACATTCCGCCCTGTACGTAATAAATACCCATTTCATTACCTGTTTGGAAGTATAATGATTAAAAAGTAATAATGTGATTTTTAAATTCTGATCGAGTTATAAAATCATGGAACAACAATGGTTTGAAAGTATTTTGTCAATCACAAGTTTTGGTGGAACAACGATTTAGCTCTGTAGCAAGTCAATCTAAGTTTTCTATCTGGATATATTAATTTATTCATCAACTAAATGCTCATGAGTCATAACAAAGTTAAAATGGGTTAATTAAGTCGGTGAACGAAATTCAAACAATTTATGAATTCATATGACTATTCTTGTATATGCAAAATATGACTCATATATAACCTCATATACAGTGATAAATAGTCTAAAATAACCATACATGTCTTGTTTATATACCTTATTCTACATTCGTTATAAGAACATATTCATATATATAAGTAACCAGAAGGGTCTGTTTCTTCTCTAGAGATAAGTCCCATGGCCGTGGCGCCAAGAACTTGTGAGACACTGAGCGAGCATATCAATAGGGTTATGCTGGAGCTCAAACAGCTGTGCGCTCATCTGCCGTGAATTCGAGCAATTCGAAGGAGGGCACCGCCGTCTTATATTCACAAAAAAGAATTATATATAACGGTGTGTGACTTAAAAAAAAAAAAAAAAAAAAGAATCTCCTCGCGTAGCACATTAGCAACGAAAGTAAGACATGATACATTATTAATGATATATATATATATATTTATATATTTGTAATGTAGAGTTTACTCATCTTAGTGTTGGTTGGGTGAATATTTTCTTGTCAAAAGTTTACCCATTTTAGTATTTTACCGCTCAAGTCTTCATATACACACTACTTTAATAGTACAATTCGCTCAAATCGTCAAATTGACGCAATAAAACGGATTCACCCAACCCTTTTGTATTGATTTAGAGTTCGATTTATACTAATATGTATGTGTGTTACACAATCGACTACGTACTACGCATCATTTCACTATTGATATTTATATCATTACATATATAGATCACACATACAATCATGTTAAAATCACACATACGGTTATGTTAAAATCACACATACGCTTGAAGTTGATGTATATTATATATACGTCAAATCAATGTTTTAACTTTTTGGATTTGAATTCTATATTGTATATTTCAAAAATGGATTATCTATGTAGTATGTACGTATTTTATATTAACGGTGAATTATAAAATCATGGAATTGTGGTTTAATGCGATATATTTCCGTAGTTTTATTCATCGATCAAAACATTATTTGGTTCGTAATACGACGTATTATAGTTTAAATCATCCAATTAGAATTTTATACATCACAATCAAGTTTGAGAAAGATAGAAAAACATCAAAATCACGAGGAATTAGAGTGTTCTGCATGTGCAGATAGTGTCATATTCATCAATTAAGCACTTACTCCTAATTGATAAAGATAAAGATAAATGTTACCAAAAAAACCAAAATTAATAAAGAGAAAGCAGCGTTAATCAGAAAGAAGGTGACCTTTGTTCAAACTTTTACTCATTTTATCCATACATGTCGAAGAAGTCAAGCTTTCACCATTTTAGTATTTAAACCCATTAATTCTCCCTAAACAAGTTCTCTATAATAATCAAATATGATAGTTCAACCCATAGTTAGCTCTATTCATAATCTCTCGGTTAACCTACTCGATTCATGTTGGGTAGAAATCATTAGTAACATGACTTTCATTGTTTTGAAAAATACACACATGATGAGTTTTATATATGCTTTTGATTACATGTTGAGGTAAAAAGTGTAATTGTTTATCAATAGCATGATATATAAACAAGTAAAAATTAGTTTTCCTTGTGGATTTTCTTAATTTAATCATCAGTTAGGCTCTCATCACAAATATAAAGTTATGTTAATTAAGTCGGTGGACGACGTTGTTTAACATTTTACTCATTTTAATTACCCATGCAAGATGAAGAAACCAAGCTTTCATCCGCAGCTATATGATATAATAAAAAGATTATCCAACCAACAAAAAGATTCTCTTAAATTTCCTTTTAGTCAAAATAAAAATTAATCAAACACAATGAATTATATATCCCGATCGTTCTTATTTGCATACACATCGAGTCCTTGCCTATATATAGTGTCACCTTCTTCCTCATTACCTTCTTACCACTTATTTCCATCAATCTCTCTCTCACTCGTTCTCATTAACATTTATAATCTCTCACTTCATAGCAATTTTTTTATATATATAATCTCTCTTTCCCTCTCCAAAAATGAAGCTCTCTCTCCGTTTGGTCTCAGCTGTTCTCATCTCTTCCATGCTTCTCGTTGCCACTGCCACAGGTTCAATACTCATGCCATAATAATTTTTTTTTGGTTACATACTCATGCTATAATAGTTACTAAATTTTGATATAGACAATATACATATACTATACTTATATGTAATCATCTACATTTATACGAAATAACCATCAACAACCCATGCTTCCTCGTTGTTCCAATTATTTGCCTATAACTCTATAAGGAATGATTTATATAAGCTGTACTCGTTTTACGTTCTTTATATATAGCCATCTCTAGGTTTTATATGATGTTGGTTCTTTTGTATCATTAGAGTTTAAATTTTTGTGAATTGATTTAAAATTGCTTATTATGATATATAATATATATATATATATATACAATATATTATACATTCCGCCCTGTAATAAATACCGATTTCATTACTTTTTTGGAAGTATAATGATTAAAAAGTAATAGTGTGATTTTTAAATTCTGATCATTTATATAATCATGGAACAACAGTGGTTTGAAAGTATTTTGTCAATCACAAGTTTTGGTGGAACAACGATTTAGCTCTGTAGCAAGTCAGTCTGAGTTTTCTATCTGGATATATTAATTTATTCACCAATTAAATGCTCATAATTAAGTCATAACAAAGATAAAGTAAGGTTAATTAAGTCGGTGAACGAAAGTCAAACAATTTATGATATCATATGACTATTCTTGTATATACCAAAATATGACACATATACAACATCATATACTGTGATAAATAGTCTATCTAATTAAATAACCATACATGTTTTGTTATATACCTTATTCTACATTCGTTGTTAAGAACATATTCATATATATAAGTAACCGAATGGGTCTGTTTCATCTCCAGAGATAAGTCCCGAGGCCGTGGCGCCAAGAACTTGTGAGACACTGAGCGGACGTTACAAAGGGTTATGCTGGAGCTCAAACAGCTGTGCGCTCATCTGCCGTGAATTCGAGCAATTCGAAGGAGGGCACTGCCGTGGATTTATCCGTCAATGTTACTGCACCACAAAATGTTGTTGATGGGATCTTAATCATGATGATAATACTCTAAAAATATTCTATCTATTTCTATCTATTATAATTATGATATTATGTTTAATTTCTCGTGGATATATCCTGAAATGAAGACACATGTGTTGACTGTATTCTTTCTCTGCTATCTTCCTATTTAAAATAATTACTGGAATTTTAGTAAGAATTCAAGTCTTATGTATTCTTGGTTGAATGTCAAATTGTCCGTTGTGAGAGCGAAAAGAAAGTTTGGATTCTCCATCTTATATGCACAAAAAGGAATTATGTATGTGCGGTGTGTGACTAAAAAATAATCTCCTCGTGTAACACACTAGCAACCAAAGTAAAGACATAATAAATTATCAACTAATATATATATATATATATATATATATATTTGTAGTTTACCCATCTTAGTGTTGGTAGGGTGAATATTTTTTTGTCAAAAGTTTACCCATTTTAGTATTTACCGCTCTCGTCTTCATATACACACTACTCTAATAATACAATCGCTCAAACCGTCAATTAATTGACGCTATAAATGGGGTAAACCCAACCCAAATTAAGTTCTTTTGTATTGATTTAAAGTTCGATTTATGTTAATGTGTATGTATGTTATACAATCCACCACGTACTAAGGATCATTTCACTAATTGATATTTACATCATTACATATAACCTTACAGAGATCACACATACAATCATGTTAAAATCCCACATACGCTTGAAATTGATGTATATTATATATACGACAAATCAATTTTTTAACTTTTTGGATTTGAATTTTATATTGTATATTTCAAAAAAGGATTATCTATGCAGTATGTACGTATTTTATACTGATTAACGATTATTTATAAAAATCATGGAATTATGGTTTAAACGACGTATTTCAATAGTTTTATTTGGTTCATAATACGAGGTATTATAGATTTATAGTTTAATTCATCCATTATAACATTATACATCACAATCACATTTGAGAAAGAAAGAAAAACATCAAAATTACGGGGAATAGAAGTGTTCTGCATGTGCAGATAGTGTTATTCATCAATTAAGCACTTATAATTGATAAAGATAAAGATAGATGTTACAAAAAAAACCAAAATTAATAAAGAGAAAGCAGCATTAATCAGAAAGAAGGTGAACTTTGTTCATAATTTTACTCATTTTATCCATGCATGACAAAGAAGTCAAGCTTTCACCATTTTAGTATCCGAACCCATAATTCTTCTTAAACAAGCTCTCTATAATAATCAAATATGATAGTCCAATCCAACCCATAGTTACTCTATTCATCTTCTCTCGGTTAACCTACTCGATTCATGTTGGGTAGAAATTATTAATAACATGACTTACATTGTTTTGTATATAATCAATAGTTAATTTTTAAAAAATACACACATGATGAGTTTTATATATGCTTTTGATTACAAGTTGAGGTAAAAAGTGTAATTGTATATCAATAGCATGATATATAAACAAGTAAACATTAGTTTTCCTTGTGGATTTTCTTAATTTTACTCATCAGTTAGGCTCTCATCACAAATATAAGTTATGTTAATTAAGTCGGTGGACGACGTTGTTCAACATTTTACTCATTTTAATTACCCATGTAAGATGAAGAAACCAAGCTTTCATCCGCAGCTATATTATCCAACCAACAAAAAGATTCTCATAAATTTCCTTTTAGTCAAAATAAATATTAATCAAACATAATGAATTCTATATATCCCGATCGTTCTTATTTTATAGAGATATGGAAATATGCTTTTACGATAACTACAATATTCTATGTAATCTTTTCTAGATACGCTTTCTAAGTTAACTTACTTGTATAAATACCTTGCTATGTACATCAATAATACACACACATTCACATTCATTACATGGTATCAGAGCTTTAAACGATCTCTCACCTAATTCTTCTCAATTTCTTCTCTAGTTCTCTGTTCTTCTTCTACCTCGTTCGTACATCATGGCGGACGAAACCTCGGAGTCTACTATCCCTTCTACTACCACGGTGGCCACATCTACCACCGATTCTCCCTACACACTACATCCCTCTGACAACCCTGGTGCTCTAATTACACCTGTGCTTCTCCGAGGTGATAACTACTCTGAATGGGCTACAGAGCTTTGGAATTCTCTCCAAGCCAAACAGAAGATTGGCTTCCTAGATGGTTCTATCGAAAAACCAGTCTCCAACCCTGATCTCGCTCGGTGGATTGCTACCAACTCCATGATAGTTGGGTGGATCCGCACAGCTATTGATCCTACCGTTCGGTCTACTGTCTCTCATGTCTCCGATGCATCAAAACTTTGGGAATCTCTCAAAAGTCGTTTCTCGACGAACAACGGAGTTCGCAAACATATGCTCGAAGATGAGATTACTAATTTCAAACAGAACGGACAATCCGTTCAGGATTACTACGGTCGTCTCTCCAAGCTTTGGGACGAACTACAGACTTTCAAGTCCCCTGTTTCGTGTACCTGCGCTGCTTCCGCTGCTCTCGACAAAGAACGTGACGATGCCAAAGTCCACAAGTTCTTGTTCGGTTTAGATGAAGCTCGTTTTACTACTATTCGCTCCCAAATCATCGATGAAGATCCTCTACCGGACCTCAACAGTGTCTATTCGCGTGTTATTCGTGCTGAACAACATCTCAACAAAACCCGGTCCTCGGAAATTCGCCAAGATGCTGTAGGTTTTTCAGTCCAAACTGCAACTCCTTCTTCTTCGATGCCTCTTACTGCGGCTGCGGTTGCGTCTCGTAGTCGGGATCCTAATCGCTTCTGCACTCACTGCAAGCGTAAAGGTCACGAAGCGTCCGAGTGTTTCTTACTTCATGGCTATCCGGAGTGGTTTATTGAACAACAACAACAGCGCTCCACCTCTTCTCCGAGTTCTCGCAGTCGTGGTGGTCGCTTCTCTGGCTCCGGCGGTCGCGGTCGTGGTCGTGCGAATGCATCTTCTGCCACCGTCAACACGCGTAGCCTACTGCTTCTTCTGATCAAATTGCTGCTTTGATTACTTTGCTTCAGAATCAGCAATCTAACCTCTCTACCGATCGCTTGTCTGGTAAGACAAACATTACTGATGTTATTATTGACACAGGCGCCTCTCATCACATGACAGGCGACTTGTCCCTCCTACGTGACCCTATTGACATTACTCCATTTGCAGTCACTTTCCCGGATGGATCTGCATCTCGTGCCACAAAAATTGGCACTTTGCCTTTGAGCAAAGATTACTTTCTTCTCAATGTGCTTTATGTTCCCAATTTCGATTGCACTCTGATCTCGGTTTCGAAGTTGCTTAAGCAAACCGGATGTATTGCGATCTTTACTGATACCTTGTGTGTTTTGCAGGACCGTTTTACGAGAACCCTGATTGGAGCAGGTGAGGAGCGAGAGGGGGTTTACTACTTCAAGGGTGTGATTGTTGCGAAAGCTAATCGGACCGGCAAGGAACAGATTTCCCCTACTGTCTTATGGCATCGACGACTCGGGCATCCTTCTTACAAAGCATTGTCTTCTTTACCAGTTTTTGATTCATTACGAGTTGATTTTGGACACATGCATCCCTGTGACATTTGTTTTCGTGCTAAACAAACACGAGAAGTTTTTCATGATAGTTTTAATAAAGCTTTGGAACCTTTTGCTTTGATTCATTGCGATGTTTGGGGTCCTTACCGAACTCCTTCCTCTTGTGGTGCTGCTTATTTTCTAACCGTCGTTGATGACTACTCCAGGGCCGTTTGGGTATACCTTATGCTCGAAAAATCAGAAGTTCGCAAACTCATACAGAATTTTTGTGCGATGAGTGAGAAACAATTTGGGAAATCTGTCAAAACTGTTCGCTCTGACAATGGCACTGAATTCATAGCTCTCTCCTCATTTTTCCGCAAGCATGGCATTGAACATCAGACATCCTGCGTCGACACGCCTCAACAAAATGGCCGTGTCGAACGCAAACATCGTCATCTCCTTAACATTGCTCGTGCACTCTTGTTTCAAGCCAAACTTCCGGTTACGTTTTGGGGAGAAAGCATTCTTACTGCAGCTCACCTCATCAATCGTACGCCTACTTTGGTACTTCAAGGCCGAACTCCCTACGAGTTGCTCTACGGCCGTCCTCCTGCTTATGATCTGTTACGCAGTTTCGGATCTCTCTGCTATGCTCATCGGCGGGCACGTGACAAAGACAAATTTGGAGATCGTAGTCGCAGATGCATCTTTGTGGGTTATCCTTATGGCAAGAAGGCTTGGAACCTGTATGATCTTGACCGGAATGAGTTCTTTTCTAGTCGCGATGTCATTTTCTTCGAGGATCAGTTTCCAGGCGTTTCAAACGATGACTACGTTACTCCTCCTGTTTTTCACCCTGATATTGCTATTGATGAGTGGCTTCTTCCGCTTGCGCCTTCATCTCCTACTCCGCCTATATCAGACCCTGTCACTACAACCGCCTCGATAACAGATTTGTCTGCAGCTCCTCTGCCTTTACCAGAGCACTCTGTTCCGGGTTCGGCGTCTCCTCGAGCTTTGCCTGAGTCTCCTTCTCGGCAAGCTTCTTTTCCACCGGAATCTTTGCCTGTAGAGCAGGATGCTCCTTCTCCAGGTCTTCCAGAGCTGCTTGGTCGTGGTCTTCGCCAACGACAACCGTCAGTTCTTCTTAAGAACTTCGTCGTCAATACTACACATTTCTCTACTCCCCCCTCTCTTGCTTCCTCAACTCCTGATCTTGGTCTCTCTACTTCGGTCTCAGGTAACACACTGTATCCCATCACCAACTATGTTTCTCAGGTGACTTTTTCTTCTTGTCATCAGGCTTTTTTGGCAGCTCTGACCGCATCCTCTGAGCCTACGTCTTACAAAGAGGCCGTGCTCTATGATGTTTGGAACGATTCCATGAAGGACGAATACTCTGCACTTGAGTTAAATCGGACATGGGATATTACGACTCTTCCACCTGGCAAGAAAGCTATTGGGAGCAAATGGGTATATAAGATCAAGTATCATTCCAATGGCAAGATTGCTCGTTACAAATCGCGCTTGGTGGCTCTTGGTAACCGTCAACGTGAGGGGCTTGACTACACTGATACGTTCGCGCCTGTCGCTAAGCCTACTACTGTTCGAATTTTACTGGATATTGCTGCTGCTAAACGTTGGGAGGTCCATCAGATGGACGTTCACAACGTGTTTCTACATGGTGACTTACATGAGGAGGTTTACATGAAATTACCTCCTGGTTTTGAGGGGTCTGATCCGACTAAAGTTTGTCGTCTTCGTAAATCTATTTACGGTCTTAAACAGGCCCCTCGTTGCTGGTTTGCCAAGCTTCGCACTGCTCTGAAGTCTTATGGTTTTACTCAATCTAAGGCTGACTACTCTCATTTTTCGTTCATACGCGACAAGATTAGTCTCCATATCCTCATCTATGTGGACGACTTTATTGTTGCTGGGAATGACCTATCTACTATTCAGCGTTTCAAGAACTACCTCCACAAATGCTTTCATATGAAAGATCTGGGCAAACTCAAGTATTTCCTCGGCATCGAAGTTGCTCGCAATTCTGAAGGGATCTTCATATCGCAACGTAAGTATGCTCTTGATATCATCACTGAAGCTGGTTTATTGGGATGCAAGCCGCCGACAACTCCTATTGAGCTTAACCACAATCTTGCTCGTGCTACTGGATCTCCTCTTGCGGACCCTGCTCCCTATCGTCGTTTGGTTGGTCGCCTTATTTACTTAACCTTTACAAGGCCGGAACTATGCTATGCTGTTCACATTTTATCTCAGTTCATGCAAACACCTCTTCAAGAGCATTGGAATGCTGCACTTCGCACTGTTCGATATCTTAAAGGCTCTCCGGGTTCTGGTGTCTTGCTTCGTGCAGAGTCTACTCTTCGTGTTACGGCCTACTGCGATTCCGACTATGGGACATGTCCTTTGACGCGTCGATCTCTAAGTGCTTATGTTGTTCTTCTTGGCTCCTCTCCAATCTCTTGGAAGACAAAGAAGCAAGATACGGTGTCCATGTCCTCTTCTGAAGCAGAATATCAATCGATGTCTTATGCTTTGCGTGAACTCAAATGGATCAAACAGCTCCTTCTCGCTTTTGGGATTCCTCATGATGAGCCTATGCAGTTGTTTTGTGATGCTCAGTCCGCCATTCACATTGCTGCAAATCCTGTTTTTCACGAACGTACCAAACATATTGAATCGGATTGTCATGCCGTACGTGATGCCGTACGTGATGCCGTTGAAGATAAGCTGATCACTACCGAGCATATTTCTACTAAAGAGCAACCTGCGGACATCCTTACTAAAGCTCTTCCTGCACCTACATTTGCGTACTTACTGTCCAAGTTGGGGATTCAAGATCTTTCACCGCCAACTTGAGGGAGGGTATAGAGATATGGAAATATGCCTTTACGATAACTACAATATATTCTATGTAATCTTCTCTAGATACGCTTTCTAGGTTAACCTACTTGTATAAATACCTTGCTATGTACATCAATAATACACACATTCACATTCATTACATATTTACATACACATCGAGCCCTTGCCTATATATAGTGTCACCTTCTTCCTCATTACCTTCGTACCACTTATTTCCATCAATCTCTCTCTCACTTTCAATCTTTAACATTTATAATCTCTCACTTCATAGCAATTTTTTTATATATAATCTCTCTTTCTCTCTCCAAAAATGAAGCTCTCTCTCCGTTTGGTCTCAGCCGTTCTCATCTCTTCCATGCTTTCTCGTGGCCACTGCCACAGGTTCAATTCTCGTGCCATAATAGTTACTAAATTTTGATATAGGCGGATAGACCATATAACATATACTATAGTTATATGTAATCACCTACATTTATACGAAATAACCATCAACAACCCATGCCTCCTCGTTGTTCCAATTATTTGCCTATAAGGAATGATTTCTAATCTATATTATTCTTGTAAATGCATTATTTGCTTTATTCCTCTCTTATTTGTTGTTCTCATTCCTCGTTTTCGCTATAACAAAATATACGATACGAGTTTTCTATGATTATTCTTGCAAATTAAATGCAAAATCTAAAACAATCTACATACTGTGAATATATCTTTTTTTTAGTCTGTATATGTAATTAAATATGTTTTCTTTTTTTTTTTCATCTCTAGAGATAAGTCCCGTAGCCGAGGAGCCACGAATTTGTGAAACACGCGAGCAAATGTTTCCCAGAGATTTGCTTGAATTCAAACAACTGCGCAATCATCTGCCGTCACTTTGAGGGTTTTGAAGGCGGTTACTGCAGTGTGACAATCCCTCCTCGTTGTTACTGCACCAAACACTGTCATTGATGCATGGGATCTTCATCATCGAAGATACCATATTCTCAAAAACCAAATATTTTCTATCTATCTCTACTATCATTCTGATGTTATTGTTCAAGAATATATCTTGTGTTAGGGACACGCTATGTTGATCCTTGTTACTCTCTCTAGCTGGTATTTTCCAGATTTATAATACATAATGGATTTCTAGTAAGAATTCAAGTCTATTGCTTTTTTTTTTTGGTTTTATATTAGTTATGAATAACTAACTGAAAATACAAAAAAATCAAATTCATGAGTTCATACAAATTCATAGATGATTTGAGTTTCTTTCCAGTCCATAGTCTCAATCGTTTGTACATTATATGAGCAAAATTATCCACCTTAAAAAATCTACAATTTTTTAAAAAAAAAAAACAAAATTGAATATCAAAATTGTATTCAAACAGTTTTTACAACTAGAGAGTGCGACTTTGGTATGAAGATTAAAATAAATTAATATTGGAATGAAATGTGATAATAAATTTCACATATAGAGTCACAAATGTCTTCTAATTAACGAAACTTAACTAAAAAGAGATATCATAGAAAACAAAAGTATAAAAAACGAATGATGTTTTAAATATGTTGAATTGGATTGATGTCTAACAGCTTAGAATATGTTTATCACTATATAACTAAATTTCGATATCAAAATATATCCCCCAAACAAATAAACATATGTATACAAAAGCCCTTAGGCGAGTGATTCCATATGGGCACAGCCCTGTATTCACTAAATCCCAAATCTCTTGCAACCACACTCTGAGCAAAATTTGGATGTATCTCTCAAGTACTGTGCTCCACATTGGTCACAGAATTTCGCCGGACTGGTTGGCTATGGAAAGACACAAAGATAAACATATGAGGACTTTAATGGAGATCGAAATGATCCATATGGAATAGAGATTTCGAAGATTTTGTACCATGACATGGCCTCCAGTGAGGGGTTGCAAGCAAGCCATGTGCTGCGAAATAGATGGTGACTGGTGGGTGTGAGATAGTTCAGGGTCACATTGATGGTTCTGACCAGGAAAATGTGCGGCAGCGTGTTGACTTTGGTAGATAGGTTGATGATGGTGGTGGCTCTGATGAATAGGTTGGTGAAACTGATGAGGATGATGAGACAGAGATGACATGTGATGTTTGGAAGGAGAAGGAGTGTGTTGTTGTTGTTGTTGTTGACTTTGATCCTGCAATTATCATAAGATAGTTGATCAGCTCAATGAGCTCAAGATCATAATGAGATTTGGTGTATAGATCTGAAAGGAGTATGCACTTACTTCACTAACAGAGCGAAATCCTTGTGTATTAGCTAAAGTAGATGAATCCATACCTGGAAATGTCTGCAGAACAAAGAAAAACAAACGAGTACAATGTCACTTTGTTCTTTCAACTCAGAAAGAAAGGAGTGTTAATCGATCTTACAGGTAAGCCATGGATGCTGGAGACAGAATTCTGAACACGCCTATGCTTGTGTCTAGGGCAATAGAATTTATAATCTCTTGCAGAGACAGCTACTTCATTGCGGCCTGTTAATCGCTTAAACCTGTAGTGACAATAATCCAATTATATACTGGTGTAGATAATTCACACACAAATTGAAAATAGTATAAACTAACCATTCAGCATCTTCAATCGGTAAATTATCCGGCTTTTCAACAATATCCAAACCGTTAACCACCACAAACCGAACTCGTTTCTCTTCATGTATTACCAATTCTGGAAACCTTGTCCTTGTCTCTACTGAAGTTGCCAGTTCTCTTCTCCTGTACATGCAAGCACCTGTGATTGACAAAACAGGACAATCACAAGTAATCAACATTTATCACTTTTTGCAAAACATCAGCAGATACGATTATACCTTTCTTAGGAAACTTCTTTGTTAATTTTCTATACAAGCCACCTGCTGCTTCAAGAGCTACACCAATAGTCTTTTCCCTTATTCCAGTCAATGAAGCAAGCCTCACATTTGCTTCACCGACCAAAGTCTCGTATAGATTCGCAATATACATAAGCGGCAACGCAAAACTCGGGTCACCTTCATACTTTGTATCATCCGACTTCCTCTTGACTTTAGTATTATTATTATCCTGTCCTCCTCCTGAACCCGTTTCATGATCACGCTTGTTCTCGCAGACTTCAATCACATGTTGACTTATAAAGTAATCCAATATGATTTGCAGAAATCTCCCTCGTGCTGATTCAATCGGTGAAACATCTAAAACAAAATAAACAATAGCAAAATGATAGTTAGTATATTCAAGAAAAGTCTGCACAGAGAAGAAGGTTACGATTTATGTTATTACCTTCAACGTTTAACATAGTGTAAGCTGATCCCTTGTTCTCCATGTTAGATCCACCTTCTTCAACTACGTCATTGTGGATTTGCATCGAGTTTCTGTATGATTCGTGCATACAGTCCTGAAACAAAACAAACCCGAATCATATTAGCCTAAAAATGTGAAACACACAACTTCAATTCAATTTCTCATACACAATTTTGAGCTAAGTTAGACATAAACCCTAAAAAAGGAGACATTTTTAACACACCGCGGAGGAGGAACCGCCGTCGTTGTCCAAGCTATCTCCGTCACGACCAACGGCGGCTCCGATGCCGTCGATATCTCTCGGTGGACCATCAACGGAGTTGAGATCGTTGAGAGAACTACTGATATAGGAATCAGCCGATCCCAAATTGTAATGCTGCACTCCAACCCTAGCTCCCATTCTCAAACTGGCCAAAAATACACACACAAATCCCAGAATCAGGATCGATTTTCGTATCAATCAACCATTTTCGATCAAAGATTCATCTCTGGAAGTTGCAGAATCATCTAGAAATCGCATCGTCAGAGATTTACTAAGACCGATCTCGTTGCTCCTCTACTGGTGATTAACGGCTATACAAACCGTGAACAACGAGAGAGAGGTGGAGAATCCGAACCTGAATCCGTACCTGAGCTTTATCGTATTCTGACAGAGATCTCCGAACCTGGCTCCGGACTCCACACCTGTTGCCGAGCCAGTCAGTGTCGGAAATTCTTACAAGTCATTTTCCCCGAAAGTAAAGAGTTTTATATTATATATAAAGTATTGTTTAATCCGCAAATAAACTAGTCCAAAAGCTTACAACTTTTTTGTTTGGGAACACATTCATAATTTTCGAAACTTATGAACTTCAAACTGTAACCTTCTTCTCTGAGACTATTTTTGTATTTTGAGTTTACATACATGAATATATAGTTTGAAACTACTCTGCATAAGGAAAATTATAGTTGTTCAAAACTAAGTATTCCAATCGTCAATAAGAGAAATACATTTTTGGGAAAAAAAAACAAAAAATATGTACACATCAAAAATTGGGAATTGATTTGGTTCCTCGATGCAACAACAATACAATATAAACAATGAAGAACCCTCCAAGTCGTCTTAACCCATCTGTAAGCAAATTACTTCATAATCTTCACCCCTTTCTCATCTTTTCCACAGCTTCAGAGCTCAGAATCTGTAACAAAAGGCTTAACCTTTTATTGTTTAATAACAGACCCAACTCAGATTTTGATATCAAAGCACTCAACATCGGATTTGTTTTCAAACCTCAGCTTAACAATATATATCCATTCGATAAGCTTCTCCTCGGATGACTAGCTGATATATTCACAGGGGAGGCTCAGGCTGAAGAGTCCAGAGTCCAGACTCTGGTTCTTGTTTCTTCATTTTCTCCAGAAGAAACAAGGTTTGGATCCGAATACCTGATTCGGTCTTGCAAGAGCAAATAAATTGCATCTTTCGAGTTTCAAATGTTTGGAACTGCATTATTGTTGTCACTGGTCAAAACCTGATGCTTCATCAAATAACTCTGCAACTCTACAGCTTCGTCAACACATCCAAGCTCATAGTGTTTCTTCAAGACACTAATACACAAAACCTCGTCAGGGAGAATTCCTTCCCCAATCATTTCCTCGAGGAAGGATCTTGCTTTCTGCAACTGATTGCATTGTGATAATCCCCAGACTAATGAAGTGTACGCAAGCAAATCAAGCTTCATACCAATCTCAGCCATTTTGTCGCGTAAAGCCAAAGCCTGTACCACATTCCCTTGCTTCAATTTCCCATCTATTAACGATGTGTATGCGGTTCTGTCTGGGACTAGACCTTTTTGAGCCATTTGTTCAAAAAGGGTTGTTGCGGCCTCAACTTGATCTTCTTTACAGAGACCATCTATCATGGCTGTATATATCGCTGCGTTTGCTTGTAGACCAAAATCGTTACTTATCCTCCCGAAATAATCAATAGCCTTAGAAACTAACTTGTTTTTGCACAATCCATCAATCAAAACACAAAAGGTAACAGCTGTGACCTCGATATCAAGTTCTAGCATCTCTTCTAGCAGATGCAATCCCTCAGAGGGGTTTTCCGACTTAAAATAAGCATCCATTAACGTTGTATAGATAAACGTATTTGCTTTAATTCCTTTTTCCTGCATTTCATTCATCACTACCTTAGCGGCCTCGATCTTCTCTAGACCGCACAAACTCCAAATAAAAGTTCCATAGAGCAGTAAATCTGGTTTAATACCTCTCCCCTTCATTTCGTCTAGAAGCTCTAACGCTCTGTCCATGTTTTTCGCCTTTACAAATCCATGAATCAGAGCAGTGTAACTTGCAAGATTTGGAATCACACCGGCTGTAACCATTTTGCCAAAAAGTTCTTCAGCTTCTTTTATCCTCTCCACATCACAAAGACCATCGATCAGTGCAGTGTAAGTGACCACATTCCATTCCACACCCACCTGCGACATCTCATCAGCCAGCCTAAAAGCATCTGAGAGATTACCGATTTTACAATAGGCATCAACGAGGGAAGTGTAGGTATGCTCATTAGGCACAAGACCAAGTCTTCTCATGTCAACATAAAATTTCAGGGCTTGTTGCATCATATCCTCTTTGCAAAAAGCATCAACCAAAGTGCTGTAACTCACAACATTCGGTTTCAACCCACTTTGCTTCATCTCCCTGAAAAACTCCAGACCCTTAGGCAATTTCCCAAACTTACAGAAACAATTGATCAGCGTGTTGTATGTTATAACATCAGGCTCACAGCTCATACTCTTCATTTCCTCGAAAAAGTAAACCGTATCATCTAATCGACCAACCTTCCCATAACCATCAATCATAGAATTATATGTAACAGTGTCTGGAATCAAACCTCTAAACTTCATTTCTTCAAACAAGCCACTGGCAGCTTCTATATCTCCTTCTTTACACATACAATCTATCATTATGTTGTAAGTAAACACAGTGGGTTTCGAACCAGCGCCAATCATATCCTTGAAAAACCTCTTCATCCCATCCGTCTTCCCTAATCTCGCAAACTTATGCAATAAACCGTTGCAAGACCGGGTTTTTGGGAAAACCCTACATCTCTTCATCTTAGAGAAACACTGGAGAGCTTCCTCAAACATATCTTCCTCAATCAAAACACTAAACAAAGCATCAAACACTCCAAAACCAGGAACACACACATTCCTTGTAGACCATAGAACATCAAAAACATCGCAGTCCTTTAATTCAGCCTTGGACAAAACCATCTCTCTAAGGATACGATTAGCATCATAATACATTCTAGCACAAAACAGAATGTGAGCTACTATACAGTATGATTCAATGGTGTGCTTAAACCCATTACGGTTCATAGACCATTTGAAGAATTTGAAAGCTAGTTTCGGGTCTTCTTTCAATTCAACGAGAATCCTTGGAACCCAAATCGGAGCCAGTGTCGAATCAAACAGCTTCTCAATTTGGGGATCATCCCATAGATCATTCTGAACAACGTTGCGGATCCAATTTATTTCGAAATCTTCGGAATAGCTAGAAGGACCGCTTTTGCTAACGAAAGGGTATCGAATGATGCAGAGAAAGCTAGTGAACCAAACGAAAGGACACGAGATAAAGGAAGCTTGAGAGGGAGAAGACAGAGGAAAACAGAGAGGTCCTCGAATTTGAGAGAGAGAAGAGGAACAAGGGCTTACGTGGCGAGGGAATCTGCGATTAACGTGAATAAAGTTGCGAAGAGAACAGAACATTTTCAGGAAAAACTTCAAAGCGAATAGAATGAGCCTCATTGTTTAGCTCAGAGACATTGTATTCTACTATTCCTCAGCTATTCTAGTGAGTGAAGATGAAGAGGAGGAAGAAGAAGAAAGTAGGGTTTATGAGCTCTGGGTTTTGTTGGCTCTTTTCCCTTGAAGACTAGTATTTTTTCTTTCAAGTTATTTTGTTTAGTTTGTAAAATATGGATTCTTCATGGGCCTTTAGCTAAATTCTACATATAGGCCCAACAAAAGGTTAATCTGTATTTTCTTCTTACTTTTTCAACATATGATTTTCTAATTTTGTGTCAAATTAGATAGAGATAACCAAATTGTGGCACCAGATAATTCGCTTGAATGTATGGCGTGCTGTTTTCTCTCAAAAAATTATAGTATACATATTAAATACATAATTGTATGTGAATGAATCATGTTATTTCTTTGACAAAAAAAAAAGAAACATGTTATTTCATCTTATAAAAAGCTATTTAATGAAAGGTATACAGATTTACTTTTATCATTTCGTTAAATCATCAAATACTGAAAAATAAACAAGTTGGTTGCTATGAAGACCTCATTTTATGACGTACTACGGATACCTTTTAATTTAAGGAATAATATAAGGAAGAGCCCATATATCGAAACAAACTAAGAAAAAAAGAAAACAAAAAATCAGAAATTTGAGGTAGGTTATACTTGTACCATTGTATCTTTTCTTTCTTCTACTGTTACAATTTAAGAAATCATAATAGAAAAAAAAAATGGCGAATTAAAACTCAGTGACAAGCCAAAGAAGATAAAGCGACTTGCATTATTTGCTCTCCATTCGCATTTAGCAAAGAAAAGGAGCAAAAAGGCATTATGTGTCACACACCTTATATCATCATTCTCTTTCTTCGAAAGGTTGAAGCTGCTTCTTTTTATGACAACATCTCAACAGTCTCCTTCTCAATGTCATCTTCACCTTCTGCTGCACCTCCTTCTGTTGCTTCTTCTCCTTCCTCAGCCGCGTAAACAACTCCTTCGCCTTCTGCGCCTTCTTCGTATGCGTATTCTCCATCTTCTTCATATCCTTCTTCGTAATAGTACTCTCCGTTTAGCTCATCGCCTTCATAAGCTTGCTCCTCTTCATTTCCTTCATACACTTGCTCCTCTTCTTCCCCAATCACTTCTTCTCCTTCCTCCATAATCGTTCCTTCTTCTACTTCAGCTTTGTGGATTGGTATGGGTTCAGAGACAACCTCGGCTTTCTCTTCTGTTCTGAGTTTGGTCTCATCTCCAGCTCCCTCCTTCGATATCGTCTCGTCCTTGTTGTCGCTGCTACCACCAGATGCAGCCGCTCTTTTTCTCTTGAGAATCTCACTGAAAGGCAATGGAGCTGCAAATGAATCTCCTGATCGCTTATGAGGCTGATGATCCTCCTCCAAGCCTTTCCTCTTCCCAAGAGATGTCTCCGTCTTACTTTCCTCTTTTTTGCTGCTTCTAGTTTCTGCAATGCCTCTAGGAGCTGAAAAGCCGGGTTTTCTTTCGTCTTCCATTTCTCTTCTTCTCGTCCATGGAGCTCGGGGACCTCTTTCCTGGCTACCACTATGGTTTTCCTCTAACCTACCCTTAATCCTATCCCGGAGTCTACCTTGAGATAACTCGCTTCTGTCCCTTCCTCTCTCGGTTCTCCTATCAAAGTGAGCGTCGTCGCCATTGCTTCTCTCACGAAGCTTAATTCTACCCTGAAGACGACTGCTGCTAATGGAGCTTTCCCTCGGTGTATTCCTACGAGAGTCTCTATATCCTCTTTCCATTGAAGAATCGGGAGCAGCATAGTCATGGCTTCCTACTGATCCCATACCATTAACTTTCCTCTGCTTAGCCAAGCGATATCTCAAATCTGATGGCGGTATGTTCTCTGATCTATCATCTTCCGCATAAACCCTTCTTTCCGAACGATCTCCTCTCTCAGAAGAAGCTCGACGGTGGCCCCATGCGTACCTGTCTTCCCTCTGGTCATATGAATCAAAACGTTGATCACGGAATGCTTCTCCATCACCATCAGCCATTGCACTGAAATCAGGGTCATACTCATTCACAGAGTTCCCACCCTCCTGACTTCGGCGTCCATATCGATCTTCAACATGATAATACTCAGAATCTCTAGCCTCGTTGTCCACAAGAACATCAAACCCAGGAGACGACTCTCTTAAGACGTCATCTGCGTCCTTACCATTGTGGAAATTGCTAATATCATCAGATCCATATTTCTGAGGCAACTGAGTCAAATGGTCTCTTTCAGTAAAAGAAGGAACACACACAGCCTTTTTCTGCACAACAGGCTCATATCCCACATGTTTTGGAGTATATCCCTCTACACCTCTAGTATCCCTTAGACCAGCAGATGTGACTCTTGGTGCAGCAGATATGTCAACATGGGCTTTAACTGCATTTTGAAGATTAGCATCAGGCAATTTCTTCACCCCGGCGTAATTTTCAACTGGTTTTTTGGAAAGCTGAGGATCAGCAGCAGGCTTAGCTTCTACCGGCTGCTGCTTCTTATAACCAGGATTCGACGTGTGCATAAATGAACACATATCTCCTTTCACACACATACCCTTTTGAAAGAAAACACATGGAACCGGCTGTTTTGCAACACCAGGATGAGCAACTGCGTGTGATGGCTGTAAAGAACCAGAAGGAGCACCTCCTTTATTTTCCAACAATCCCTCCAAAGGCTGTAAGAAAATAAACAAAAAGCCTCAACATAAGCACTTGATCAAACATGTTCAAGCTCTCAATTAAAATTATTGTAGTGAGGAAGAAAGTAAACTCACAGGATGCCGAAAACCACATTTGGGATTCATGCAATTTCCACTCAGCCAATAATAGCAATCCCTTGGGTTGACACGCGCATACTCACTGTGGCGATACTCACACTCGGCTCCCTGCAATGAAAAAGAAGAGACCATAAGAATCCCTATAGCTGATCATACTAGTTGCAGCAAGTATAAGTATAAGCCTGAGGAAGTTTAGAACAAGAACTATGGGGAAGATCAGATTGTACACATTGAGCAAAAATCTTTTTCACAGAAAGACCTTCCTAATAAAGCGTTACTTGTATCAGGAAGAAACAAGCCCACTTTGAATCAGGAAGCTCGAAATCGCCCAGATCTAAATTTTGCAACCAATCACGCAGATGGAAAACCAAAGTGTGTATTACATAACTTCGAGCGAAACCAAAAACACGAAATCGAGTGTAAGAGAAACTTGAGATCTCGAATCCAAAACCCTAATTGAAGCAGAGACTGGATAAGATCTAGAAGAAACATAATCAAAATCAATACCTTCTTGCAGGTTAAAGGAGACGCAAGAAAGTAAACGCAATCGGTGTTCCACTTCAAGGCTTCTTCCTCAGCAGATGAAGCAGGCTCCGATTGCTTCTTCTGCTGCTGCTGCTGCTGTTGCTGTTGGGTCGCAGGCGCAAACATTATTCTAAATTTCTAATTCTCTTTCTCGTAGATCGCAAGGTTTCAGATCGAAACCCTAGAAAGATCGAAGCCTAAACGTGATAAAGAAACCCGATCAGTGAGTCCCGTGGAAGAAGAAACGGAGCCGCCACAGAGTGCGAATCAGAGAGAAACTACGACTGTGTTTGTGCCCTTTAAAAGCTAAGCCTAAAAGTTTTTTTCTTTTTTCTCTCTTTTTTCTTTTGCGATGGGATATTAATAGATGAAGTTCGGTTCGTATACTTTTATCAATCAAATTTAGACACGTGGTAGTGTTTTATTGGTAGATACGTTACCCAAATTATGTTTCCTTTTGTTGTGAAGACAGACGGTGATAAGACATTTAAACCGACCTAAAGAGAACCGAGTCTGGACCAAAATAATTATAAATCTACTGATCTTAAACCGAGTCTGAACCAGAAAAGTTCTGAACTGATTAGTGTTTCCTCAACCAAACAGAAGTCGTATACAGTATAAACGAATCGAACTTAATAAACGAATTTTTAAACTCATAGTTTAAAATTATTTTTGTCATACTTTAACCAAAACCAAACCAGAATTTAATTTTTCCGAACCAAATATTTGGTTTTCAATTTGGTAAGGATGACTTGGACCGAATAATTTGAGAAAGTTTCCCAGATTTAATACATAAGCAACTAATATGAATATTACAACAAAAAGTACTATTACAAAGCTTTTTATTGTACAAAATGATAGAAATATGGGTTCTTGAGAATTTAACAAACAAAATAAATTTTGGTTTTTTTTAAATGTTATTAAGAACAAAAGCTAAAGCAAGAGTGCAACAATGAAGGTACTTTGCCTGTTCTTCTGATTTGTTCAGCTTGTTTCTCTGTTTTAGCTGCTTGACGATTCTTCTTTGCTTCAGCAGCTGCTCGCTTCTCCTCTGCTTTGCGCTCGATCGCAGCTAGTTTCTTCATCAACCGGTCTTGTGCTCGTCCCTTTATCCTTTCAACTTCCACCTGCAATGTCAAGAATCCCGCCATCGATTACACAGACTTTATAAGCGGAGTCCACGGTTTACACGACGGTTTACTTTGACTATGTTTTTAAAGGTTTTCAAGCTACTTGCCTCAGTTTTCCTCATCTCGGCTTCAGATTTCGCCTTTTGATGATTCTCCCATGCTTGTATCTTCATCTCTTCGCGTCTAAACCTGAAGATTACACAAGTCACTTGAAGCTAAGAGTTTTGAAGAAAACTAGAGCACTATGACTAAACAGTGCAAACTTGGAGTACCTAGCCATGTGCTTAGCCTTTTCCGCTTCCTCCCACGCGGAAGCACGAGCTTCAGAGACACTCTTAGAATTCTGTAGAGAAGCTTTGGTCTTTAGTGATGTGGAAGCATCTTTGTCCTCATCCTCTTTGCTAGCCCAAGCAGCAATGTTTAATTTACCGAGCTGAGTTCCCAAAACCATTATCTCTCTCCTAGTTTTCATTTGAAGTTCTTTCTCTGAGAGCTCCTTGTTCGTCATAGGAGAAGCTGATGCTCGTCTCCCTGGACTTGAAGGTGCAGAAGATATAGGACTTCGAATTGGTGTTGTTGCTCTGATCGGAGTCCCGTTTCTTGAAGGTTCTTGACTCGCTATAGGAGTCATTTCTGTTCCCATGTCTCTCATCGATACAGATCTCGCTGTTGAAGGCGGTTGTGCAAACGCAGTTGCGACTGACGAGTCGTGTCGACTGAGATTAACTGCAAGAAAGCAAGAAATTCTGGATTTAGAAGATAAACAGAGCATACACACAATCAATGAATCAAATAACTGAAAGACAGAGAGAGAGACTGTTAGGACCACCTTCAGTTGCTGATTCTACAAAAGAGTTCTCAACCATAAGAACAGGTTTGACATATGAATCAGCTTCCCAGCTAACAAACTTATGTCCTGTGTCTTTTCTCGCTTGGCTTACATCTATTCTCTTTGTATCAGGTTCTTCAACAGCAAACGCAACCGCTCTTTGATCAGCAACTTCAACACTCTTCATAGAAGACTGCCGACCAAAGCTAGGTCCTTTCTTTGACCCAGGAACCAGAACCTGTCCCTTTCGGTTAGCTGTTGGGCTAGCGATCCATTTCTGTGCATCGTCCCATTTAGATGGAGCTGGTTTAGAGAACGATCTAATGGGCATTCTTTGAGGGAGCTTTTCTTTTTCTGTCTTTTGAAACTCAAAGACTGATGCAGAAACACTCTTAATGTCGTTGACATTGTCGTAATCAAGACTCGGGTACTCTTGAAGACCCGAGCTAGCCATCACTGAAGTAGAAGAATCAATAATCTCACTCACAACATCAACGTCTTTGCAATCATCTGATCCACTAGCAACTGCATTTTGAAGCAACAAGAACTGAGTGTTAAAGAATGAAGTCACAAATTAAGGTCACAGGAAGAAACCATTTTCAACTTTAAGGGAAAAATAAAAGGAACCAGTTCTTAAGATTCCATTAAGCAAATAGGGACAAAAACGTTTTAAAGGTGTATTAAGAAATCATTAAGGGGCTCCACCATAAACCCTAGATTCTGAATAAGAACACAAATAAAGGGAAAAAAGTGTACCAGGGTCATCAATTTGATTTGACCCAGATCTCATTGTAGGAGTAGATTCAAGCATTTCCTCTTTCTTCTTTCTATCAACACCGAGAAGCATCGTCCTTAACTTCCCCGGAGAAAATCCGCCGCCACTAGTAACCTATAACAAAACTCATCGGAGAAGAAGAGTTTATATAATAACTGGGTAAAGTAAGAAACTTTAGTGAAGCAGAGAGATTTCTCAAATCAAAGACAGAGATGAAATGAAATGATTTGAAAAAGACGTTTCGCATTTTCTGTTCACAGTAAAAAGATTTTCCCCCAAATCAACACGAAAACGACGCAATTGGAGCGAAATCAACAGAGATCAAAAGTTGCTGCCAAGTCGAAGAAATCCGAAAAACGCCAAATATTGCTTTCTTTTACCCTAATCCCACGCAAAACCCTCTTTCCCGAATCGAGGAAAGCGTGAAGGCGAAGCATTTTTCCAGGGAAAGAAAAGAAAATCTCACCTGGGTCTTTCCAATTCGCTCGTAATCCATCGAGAAAGAGAGAGAATCTTCACTTGGCTTCACTTCACTTTTAGTGTCTAGTCTACTCAAATCTCGAGGGAGAACCTCAATAAACCAAAATCTTAAAAACAAGATTGATGAAAATGTGTAAGAAAAAAAGGAAAAGAAGAATAATAGATTATCAGAGCATTATTTTGAATGGAAGAGTACAGTGATAGAGCTTGGAAGCTTGCGTAAGTACAGAGACTGATGTTTCTTCTCAAAGCTTCTCTCTTTTCTTTTTATTTTCTAAGCTGACATCAAAATAAGGGACATTCACAGTGATGGAGCCTTTAGTTGAGCAACTGTACTCTTTTGCCAGAATGTAAAAAAAAAAAAAATTACAAAATGAAATTATTGTCATCATCGATAATCTTGATCTCTAGTTCAAAAATCGTACATAATTCTTCACTTTCAAAATTTGTTGTAGATAATACGAAAGAGTTGGTATGTGGAACCCTAATAAACACTACAGTTTATTACAAAAGCATACATGTCTATATTTAGTATCCACTACATTTTCCAAATCAAATTCAAAAATTTTAAACATCGGAAGAAAAACTAATTTGTTAATTGTATTTGTAAATTTAAACGCCAACACACAAAAATACAAAATCATATTTTCCTTGGCATTTGAGTTTACACCTTTTAAAAAAATATTATACAACAAACTGAATAGTTTCAAATATATGCAAACGCATCAAAAAACTAAATCATTCGTTTTTGAAATACTAACTCTAAATTGTGAAGAACAAATCAATTTGGAATGTCATTATTAAGCTAAGATTGTTAGTTAAATATTTATCTTTGCACTAAACATTACATATTGATTAAAACTTTGGCACCAACAATGATTAGGAAGAAAAAAAAAAGGTGGCCTGGCCTCCATAGGATGCTGTCTGATAAGGCCCATAAGGCCATAACTATTTCACGGTCAAAGGAAATGGGTTCCTTTTGACTTCTACTATGACAGCTATTGTACTCGCGTATCCAACAGACCAAATGCCAAGTCGAAATTACTTCTCTTTTTCTTTTTTCTACATCAATCGAAACTAATTACTCGATTCCTAATCATCTCTCTTCTTTACCATTCTCATTTTCCAACTTAGGTTTTCAATAGAAGAGTAATTGTATTTACCGTAGAACGTTGATACAACTGCGGAAAATACAGACATGGATTGGTCACTATTCCCAAAAAATGTTTTTCCTTAATGTGATATAGTAACTCTGTTATAAGTTTTACAGTTTGATTAGTAACATTCTACTGAGTTAAATAATCACATTATAATCTGTTCTATGATTTAACGTTTGATTAGTAACATTCTATCGTATTGTAAGATAATCACACAACTATGGTTTAGAGTTCGATTGATAACTAGGATAAAAAAGTGTACTCTTATAATAGCTATCAATTATAAAAACAGTTAAATTATTATTTTGTATTATTTTTATAACTATTTTTTATAATTTTAATCTCGTAATTCTTTTGTCGCATTAGGAAAACAAAATCCTGTTTTATGTTACCAAATTACCAATCAAACCCTTAACTTAGGTAGATTAGCCGAGTGTGAAGAGAAAATTGAGTGATTGAGACTCATCAAGGTATAATTAAAATGTAAATTACCAAAAATGTCATAATCTGTTTACTTTTGTTTTCACTTCATATTTGAATTCTACATCATATCGCGTTTATCCCATCATATTTTTGTGGACCAGCCAGCTTGGTTTTACTCTTTATCCACATGTGCCACGTGGAGCAGCGTGTCAGTCAACATTCATCAACAACTTTCATCTCTCGAAGATAATTACCGGTTATCACCGGTGCTCCCTCATTTATTTAATTATTTTTATATATTTTATTTTTTCCTCGTCAGACTCTTTCGTCTCCGACGTCGGCCGTTATTTTTTTCCAATTTTTATTTCGGGAAAATATCAAAAACAAAACAAAAAAGGAAGAAATAAAAAGAGGTGATTCGAATCGATTTCTCATTTATGTGTAAATAAAAACTAGATCGAGAGCTAAATCCAATAAGGAATCTGAATCGTATTTTTCCTCCATAGATGAGAATCGGCGGCGTCGAGATTATGAAATATGCGTCGGAGATGATGATGTCTTCTTCTTCGTCGGTGGAAGCGTTGAATCTCAAGGAGGCTTCGAATTGGTGGTCGGACGTTAACGAGTCGCCGATTTGGCAGGATCGTATCTTCCATTTCCTCGCTGTTCTCTACGGGATCGTTTCCATCGTTGCTGTGGTACTTTCCGGCTTTCGTTTTGCTTTAACTCCTCTCGTTCTGGATTTTTGAATCATCGCTTAGGAGAATAGGTGTACCATCGTTTGATTGAAAAGAGGAAATCGATGTTCGTTTTTTTGCTAGATTCAACTTGTGAGAATACAATTGAGAGTTCCAGAATATGGCTGGACGACGCAAAAGGTCTTTCACTTTCTCAATTTCGTGGTTAATGGAGGTTGGTGCTGCGAATTGTGGTTTTCGTGTTCTTGGGTTTATTTTCTGTGGATTGCTTATTGATTTTGCTTGTCTTCTGTTTTCGCAGTCCGGGCTGTGGTTTTTGTATTCAGGCGGAATGTGCAGTTCATGCATCCAGAGGTTAAAGGGTCTTCATTATCATTTTTCATTTCAACATTTATGCCTGGTCTATTATGTCAACCTTTCTTGAATTTGTAAATCTTGCTGGTTAACGTGTAGATTCTGCAACATATCTTGCTTGATATTCCAAGTCTTGCTTTCTTCACCACCTATGCTCTGCTAGTCCTCTTCTGGGCTGAAATTTACTATCAGGTCATTTCTGATTAGTATATAGTTTTATATTTTCTCTTTCTGGTTGGTTTTGATATTTATCCAGTCCCTCTTTGATTGGACAGGCGCGTGCGGTGTCCACTGATGGACTGAGGCCAGGCTTCTTCACTATTAATGCAGTTGTGTATGTAGTTCAGGTATACAATGTTTCCATGCAATCTTTCAGATATTAGCGAAGTTCATAAAAATTATTTTGTTTTTGTGGGGTCATGGGCTCGTTCCTGGACTAACTCGGTGTATTACTTCCAGATTGCTCTTTGGTTGGTTTTGTGGTGGAAGCCTGTTCGGGTTATGATAATCCTATCAAAGATGTTCTTTGCAGGTAATTAGCTTCAATCCTATTTCACCCAAGCATTGCTACATTATACCTCTCCTGCTATGTAATCCATAGTACTTGTCTCACCTCTCTTGCGAATGCATACTTGCAGGTGCTTCATTGTTCGCTGCCCTTGGATTTTTACTTTACGGTGGAAGGTAAATCTGTTGCCAGTTGAACTACATTTGACACTACTATAGTTCCTATGATTACTTGTCAAATCATTTTTAATATTAGGAACTGTGTTGCCAAAAGTCACCATTGAGTAATGAGATCACAAATTGTGCCTATCTTGCTTGCAGTCACAGTCACTTGCATTCTTGTTCTGCTTTGGTGCCTAGCTAGACTAGATTCCCTTTGTGTTAGAGCCGTTAACATTTGTGTACCATTGAAAATGACTATAGCCTTGCATTCGGGCTTCATTTTTTTGTCCTTTTATGTTTATCTTATGGCAGGCTTTTCCTAATGTTGCAACGGTTTCCAGTAGAATCTAAAGGGCGGCGCAAAAAGCTGCAAGAGGTGATCTATTGTACAAAGCTCACAAGTATAGCCAATCAAGTCTTTACTACTTTCTGCTTCTTCACTATTTAACCCGTTTCTGTCTTATGTATGGTAGGTTGGTTACGTGACAACCATATGCTTCACGTGTTTCCTCATCAGATGTATCATGGTAAAGACACACACACAAACACATTGTTTTGTTGATATCTATTAATGCTTACCTTCTTGGTTGGATCTTCGCCACTATAGTTAGTTTTATAATTAATTACTAACCAAAGTTTTTATGTCATTTAATATGGTTTAGATGTGCTTTGCTGCTTTCGATGAGGGGGCAAACCTTGATGTGTTGGATCACCCCATCCTTAACTTCATATATTACTTGGTGAGCTCTCTCGTACCTTAATCATAGTATCTGATCATGAATCTTAGCTTTACACACAGAAAAAAAAAAGAAACCGTTTCTTTCTGGAGTTTTTTTTTCCGGCTTGAAACCTGATCTTGTTGGTTAATTTACAGTTGGTAGAGATATTACCTTCCTCTCTGGTCCTCTTCATCTTGAGAAAGCTACCACCAAAACGAGGCATCACACAATATCACCAGATTCGTTGAAATGTAAAGACACGACAACAAGTGATCAGACGAAGACAGGACCGTGTTTCTTTTATCAGATATGTTTTTCTGTGTTCAATAGAGAGAAAAGCATAAGATACAAATGAAATAGATCTAAAGCTGATCAGTCTTTTTGGTTGATAATAGGAGATGAATTCGCCTAAGTTTTGGAAAACTGGGTCTTGTTCCCTTTATATAGCTAATGTTGTAAAGAAAAATATTTTAAAAAAAAAAGAACATGGAAGGATTTGTGCATGAAAGGAGGAGAAGGAAGGTCCTTTTCTTTTTAGGATGATGAGTTTTGTGGTTCTTTGTGATCATATATTATTATGGAATAATAGTAGTCAGGTGAGATCAAAGTACCTAACTGCTCATTGTAATAAAATCAATTGACTCGGTTGGTAATTCTCCTACCGGTCTTGTTTAACATCTATAAGCCTATGGAAAATGAAGTTTCAACCAAGTTTACGACCAAACGATGCCATTAACAAACATCCTAGTTACAGTTATTTTTTTCATTTCAATGAAACTATTTAACTAAACCTGCAGCAAAATTTACGAATATGGGATAGAAATTTTTTTTAGAAGAAGTATATGTCTGAAGAAATAAGGTAAGTAACGTCTTGTTTCCAAAACACAATTCAAGAGTGCTTTGAAGATGTTTGCTTATTCATTGTCAGCGAGATTGTTGACCAAATATACTCGCTCTACAGGTCTTCGACCACGGTTTCAAGTCTCTGATCTTCCTCCAAAATCCAAAATCATATTAAAATTTTACTTTTAAGCAATAACATGTCTTAGTTTCCAAAGAAATTTTAGTTCATTGACTTTGTAGAAGGATTACCTACTTCGAATGGCATCAATATCATTTTTTGTAGTGGTGGCCGGATGATGGATCGGCTAAGTACATCCACTTCTTAGGCCTGAACATCCTTTCATGGTGCGGATGTGGCATCCGAATTCATCAAAGAAGCGGTGAGATTTACATGTTTCCCATCATCTATTGTCTCTGATCATTACAAAAAAATTTCTGAGTACTTTTTTTGGTAAGAAAGCTTTCGATTGTCTAGCACTAAGTTGAAGTTCAGCTTCGCAGACTGATGATCAGACAGAAGTGCTGAGTAGATGTCTTGAAACTTACATGCGTTGTTTTGCTTCTAGTCACCCTCAGACCTGGTCTAAATTCTTACCATGGACTGAACAGTGGTGCAATTACAATACGTCTTATCATATTAGCTTTAATGTGGTTAATGGTAACGATCCACCATTGTTATTGCAGTTTGAAGGAGAATCGACAAAGAACTTTGAGTTGGAAATTGTATAGTTATGACGAATGGTGGGGACTTTTTTTTTTTTTTTTTTTTGAACATACGAATGGTGGGGACTAAATTATTTTAAATAGTTCTTGGTGTGGAGATTGTGCTAGATTTATCATTTCTTCAATTATAAAGATTTCTCCCATCATGAAATAAGAAAAGTCCACTAGAGATATCTCGTATGAGAAGGGTATCTTAAACTGAGGTAACAAACAAAAACAATGAAAGGAAGGCAATTGAATTAGTCACATTTTGAGTCCTGCAACTATAAATGCATTTTGAAAATAGATGGTGATAGTTATATCATACAAGCATTATGATGTTTTTTTGTTCTTCTCGTCTTCATATGCCATATTTTTGGCAGTTTTCATGTAACGTTGAAAAGAGACATAAGTGGACATCTTGACTATAAAATCTGTATTCTTTTTTTTTTTTTTGGTCAAAACAACTATCACATGATTTACATCTGTATCTAACCTTCGAAAATTATAAGACAAAAAACTAGAAGAGTCTTAGTTTGTCAATTCGCGCGCTATGGGGATTGGGAAACCAATAGAAAGATAACTGGAAATGGAATATGTTCAAACTCACACTTTTCCAATTTTCAGAAGCAAATATTATATTTTGACTATACGAAGTCAAAATCTTTGAATGTTTTTGGTTCAGTGAGTTGAACAATATTTCCATTGACTATAGTTGGCCGAAAGGAATTCCATTGAGTTAATGAAATGGTTTCTTAATGAACATTGACTATAGTTGGCCAAAAGGAGTTCTATTGTTGAAGGCCAAGAGGAGTTCTTAGCTAACAAATTAAATATTTCTGTTTTTCAAAGAAATCTACCAAATATGGAAAGGTAATAACATTATCAACGGAGATCCCATAAAGCAAATCATTATTCATATCAAAACCAAACATTTATTTTGTTTTATATAAAATGCTCGAAACACAACAACTTATAATTTCTGAAAAATTACAAAAAGAGTTTTCAGTTTTCTCAGACAATGTATGTTTTATCTCTTATCTTCAATATCTGAACCTGAATCACAAATTGGGAGATTCAAATGAAATAAACGAAGAAACAAATTATTCTCTGGAAACTATTTACATTGTATCCCAAAAGTATGAAAACCACTCCCTACAAAATGTATCACTTTTGCCTCTCAAGATTTAAAAAAATCTGCAGAGAGAAATGTTTCTCCTTCTTCTAGACATCATCAAGCCAAGACACTAACTCTTGAGTCGTTGGTCTCTGTTTCGGGTTCTCGCTTAAACATAAACAAGCAACTTCAAGAACCCGTAACATCTCTTTCTCATTCTCTTTACCGTGAATCAAAGGATCGAAAACCTCGCTTGCTCGATTCTCATTCTTCATCCTAACGACCCACGAGATCAAATCCCTACCTCCTTTCGGTTTACACATATCCACAGGTCTTTTATCCGTCAAAAGCTCGAGAAGCACGACACCGAAACTATAAACATCTCCTTTGTAAGTAGCAACCGAGGCTTGTCCATATTCCGGAGGAATATAACCCAAAGTCCCAACCAAATCTGTACTCACATGCGTCTCGTAAGGACTCATCAGCCTCGCTAGTCCAAAATCTGCTAAATGAGAATCGAAATTCTCATCAAGAAGAATGTTGCTCGACTTAATATCTCGGTGTAGTATATGAGGATCACAAGCTTGATGCAAGTAAAACAACCCTCTCGCCGCGCCTTGCGCGATTCTAAGCCGAGTTCTCCAATCTAGTAAAGCTGGACCATCGTTACGCTCGTGTAGCCAATAGTCTAAGCTTCCATTCTCCATGTACGAGTAGATCAAAAGCCGGTCTGTTTTGTAAAAGCAGAAACCTTGAAGAAGAACAAGATTCGGATGCTGTGCTCTTGAGAGTGTTTCAACCTCTGCTTTGAACTCTCTTTCGATTTGACCGCAATCTCCAGATAACCGCTTGATCGCGACTTTTCTCCCGTCCGGTAACGTTGCTTTGTAAACCAGACCGAACCCACCACAGCCAATGATGTTAGCTTGGTCGAAGTTGTTCGTAGAGTCCAAAAGGTCATCAAAGGAGAGATCTTTATCATTGTTCTGAAACAGAACCACGAGCTTTGAACCAATCTCCTCTACTTCTTTGCGATTCATGCTCTCTTCTTCTATCTCAGGATCAACTTCTCCTGACCGTCTACGAGCACGCAACACGATCAAGGCGAGAAGCGTGAGAAGGAAAACAGAGCCAAACGCGATCCCAATCGCCATCCCAATCTCAGCTCCTTTGCTTCTTCTTGACGGTTTGTTTGGTTTTCCATCAGAGCTACGATCCATTGCATCTGCAGAACAGGGGAGTCTGTGTTCCCCGCAGAGATCGTTAAACTCGAAGCTCGAGTTTGGAAATGTCTGAAACTGACCACCGGAAGGGATTACTCCCGAGAGATTGTTACTAGCAACGCTGAATTTCGACAGAAACGAGAGCTGTTGAAGAGAAACAGGGATCGAACCAGAGAGATGGTTATTAGACAAATCAAGAACTTCCAAGCTTATCATACCCGAAAGCGAGCTAGGGATTTGTCCGGATAGTTGGTTCCATTTCAGATCAAACACATGAAGCTTCTTGAGTTTACCAAACTCCTCCCAGATAGGTCCAGAGAGATTGTTATGTCCGAGCTCAATCGTTGGCGGAAACCCGAAAATCTGATTATATTGCAAAGCTCTCGCACTCTCGTTCCTCTTCATGAAGAAAGGAAAATCCGGAGATGGTTCATCGAATGAGATGTTTCTGCTAGTGAGACTCTTTAACTGAGTTAGGCTCTTCGGGATTTCACCTGTAAACGAGTTGTTCGATACATCCAAGTAGAAAAGATCCTTGAAATCACCGATCCAGCTTGGGATAGCTCCGGTTAATCGGTTCCAAGAAAGATCAAGCAATTGAAGATCACTGCTCGAGCTTAACCATCTCGGCATTGAGCCAGTAAGCCTGCAATTCGCAACGACGAGAACCTTAAGCTTCTCGAAACGAAGAAGACTCGAGTCATCTGGTAAAACCTCTCCATGGAAATTCAACGTGAGAACCAGAGTCGTCAAGTTCTTGCAGCTCTGAAGGATCCTAAGCGCAGAGGAGATGTTAACGATACTAGAGTTCGACAACGAGAAGTAAGAGAGGCTCTGGAAGTTCTTGAAGCTCTCTGGCACTTGTCCATGGAAGGAGTTTCGAGCGAGGTTAACGTTCTGTAAACGCTTGCAAACCGGAAGATTCTCAGGCAATGGACCATTGAATCTATTGGTACCCAAATCAAGAGAGTTTAAGGCAATCATCGCCGTGCAATTCAACCGCAACGGACCGGTTAACGAATTGTTCCTCAGGTTAAGCAGATTCAACGTCCCTGAATTCGTCAACGATTTTGGGATTCCTCCGTTGAATCTGTTGGACTGAGCTAATACATACTTTAACTGAGGCATTTCGTCGAACACATCGGGGATTTCGCCGGAAAATCTATTCCGTGAAACATCGAGACGAACGAGGCTGGAGAGATTACTAATCGAAGGGCTCAACGATCCAGAGAGACCATTCTCTTGAATCCCTAAAAGATTTAAACTTTTGAGATGAAACAAGTCTTCAGGGATATTACCGGTGAGATTGTTCATGCCGAGACAGAGATGCTCGAGCAAGACGCATTTCCCAAACCCAGAAGGGAATTCTCCGGCGAAATAGTTCACCGCCAGTTTCACAACCTTGATTCGAGTAGAGTTGTGGCAGAGATGAGAAGGAAGCGAGCCGTTGAGTTTATTGGAGGAAAGATCAAGACTTTGCAGCGATGGGAGATTTATGCTCTTTGGGATTTCTCCGGAGAGATCGTTAGAGCTCAAATCAAGGGTTTGTAAGTTTACCAAGTCGAAGATCGAAAGAGGGATCGATTCTTTGATGAAATTCCGAGAGAGATTAAGAACCATAATCCGATCAAGCTTCGCGATGGAATCAGACAACTTCCCCGACAGCTTTTTGTTCCCGAGCTCCAGTTTAGTGACCCTTCTGGTTTTGTTGTCTGGATCGGTAGAGGAAGAATTGCAGGCGATTCCGGTCCAGTTGCAGCAATCTGCAGCTCCGTTGTTGAACCAACCATCTGGTTTTGGTTCGAGATTGGCTATGAAGTCACGCAAGGCCTCGAGGTCACGTGGGTGGCACGTGAGGGTCTGAGCTTCCGAGGCACAGAAGCATAGTAGCTCTGTGAAGAAGATGACTATCACCCACAAGCTATGAATACGCATTTCAAGGAGAGAAGACGATATTAAAAAAAGGAAGAAGCTTTTAGATATTTTGCAGAGAGAGTAGAAGAAGAAGAAAGAAGGCTGTGTACTTTTAATCAAAATTCAACAAAAACCTTAAGAAATCCGAGACAAAACAACATGGGGTTTCTAGTTCTCGCCATTTTAGATGACGATCAATGAAGATGAAGCAAGAAAGATAGAGAGAGAGAATAGAGAGGAGAGAGAGATAGAAATGGCGACTTTTGACTTCAACACGCTACAGCAAGTGGTGGGTGCTTAAATGCAGGCTCCTAGAGAGAGAAGTGGAGTTGTGTTTGGTTTTTTTCCTCTGTGTTACTGAAATAGTAAAATTTAACCCGAAAAAAAAGATAAACAATCTTAAAAGTTAAAAGAACGTGTATTAAAATTAAAACTACATTAATAAAGGAAGGAGGAGAAATTAGACGAATAATGACGGTCGCTAAATAGTAAAGATTCGTTTCCTATATAATGACGGTCGCTAAATAGTAATATAACAATAATGAATAATTACTGATTTTGATACTTGTGTTTATATATGCCCGTTATGGAAATTTTATCTTTTTCCCCTCAAGGCCCGTTAGAGATATATATTTATTTTTCAAATATCATGGAGGTCGTTTAGAATTATATGAAGTCCTAATCAAATAATTTTGACTTGAGAAAGTCTTTATCTTGTTTTTCTTCTTCAAATTCTTGTTTTGAATAATAGATGCTCTAGCCTTGGCCTTCAACGGGAAGACGAAGGAAATGTTGACGATTCATGAATAATGAAACTGATCGAATTCAGAAAAAAAAAATGTAAAAAATTCAACCCAAAACATGACTATTACTTTTCTTTACAATAAAAGTGTTCCTTTTAAGGTTTTTACTTTTATTTTCAAAAAGATTAATTTATATATTCACAATTATACAAATGAAAAGTGACTAATAAAAATTCATAGATGATCCTTTTGAGTTTTTTTTTGTTTGCAAGTGGTTAAAATTTATTTATTTAAAATTTGTTTTCATGTTTAAATTAAAATGACCGGAGAAGGAGGGAGTAACCGGTTAGGTCAGCTTGAGGAATAAAGATGAGGACAAGAAGATAGAGAGAAGTCAAAGCACGGACGTTGACACCTTGCATCTCTCTTCTCAACTACAATTTTGTTTTTCCAATTAATTGTTTCTTTTTCTTTGGCCAAGTTGGTACATGAATGAAAATAGACCTACATGATATTCTTAATTTCCGATAAAAGCTTCAGCATAAATCTAGATTTTCCTATGAAACATGATACTCCAAAGAGGAAAGTTGTCGAGCTATTTTTTGTTTGCTGGTAAAAGAAATTTGTCGACCTCTTGCAAACTGATCAATAATATATGTTTGCAGTTTACATGTTCCAATCAATTATATTTCCAATGGAAACCACTAATATCAAACAAGTAGCCTTTTTACTACATATATACACACTTTTGTTTACTTAATAAAAATGTTCAGTGACAATATAAACCTTTGGTTGCTAAAAGTTTTATTTGTTACCAATTTTTCTCTCTTTTTTCTAACAACATGTATTATGCATATATTTGAACTTAGATGATAACGTATTAACAATACTAAATTTTTTTGTCGTTTATTAACTTTTTTTGCGATACAGACAAATTTAGAATACGTTAGTGATCAATTTAATATTTTCATATGTAACGTTAATTTTAAATCTAATATTTGTCACCTAAATCTGTCATCAATTACTATTTACATTGTATAAGATTTGAATAATAAATATAAAAAGTTATGTTTGGCGGTTCGGAAAATGGATTCTCTTATAATCATATACACGTGATGGTTCGGTTTCGTTTGGTTTTTTTTTTTTAAAAAAAAAAAAATCATATTTGCATTTTGACAAAATAAAAAAACCAAAAAGTCATACACTTTTTGCCATGATTTATTTCTAACAAAAAGATGTTTACACAACTTTCTTTAATGTTTTAAAACTAAAGTAATTGCAGACAATGTAGGTGGATGGTGAAATGAACATAGACATGAAAGACTATATTGCTAAATAAATTAATTAGCCTACAATCAAAGTTGGTTTACCACATAAGAAATTACTAATATATAATGGTAGTGTGTGCATGATCTTTCATAATGAGATTAAATATTGTCTTACGTAGAAAGTTAAGATACGGTTCCAAGTTAACAATAAAATATTGAAGTCGATATCTATAATGGAGGAGACAGTCAAAGCATGTGACATCAACTATTCAACTCTATAATTAATCTTCCTACCATGTGGGTCGTAATGGCTTTGATATAATCGTTTTCGTAAGAGACTTCTATCTTGTATTAATGTTCTTAAGTCTTTTTAAAAAAATATTGGTTCTACACTTCTATCGTAGATTTTGATAAAATAATACAAATAATAAGTTTGATTGGCAAGGAAAAAAGATGGTCGTTAAACCTTCGTTCAAAAAAAAAAAAAAAGATAGTCGTTTTCTTTTGAGACTTCCATCTTTTCTTAATGTTCTTAAGATTTTTTTTTTAGTAGCAAGTTATTTGGATCAACACTTCTATTGTAGTTTTTTTAAAATACTACAAATGACATCATTTCTCTTTTTTCTTTTAAAAAAGGTACGATGCATATTAAATTTGAATGATAATGTACCAATGTAATCTAGCTCAATAGTATTTATTCTTCTTAATCACTAAAAAACTAAAGATTGTTTTGGTAATGAATATCTTAAGATATCCTTAGCCCAAGCCCATGAAATGATGAAATCTTTATGAGCCCACTAAATTTGTTTGTCAACAAATCAAAATAAACTATATACAACAACCTCAAATCAAAATAAACTACAACAAACAAAATATTGATTTAACTTATTTTCTTCTATTAAAAACCTAAAATTTTGATCAAAACCAACAAATTTTATGATGAAATTAGAGACTAGAATATATTTGGTCTATTTAACTCGAAACTGTATACAAAACAGTTTTCGTATGTAAAAATTTCAAATGTCTAAGATTTCTAGTTTTATATCAATATTTTGTCAATCATATAGATATAGATTATCTTATTAATTAATGAATAATTTACAGTAAAAGGCACATTATGACTTTCATATTATACGTTAAGTCACTTACAACTATTGAAGCACTTTTCATGTGTGAGAAGACATTTCTGTCCTTCCCACAACTTACTCCTCTAGTAACTTATCTTTTCTCATTAACCTTTTTTACCGTCATTCTCCCTCTGACGAACCCTAATTTCCGTCGAACCTGAAGACGGAACGACGCCATTTCCGGCGACCAATTTTTGGGTCGATATCCGATATATTGCCTCTAATTTCGGTTGGAATCTTTTCCCTTGCCGCGATTTTCGCTCAATCCAAGTCACTTCCTCGAAAACTCCTGTTCTTTCTTCGAATCCATTTCCACCGTCTCTTCTGTTACCCGATGTCAGGTAGTTTCTTCGCAACTTCGAAGTCGTTTTTTTCGGATCACCTGTTCCTTGTTCTCTTCAATCCCAATCATGAAGCTTGTGTTTTATGTATTAGGGTTCATGTTTGTTGTTCCGATTTTTCTTTACTGAGTTGTTTATTTGCAGATTCAGAACGGGATTCGCTGTTCGACCACAGGCTTCCGTCGCGGTTGTTCGCGACTGACCGATTTCCCATCAACCGCATCAACGTCTACTCCAAGCCGGACACCTTGACATTTGTGCATGATGTCTTGCGGGGTACTGAAGAGTTCGAAACTATTTTGAACTCTCCTTTTGGCCGTTTATTCCAACTTCCCGCAGTCAGATGTCCTATATCCTGCAAGCTCATCCATGCGCTTCTGACCAGACAACTTGTCACTAAGAAAAAATACGAGATCTGGATAGCCTTTGGTGGACAACCATTTCGTTTTGGTTTGAGGGAGTTTGGACATATCACAGGTTTGTCCTGTGCCGAATTCCCTGAGGAGTACCATCCCGATTATAATGCACCTAATGAGGTCGTGCCTGATGCTTACTGGAGGGAGCTAATTGGAGACGATCCGAAAACCACACTCGCCGACATTGGACACTTGCTTAAAACGCAAAACGATATGCCAAGTAGCAGAAGAATCCGTCTAGCTCTGCTTCTAATCGTCGATGGAGTTTTAGTTGCTAACACACAGGTACACAAGCCCACCCCTAAGTATGTCCGCATGTTGGAAGACCTTGATGGATTCTTGAGTTTTCCTTGGGGGAGAGAGTCTTTTCTGAAAACCATTGCTTGTATGCGGCCTGCGTTGAAAGTGCCTGGTAAAGTAGATGACCCTGTTGGAGGTTTTAGGCAACTTCTGCGCCAATCAACTTTCCGAATGCAAGGTTTCCCACTAGTATTACAGCTACTCGCTTTCGAAGCTGTCCCTGCTCTTCTATTGAAGTTACCCAACTCGAATGATCATACCACACTTCTTCAATGGCCCCATGTTAAGCTTCGTAAGAATGATTCTCTTTCCATACGCGACGTGCTAGACGTGGAGTTCGGGGACAATGTAAGTCCTAATGTTTTCTTTTTACATTGTTCCTTATCGTGTATAGAATTTCACGAATTTTGGCCGCTTAACACAATTTTTTTCTTCATAACACTAATAACTTATTGTTCATCCACTAATCGACATACATCCTCCCGATGTGCTTGGATGAGGAGAATGGGATGATGAGATAAAAGATCGGAAGGTCGCTTACCTTGAGCAGCTGGTCACAAATGGTCACTCTTTCACCAAAGACGTTTGCCCTGGTGGAGACGCTGCTGAACCGTTAAAGGCACATGTCCCACTCCAGCACGAAATGTTCACCGTAGACATATTGTTGACCGCAAAAAAGCCCTTTCTCAACATCAGACTCCATCGAAGTTACGTACTCGTAAGAAGGCCACAAAACACGTTAGTCGTCGAAAACAGAAAACTATCGATGAGTTTCTCCATCCACGTGATAATCAGGTATTAAACGACAACGAATGGTTGCTATCTGAGGTTAAGCAGTTGTCTGCACGTGTAAAAAAAACTGGAAGACAAACTTAAAGCGCGCAAGTCAGCCCGTTTGGGGAAATTTTCATCCCAATGTTTAAGCTCTGCCAGATCGAGAAGAAAACGCCGGGATCCGCGTCCATCACCAACACGATTAACTAGTCCTACTTGGTCTTCTACTCCTACTCCCATTATTAGTCTTACCGCAGACATTTTCTCACCACGAAACATCGGTGCCAACCAACATGGTCAATCACCTGTCCACGCAGGCGACGACAATTCTGGTCCCCATTCTGTAAGTCTGATCTACACACTCTAAGTTAATCTTTCTGCTTCATTTGAACCTTTTACAAACTCATATATGAATGGTAACCAATTCCTTACAGCAGAGCAGGGACGCCCCATCCAACACTGGGATATATGACTGCCTCATGGAGGACAATCATTCAGAGCATGCGCCCAATGGTCACACCGCTCATCCACACAGCTCAACACAAAACTATCCCTTTTTGTACGAGTCTGCTTAAAGTATAACATCTCCTTAATTGCAAAAATAGCTAGAGCAATCCTACAATCTTCCTTCGTTGGGAACACCTATCCAACACGGATACAATCCAACCCTTCTGCCAAATCCAAATCGGGAATGTCTGCATTCTCGTACAGTGTATCATCAAACAAGGGGGGAATATCGAACTCCTCATCATCCACCGCACCAATATCTACTGGACACCCAGAACCCAGCTTCACACCACCATCCATGCCTCCGTATCCACTGTATTCACTCTTTGTGAATCCACCTGGTGGAACATTACCAACGTATACATCGTGGTCAAAAGCGTCGTTTGTGGTACACCTGATCACGTTAGCATCATTAAGCCCTTCCCACCTTTTGTCAGAACTATTTACCGGATCGCACATCACCTCAGCTGCATTAGACCCACTAAGCGCTTCATCTAGAAATGGTTCCCAGAATTCTTTATCATACTCATGGTTCATTACATCATAATGAACTTCGTCACCAACATCACCGTCCCCCTCATTTTCGCTATCGGAATCAACAGTTACAAAATTTTTGTCATTGCCTGTTTTGTACATTGCCTCAAACATCTCAGCATGCTTAAGAAGATCCTCGTCCAAACTCCCCTGCGAAGCAGATTTCTCGCCGAAATCAGACACCGGCGCTGCTTTCTTGGTCCTAAATAACCCATCATCACCATCGAAATCTCGTTTCCTGGACGTCGATGGACCACCATTTTGATAGGTACTCCCCGAACCCGAACCATTTTCTGATGTAAACACACTTCCGGTACTATCATCAGACATTGCTGTCAACCCGGCGGTGTTAAACCCATCTTCCTCCTCGGTTGTAGGAAAAAAACCAAGCTTCCGACCATAGCCATTAAGCGCCTCCCCTCCATTTTTACGCATTTTTCCAGGTACATGGTTTCTAAAGAAACCATCACCACTGGTACTCATCGGCGTCTTAAATACAAACCCCTCACCATCAAAATTATTAGGGCCTCTCCTTGTAGGGTATGGAGTTTTATAAGCAGAAAGGTCTCCAGAATACTCTGACCCGCTGTTTCTTCTAAGTCCCGTGCTTCTAATAGCAGTACCACCTCCCTCAAAACCGTTTATCTTCTGCACGTCTCCTTCAAACCTTGCAAAGAGGTTGACACTACTCTGTACCGCTTTGTGTTTGAGGAAATATCCAATCGAGCACTCGTTACTGACCATAACTGGCGGCGTTGAAATGCCTGTAGCCAGTTTGTTACTATTAGGAGGCCAATAGCTTAGTGTTACCGACAAACCATCGCCCCCATCATCAAAAAATGCACCAATAACACTCTTTTTCAGCTCAGCAATCGTAATGCCAGTCCTCAATGGGACAACCCGAGACATCTTCTGCTCGTCAACAACAAAATCCCAAACACCTTTTCTGGAACGAGTCCATTCGCCGCAAATTACAAGACAATGTTCTTCCATTCCTGCAAGTTAAGAAACACATAAACCAACGTCATCGACCTTATCCACGCCAGGGACATCCACCATTTAGCTAAAGAACACATAGACAAAGGAAAACATACCTCTAGAGCAACTTGTCGGCCGAAACTGCCTCCTCAAATCAAACCGTTTGACCTAAACTTAACATTGTTTCCTAAGCATTACGACATGACGTTTTATCTACCTCTTCTTCACAGCCGTTGGATAATCAACATTTAATGCAAATCTAACGGCGGAGAGTAAGATCTTCATTTAGTGCGCGAAACCCAATGGCTCCGCTTTTTCTTTAAATTTTGAAATCCTAACTATCCATATCCTTTAATCCAAAGTTGAGCATCCAACATATGGACATCCATCCAGTTACATTTACAGGTATTTTTCGATCGAGCCAATTTTAGCTGAAATCATTGCTATCCGTATCCGCTAATCCACATTTGACCATCCCACATAATGACATCCATCCAGTTACATTTACAGGTGTTTCCCGATTGCCAGGAAGCAAAATAATTCAAGAACACGACAACTACCGACGGCTGTTAATTACACTTTCATACTAAACCGAAACACGACGATTCGGATTTTAGCGTAGAACCAATACCAATCTCCCGTTGGGTATATCATTACCATCTCCGATTTTGTTCCAAAACAGAGAACGGGATTCAATCACAGCTGGTCCTCCGTCGAATTTCGAGCTATATAGAGTCGACTTTAATTGTTATTTTCTCCGTCAATTTCCATACTTTCTCATAGCTATCTTATCAGGAGTTTCTGCGGACATCTGTTCTTCTTTTCCGACCATCGGCGAGAACCTCCGTCACAGGTGAGATGAGGTAAAAAAAAAACAAGGGGACGATGAAATTGTACAACACAAATCTAAAGTAAAGGTAAGCTTATCTATTTACTCCCCTAAAAACTGATGAAAGTGCCACAATAGTTATAAGTGTCTTTTTATGTAAAGAAAGACACAAAAGTGTCTTATTATGTAAATCACTCTTAATTAATTTATATTTGGTGATACGATCTTAAAAGGAGATTAGAGATGAGAAGAACAGAGACAAAAGAGAAAATAGAGATTTAAGAAAGCAATTTAAGACGTTGTGCTTTGATAAGTATTTCATGAGGGATGTGTTCCTCTACATAAAGAGAAAATACTCAAAAAACGACATCAGGTTAAATTAAGCTTTGCATCACTTTAGCATCGGCCAAAACATAACAGTTGGAACTAGGACTGTTTGATCATTTAGTCACCATTTCTTCTTCTTCTTGTCTTTTCACAGGCCTGATCTCGATTCCCTGGAAAATCAAACCACTCTTCCAATGTCCCATCTGAGTCTCCATTACACTAATCTCAATCTCATCACCATCTTCACAACCTCCATTGTCGATGTAAAACTTCCCAAGCTCCACTTCCCTCCACCCATCTCCTCTCTCCTTTGGCTCCTCCACGTTCCTGCTACCAACTTTCCTCTCTGCTTCAACTTCTTCTCTCGGAAACAGCATCCATGGACGCCTTGTCCTAAACGCTCTGGACACCGCTGCGTGCGAAACTCCCGAGTAACGATACCCGCTGCGTGAATCCGTATCTCCAGGTTCGAGAAACACAAACTTCTTGGTGGTTTCTTTCCCGACAAAACCAACTTCAGCTTCCACAGGCGTGTGGTCGAACCCGTGTGATCTATTGCTTGTTCTCTTGAACACTGCGTAAACCGAGTAATGTGTCTTCTTTGACAGCATTCCGCAACTTATCTTGCCTCGAATCTCGAACCAACACACATTACGAAGCTCTGCTACTTTCTCAAACCTGATTCCACACATATACAGAAAGTTATGTAAACACCAATTGCACAGTTTCAGAAACAGAGGATAAGTTAAGTAATGAAGAAGAAAACAAAACTTACTTAGATTCAGGAACTGTAATCCATTGCCAATAAGCAGGAGAATCTCCCCATATGATCGTTAAATCCATCGCAGATAACATAAAACACTTCTTTCCACTAGATTTCTCCAACCAAAAGCTCTGATTTTTCCCCAAAATTGACAGAAACAAAAATACAAAAATCAGGAATTGGAATTTGAAAGTGTAAAAAAACTGAAACTTTTTCACATTCCCGAATCAGATTCGATTAAATTTACCTTTTTGCCGTCATCGATCAGAACGGAATCATCAGCGAGAGACAAATAAACCTCCTTTTTCGACGAGCAATTCAGCGACCGAGGCACAAGAGACGCATACTCCGGAGGAAGAAACGTCTCCCAAACCAAATCCGATTGTGCCGCCGATTTAACGGCTTTCGAAACCGAAGCCACAACACAAGCGTCGCGTGGTGTAGTATGAGAAATCACCATAGAGATACAATCTTCCGGCAATGTTTCGAATCGCGACGATGCTCCGACCACAACAATCGAATCGTTACGGCTTATTCCTCCGCCGGAATTCGAATCGCCGACTTGAATTTGCTCCATTAGCGTTCGAATCTTAGAATTTTGGGAATCAGATGTGTTTTAAGTAAAGAGAGTATCTTTAAGAAACGGTGTTGTGAGCGTGGAAACGAGTGGGATTTATATATCGGTTCGTGTTTCGTGAAAGACTTACTGGTTAAGATTTAATGAGAGTTTCCGATATTACCCTTATAAGCGTAACGTCTTTGGGATAATGACTCATATCAAATGAAAAAGTTTTGCCTTTATCTATACAGCCAAAGCAACTAACTTTTTTTTTGTTTCTTTTTTTCGTGTTTACCTTACCTATGAAGTCTTTTGTTACGAGATTCATTTATAGTATAGTATATTAAATTATTTAGAAAGTCAATAATTCATAACCTTTTTGTTAAAGACCAGATCATCATGTAGGATAAATTTACTCATGTGTAATTCTCGGCTAAGTAAAGTGTGCAAAAGCATTGTAGATGATGTGTGTTCTTGTGAGGGCATGATGAACATAAACAAACCCAAATTCACAAACTTTACAATCCACAATACAACTCAAAGCTTTTGACTTGCTTAGATTAGAACATGAAACTGAAGTAAACAAACATTAACTGGGAACTCATTAAACTATAAACTGTTCTTCCATTGCATGAAACCACATACAATTCAGCGAAATTCGAGGAATATATATTATTCATATTTTTTTTTAGAAATTGAAAATGATGTACTTTTTACTTCAAAATGAAGCACCATTGAAGATGCTCAACAAAAGAGATGATTAGGAAAGAAAAAGAAAAACACAATTTCTTTATTGAAGAATGATGGAACACCAAAATCACACAATACAAAGGAACATTACAATCCAAAAATTTAAGAGATTCGAAAACATTACAATACAACAAAGTTTTTTCACTTGCTTAGACATGAAATTGAAGCAAACACGCATAGACCGGAGAACAGATATAAACTTTTACAACTAAGCTTTTGCAGGGCGGAATTCAATTCCTTGAATGATCAAACCACTTTTCCGATAAGGAGAATCAATCTCAACAACAGTTACTTCTATATGATCGCAACATGATTCATTGAAGAATTCACCAAGCTCAGCTTCCATCCACCACCCTCTCCTCTGGTTTCGTTACATCACTCAATTCTCTCTCCAGGCTCTCTCTGACTCTCCTTTGACGACCACTAGGCCCGACAAAGTATATTAGCTTCTCAGAAGAGATTTGTCCAATCAATCTAACTCCAACTTCTACTGGCACATCCTCTAAACCAGTACATCCATTCTTAGTCTTGAACACAATGTAAACCGAGTAAAGAGTTTCAGGAGATAGGTAACGAGTATGCATCCCGGCACGAATGTTAAGCCAACATCCATCTAGAAGCTCAGCTATTTTTTCAAACCTGCATTTTTACAACATAATCATCATCATCATCATCATCATAATCAGAATGATCACAATCGAACTATCAAGAGAAAGAAAAGAAACAAAAAAAAAAGATGTTACCTAGATTCAGGAATTGAAATCCATTGCCAATGCTGAGGACTATTTCCCCATGTGATATACATTTCTTTGGAAGAGAACATAATACATCTTTTTCCACTCGCTTTCTCTAACCAAGAGATCTTTTTTTTTTAAAAAAAAAAAAAAAAAACTCAAAACAGTCAAGAAACCTTCACCAAATTTACGCTAGAGAGTGTATAGGAATTTTCTCAAATCACCGTTTACATAAATTCTCTAGCATATATAAGTCAATGATTCTACACACGTAATATTTCTTTTTAACCAAAATTTTCTATACACGTAGTAATCCAGAGTATTTCTGAAATGTGACTGGATCCCACAACTCTCATAGAAGAAGACTTGATTAATTCTATATGCAATAATTTAAATTTGAACAGGAGGCAGATCATTACTCTCAAATCCGATAAACAAACGTGCAAAAAATGATGAATTTATAATATACCTTTTTGCCATCTTCGATTAGACGAGGATCATCGCAGAGAGAAAAATAATTCTCCTTCTTCGACAAGAAACCACCGGATTTAGGGATCAGGGATGCCTACTCGGGCGGCAGAAACTTCTCCCACACGCTATCGGATTTAACCGCCGATTCAAAGGTTTTCGAAACCAAAGCAGCAACACATGCGTCTCGTGGACTTGTCAAAGAGATAATGTTAGAGATGCATTCCTTCGGCAAGTCATCGTAAGACGGCGACGCAGCTCCAGAGACCATCTCTGCTGCTCCAGATTCGGCGCTAGAATCATCGTTGAGAAGTTTTGTAAAACCGGAAACTTCTCTGCCTTTGCCCTTTTTTTTGCCTATCCAACAACAGTAAACTTGTATGCCTTTAGCTTTAGAGTCAACGCCGTGTCTTTGCCCCATCGCTGCGCTCCCAAAAAAGAAGAAAGACTCCCCACATAATTACGGAAGTACCCTTCTTTGCATCAATGTTCACCTGAGTTGACTTTGTTCGTTAGAATATTTCCAAAACCCAACTTGTATATGGGCAAATCGGGGAAGTCGTGACATTCATTTCTTGTGACTTGTACACAACGTAATGACTGTAAGATGATTCAAAGAACATACTTTTCACATTTTTCTTATTGATGGATATATATCTATATATATATATATATATATATATATAGATATATCAAAATCAAATAAAAATCGCGTTCACACACATCACAAGATCAAATTAAAAGAATTAATGTTTCTTATTTTCTTACTCAAAACATGATAGAGATCGTAACCAGAGTAAACCGACATTGGTTTGGTCAAAGAGTACTGAATGGAGATATGGCATATGTTATATGTGTTCTCCTAAATTAATGGGATTGTATCCCTACTACTTCACGTTGCTTAGTTGTGATTTAGAAGTAAAATTACATACATCTTCACTTAACTGAACACACAACTTCTTTAATGAATGTGTGTTCATGTGAGAATGATGAACATAAGTAAAACCCAAAATTCACGAACATTACAATCCTAAGAACTTATAGATTTGATATCATTACAATAAAACTCAAAGTTTTTCGCTTGCTTAGACATGAAATTATAGCAAACAAACATTAACCGGAAACTGTTCTTCCATCGCACGAAATTACATATAACTGAAAATATAAAAGCATTTGGAAATGAAATTTCTCTACAAATGCATCGTAGATGATAAGAGAAAAAAAAACACAACTTCTTTATTGAAATTTGTTCATGTCAAAATGATGAACACCAAAATCAAACAATACAAACATTACAACCCAAAAAAATTATGAGATTCGAAAACATTACAATACAACAAAGCTTTTCCACTTGCTTAGACATGAAACTGAAGCAAACAAGCATAAACCATTCCATCACAGGCAACCGGATATAAATTTTTTTACGAGCTTTTTGCGGGGCGGAATTCAATACCTTGAATGATCAAACCACGTTTCCAATAAGGAGACTTAGTCTCAACAACACTTACAGAAATATCATCACAACATGACTCATTGAAGAATTCACCAAGCTCAGCTTCCATCCACCCATCTACCCTCTCCTTTGGTTTTGTCACATCTCTCACTTCTCTGTCCCTCCTTCGATCACTAGGTCCAACAAAGTATATCAGCTTCTGAGAAGACTCTTGTCCAACCAATCCAACTCCAACTTCCACTGGTATATCCCCCAATCCAGGACATCCATCCTCAGTCTTGAACACAATGTAAACCGAGTAACGAGTTCCAGGAGATAGGTAACGAGTATGCATCCCGGCACGAATCTCAAACCAACACACATTTAGAAGCTCTGCTATTTTATCAAATCTACATTATTCCAACATAAGCATCATCATCATCATCATCATCATCATCATCATCATCATCATCATCATCATAATCAAAATGAGTGATCACAATTGAATCATATATATATATATAAAAAAAGGCCAGATGTTAAGTACCTAGATTCAGGAATTGAGATCCATTGCCAATACTGAGGACTACTTCCCCATGTGATCCACACTTCCTTGGAAGATAACATTATACATCTTTTCCCACTCGCTTTCTCTAACCAGAAGCTCTATTTAAAATAAATAAATAAACTCAAAACAGTCAGAAACTACACCAAATTTACGCTAGACAGAATATTGGAATTTTTCAAATCACTATTTTCATAATTCTCTAACATAAGTCAATGATTCTATACGCGTATTAATACAGAGTATCTCTGAAAATAAGGTTGGATCATCACACAACTCTCATATAAGAAGACATGATAATTACTCTCAATTATCCGATAAACAAAAGTACAAAAACGATGAATATAGATATACCTTTTTGCCTTCTTCGATTAGACGATGATCATTGCAGAGAGAAAAATAAATCTCCTTCTTCGACGAGAAAACTCGCGATGCAGGAATCAGAGATGAATATTCCGACGGAAGAAACTTCTCCCAAACACTATCGGATTTGACCGCCGATTCAAAGGTTTTCGAAACCGAAGCGGCGACGCAGGCGTCTCGTGGACTCGTGAAGGAGATTATTTTGGAGATGCAATCCACCGGCAATGAATCGAACGGTGACGTCCCGGAGATGATGATCTCTCCGCCGCTTTCGACGACGCTAGGTTCATCGTCTTTTTTTTGCGCCATATCGTTGCCTCTGTATCAAAATTCGTCTGCGTCTGGAAGATTATTGAAAAAAGCTAACAAAGACTTTTTTGTTTGTTTGTTGTAATAAAATAGACTCTCTTGAGTTCTGTGACTATTTCTAAAGTCACCTCTGTCGTGAAAAGTGTTTATAAGGACGGAAAAAGGGACACGTGTAGTCCGTCTCCATCTATTTACGAAACTACCCTTCTTGCCGTGTGCGTTTCTCGCCTTCACGCTGCATGTTTTATTTTCCTTCTTTTTTTTTATTACATGATGATTGATTTCCTAGCTTATAAATTAGTATTATACAACGATTTGGCTACGAAATTTTAAATCGATTGTAAGGTTAAAAGTTAAAACAGACAGCTGAAAATGTGTTGTTTTTTTTTTTTTATTGTAACTAGGATTAAAATGTGTTGTTATGAATCGTTTACAAATTTGAAACGGTTCACATTTGTACTCGATTGATTTTTTTTTTTTTTTCGTTTTTCTAAACAGCTCTTTTAAAAGGCTTGGATTTGTAGTTCCATATTAATTTTTTTATCACCATTAATTAGAACCATCAGTCAACCATACAAACCGCTGAAAACAAAAGTTACCACAACATGTTGAACGTGGCCACCAGTCAGAACCTACAATATCTACGAAACTATTATATATAGATGATTCAAAAAACATAATTTCTATTTATATAGTTTACTTTACGTGTACAAGATAAACTACGTAAGAAAAATGTCAGAAAATATATTAACATCAAAATCCAAAGAAATGTTCACAAAAAAAACATCAAAAATCAAAAACACCAAAATATATACCACCCTTGCACCAGTTAACAAAAGATTCAATAACATTACAATACAACTCAAAGCTTTTCATTTGCTTAGACATGAAATTGAAGCAAACACGCATATATAAAGGGGAACGGATATATAAACTTTTACAATTAAGCTTTCGCAGGGCGGAATTCAATTCCTTGAATGATCAAACCACGTTTCCAATCAGGAGACCTAGTCTCAATAATCCTAACAGAAATATTACGACAACATGATTCATTGAAGAATTCACCAAGCTCAGCTTCCATCCACCCATCTACCCTCTCCTTTGGTTTTGTTACATATTTTCTCCTTTCAGTCTCTCTTCATCGATCACTACGCCCAACAAAGTATATAAATTTTCGAGGAGATTCTTGTCCAACCGATTCAATTCTAACTTCTACTGGCACATCCCCTAATCCAGGACATCCATTCTTAGTCTTGAACACAATGTAAACCGAGTAACGAGTGCCAGGAGTAGGTAACGAGTATGCATCTCGGCACGAATCTCAAACCAACATACCTTTAGAAGCTCCGCTGTTTTATCAAACCTACGCATTATTGCAAAATCATCATCATAATAAAAAAGAGTGATTAAAATCGAATTAAAAAGAGAAAGAGAGAGAGAGATAGAGAAAAACAAAAGGATGTTTACCTAGATTCAGGAATTGAAATCCATTGCCAGTACAGAGGATCATTTCCCGAAGAGATATCTAGTTGCTTCGCAGATAACATGATACACCTCTTCCCACTCGGTTTGTCACTCTACGATTTTTTATATTTTCAAAGCTCATTTAATCAAAAATATTCTTCAAGAATCAAAAGTCAAACAGTCAGAGATAATTCAGATAATATTATACCATTTTGCCATCTTCTATTAGAACAGAGTCGTTGCATAAAGCGAAATAGAGCTCCTTCTTTGTTGAGAAGATCCTCGATGAAGGAATCAGAGATGGATAATCCGGCGGCAGAAACTTCTCCCATATGATATCGGAGTTGACCGCTGATTTGAAGGTTTTTGAGACCGACGCGGCCACGCAGGCATCCCGTGTACTTGTGAAGGAGATTATGTTGGAGATGCATTCCTCCGGCAATGAATCCAAAGAGGAGGAACCAGAGACTATCTCTCCTTTGGCTCTAGATTCATCGCCATGATATTTCTCCATGGCTTGCATTGCATTTATGAGTCGTCTCCGTTTGAGAGCTGAAAAAGCCTGAGAGTTGTTGTTCTGACTTTTTTTAGCAATCTTTTAGGTCGTCATTTTTTGCCTTTTTTTATTTTGAAAGATTCTAGCTAAAACACCAAATTGGTTTGCTAATGACGTGTACAACGGTTTATTTTAATACCACTATTACATCACAGTGAAACATTATGATACTTCTTCCTAGAAAATTTAAGAGATCAAGTTGGATTGACCCAAATACCAAACTCCAAAACGTTGGTCCCAAAAAAAAAAAAAAATTATACTGTAAATTCTTTTACATAAATATGAAAAACAGAAAAGAATACAATTTAACGGGAAAAGGAGAAAAAAAATGCAAAGTTAAAAGAAAAACTTTAGACAGATTCTAATTAGATAGAAATATCATATGACAGCCTATGGAATAAAGTAATAAACCAATATATGATAAAGTTTAGAGTCAACGCCGTGTTTTGGTCCGGAAACTTATTTGCCTTTGCCTCTTGAGTCAACGCCGTATTTTCGACACTGACCTGCCTCTGACTGTAACCTATCTATGTCATTTTTCTTTCTTCTTGAAATTTCACATATGTACTCGATTGATTTTTTTTTTTTTGTCTAAAGAGCTATTTAAACATCTTAATTAGTTTTGTAATTCTATATACAATGAGTATGATATTAACGAATCTTTTATTCTCTTTATATTTTACTCAGTGTATAGTAATATCTCTTTTGTTTTATCACCATTACTTAGAACCATCAGTCAACCAAACAACCGCTGCAAACAAAATTACCCCATCATATAGAACGTGCTCACCAATCAGAAGTTCAGAACGACCTACAATATCTACGAAACTAGTTAGTATAATGTTTCCAAGAACATAATTTCGTTTACTTTATCTGTAAAAGATAAACGTGTACGTAAGAAAATGTTTCGTGTTTACCTTACCTATGAAGTCTTTGTTACGAGATTCATTTATATAATCATATTAAATTATTTAGAAAGTCAATAATCGATAACCTTTATTAAACATTTTTAGGGGAGAAAAACACACCTTCATTATTGAATGTGTGTTCATATGAGAGAATGATGAACATTTAAAAAACTAAATTCACAAACATTACAACCCAAAAACAAAAGGATTCGATAACATTACAATACAACTCAATGCTTTTCACCTGCTTAGACATGAAACTGAAGCAAACACGCATTGAACGGAAAACGGATATAAAACTTTTACAAATTAAGCTTTCGCAGGGCGGAACTTAATTCATTGAATGATCAAATCACGTCTCCAATAAGAAGACGTAGTCTCAATAATCCTTAGAAAATATCATCACAACTTGATTCATTGAAGACTTCACCAAGCTTAGCTTCCATCCACCCATCTACCCTCTCCTTTGGTTTTGTCACGTCTCTCACTTCTCTGTCTCTCCTTTGACCACTAGGCCCGACAAAGTATATAAAACTTCGAGGAGAGCTTTGTCCAATCACTCCAACCAATCCAACTTCAACCCTTACTGGCACACAGAGCCGGCCTTGAGCCCAAGCAAACCAAATCCATGTTTGCGGCCCTTATTTTTACAGAAAAATTTTTAAAGACAAAACAACCAATTTTTTGAAAAAAAAATATGCAAAACAGCCCATTTTTGCTCTATAGCTTGCGGCTAATGCAAAAAATATGCAGTTCAGGACCGGCTTATCCTCTAAAACCAGGACATCCATTCTTAGTCTTGAACACAATGTAAGCCGAGTAAAGAGTTTTAGGAGATAGGTAATGAGTATGCATCCCGCGGTAGGAATCTCAAACGTTGTAAACTGTACAAGCTCCACTGTTTTTCAAACCTGCATTATTGCAACATCATCATCATAATAATAATCAAAAAGAGTGATTAGTATTAACGGAAAAAAGAAAAAAAAAAGTGCAATGATAGAAATAACGTTAGAAAGATTCTAATTAGATGGAATATCATATGACAGCTTATGGCGTAAACCATATAATAAATGTTAGACCCAACGCCGTGTTTTTGGTCCGGAAACTTATTTGCCTTTGCCTCTTGAGCCAATGCCGTGTTTTTGACACAGACTTGACATGTAATCTATATCAGCATCTTTCTTCATGTAGATGTTGTAGACTCAAAAAAAAGAACGTTTAAAGTCGTATCTGAGGTTGAGGAAAACAAAAAGAATGACTCGATTAATTAAAGTCGCTCTCAAAAATATTTATGAATATACGGACTACCCATCCTTTGCTCCGTGTGATTGATGTTGGGTTTTGAATTTTAGAAAGATTATAACGAACATTTATAATAAAGTAATTGGTTAAGTTAAACTATCTCAGTTACTCTAACCAAAAAAAAGAGGAAAAAAAAATATATCTCAATTAGTCTCTAACTATGGTCTTGTTTGTTTGTGAATATAGTTAAACCATCTCAATTACTTGTTCTTTCCCCCTTTATATCAAAACATAACCGGAAGTCATCTGTACAATAAACCGGTGTTTACATTTTCACCGGCCGGATTTCAATCCCTTGAATAATCAAGCCACTATTCCAATAAGAGTGCTTAAGCTCTCTAATATTAAAACAAAACGAATGACAATCAATTAATCCTCCTCCATTGAAGAATTCCCCAATCTCTATCTCTTTCCACCCATCTTCCCTCTCTTCTAGTTTCATTAGCTGAATCCAGTCCAATATTTTGGTACTTGTAGAAGGTCCTTGTCTACACAACTGATCAAGTCCAACACGTTGGAAGCCATGCAGTCGATTACTTGTCTTGTACACAATGTAAATCGAGTAAAGTGTTCCATGAGATAGCATTCGAGTATTCATCACATCGCGGATATCAAAAGAGCATTCGATGAGAAGCTCTGGTACTTTGAAAAACCTTCACAACACAAAACAGTTCGTGGCGTAGTGTACCGTGCAACATCATGATCAGAACCAGTTCATTTTACAATCAATATTTTTAAAACGGATAATAAAGGACTTAATTAATTACCTAGATTCAGGAGTTGATATCCACTGGCAAAACCGAGGATCATATACATATGTGATGGCAAGTTGCGTTGGAGATAACATGATACACCTTTTCCCACTCGCTTTCTCTAACCAGAAACTCTTTCGTTTTCGAAAGGAAAAAGAAGCTCAAATATTCAGAATATATACATTCAGAAAATATTACAAGTTACAAGTTACAAATTAAAAGTTACACCAATTTTCTCCAAATTTTAATTTTACTTTGTAGACACAATTAACCTTCTAACAGAACTTCAATAAGTTTATACACAAACTGAAATTTAAAGGCGAGAGACAGACCAGTTTTCTCAAATCTTAATTATAAACGATATACAAAATTTATGAATATACATTATATCAAGATATACATATATATATATATATATATTACCTTTTTGCCATGGTCGAAGAGAACAGGATTGTCGCATAATGCGAAATAGAGATCCTTCTTCGATGAGAGATCACGCAACTGAGGAACCAGAGAGGAATAGTAATCCGGTGGAAGAAACTTCTTCCATACGGTATCGGACTTGACCGCCGATTCAAATGTTTTGGAAACCGAAGCAGCGACGCATGCGTCTCGTGGACTTGTCAAGGAGATTATGTTAGAAATGCAATCCTCCGGCAAGTCATCGAACGGTGAAGTCCCGGACACGATCTCTCCTTGGCTTAATTGGCCACTAGATTCAACGCCATGTTTTTGCCCCATCGTTGCCGTTATCAATTATTTGCCTCAGAAGCTTGACACAGAGAGAGAGAGATAAAGGCCAATGACTTTTTTATTACTCTTTTTATGTTTTGAGTCTTTTGACTATTTCTAAAGTCGTCTCTGTTGCTTAACGAATAGAAAATGACTATTAAAATGTTTTTTGTTGTCTCTTAGCACAAAAAAATGTTTGTTATATAAATTTTGGCTTTAAAAAACAAACTGTAACTTTACAATAAAATAAAATCACAAATTATAAAAGAGTGTATAGAAAAATAGGATTTAAAACCCTTGTTACAAAAAAGGCTTTATACGCTAACATTTTTACGCAAACATTAAATTTACAAACTCAATTACGCTAACATTTTGCTTCTTATGTTTTTCCTAAGAGATGTAACAGTTTTTTTTTTTTTCTTTTTTAACTTTACTTCTTAGACACAAATATGACTGTGATGACAAAAACATAACCGGGAAATAATTAAACCGTTCTCCCACGAACCGGTATTGTTATTTTGCTGGCCGGAATTCGATTCCTTGAATGATCAATCCACGCTTCCAATACGGTGACGTAATATCAACAATACTCAGCTCAATTTCATCACAACCCAATGATGATCCTCTTTCATTGAAGAAATCTCCAATCTCTGCCTCTATCCAACCATCTTCTCTCATTTTTGATTTCATGAGCTCCCGGGAGGAAGAAACCATCAAAAAGGGCCCTCCTTCCCCACTTTTTGATTCTGTCACTAGACTCATCGAAGCATATGAACCTTTTATTAGTTGTTTGTCCCAACAAGCCAATTCCAACTTGTATGGGCAAATCACGGAAGCCATGACATCCATTTCTTGTCTTATACACAACGTAAGCCGAGTAACGAGTTCTTGGTGATAGGATTCGAGTATTCATCCATCCACGGATCTCGAAAGCACATACATCAAGAAGCTCTGGTACCTTTCCAAACCTAACATAACACATTTTCAGCCCATCTTCATTATCATCATCTATAAATCTTGTGTGTCATTTGTTTTCTCACTTTTTTTATCATGAGAGTAACAAGTAACAAAAAAGGGAGTTACCTAGATTCAGGAATTGAGATCCATTGCCAATACTGAGGACTACTTCCCCATGTGATCGCGAGTTTCTTCGCTGATAACATGATACACTTCTTCCCACTCGCTTTCTCTAACCAGAAACTCTATATATGATATATGCTCAAAATAAAGAAACTCATTTAGTCAAAAATATTGGATGGCAGCAAACTCAAACAACCAGATATATCCAGATATATATAATATACCTTGTTCGACCCCCAAAAAAATATATATATACTTTTGTCCATCTTCGATTAGAATAGGCTCGTCGCATAAAACGAAATAAAGCACCTTCTTCGACGAGAAAACTTGCAATCCAAGAATAAGAGATGAATACTCTGGTGGAAGAAACTTCTCCCACACGCTATCTGACTCGACCGTCAATCTAAATGTGTTTTTGAAACCGAAGCGACAACGCACGCGTCTCGTGGACTTGTAAGAGAAACTATGTAAGAGACGCAGTCCTCTGGTATGTCATCCAAAAGGCGAAGAGCGGGAAACGATCTCTCCTCTGGTTTCACCGCTAGATTCAATGCCGAGTTTTTGCTCCATTGACAAACCGAAAACACCAAGTTTTTGTCCCCATTGCTGCATCTATCTGTATTATCATCAATGGAAGCTGAGAGATTTCAAGACTTATGTTACATTTCTTCTGACTCGTCCTAAAGTCGATCTCAAAACTTATGTTACATTTCTGACTTCGTTCCCATTTATTTTACGAAAACGCCCTCGTTCCCATCAGTGCGCACGCACGTCTGTCCTCACAGGAACTCCATGTTTTTATTGTTGGTTTGGTTTGCAAAATTATAAACTAACAAACCAATTGAACCGTATGTCACAGACTTAAATTCAGACTATAAATTCAACTTGAAAATTTGGATGGTTGGTCTTGCGTGAATTGATGAGATAAATATATAAAAATTCACAAACATTACATTCCACAAACTTGGTTCCATGTTTCAAAAAAAAAAGGTTGTAAAGAAGCCTCAAACAAATTACTTTGGCAATAAAATTAACCTTCTAACGAAAAGAAACTTTGCTGGTTTTCTGTAGGACGAATTTCAATGCCTTCAATGACCAATCCCTCAATCCAACGGAAATTCGACTTATATTGCGAAGCAGTCACAATAATTTCATCATCACCTCCTGCTTCATTGAAGAATTCCCCAAGCTCAAGCTCCATCCACTCATCTTCTCTCTGCTTTGGTTTCAGCCTTCCGTTATATCCTTCAAAGTTCTCATCTGTAACCGGATCAAAGCATACTAATCTTCTCGAAACAAACGTTCCCATCAAAATGTACGCTTGTATGGTGCAATCCTCAAAGCCACGAAAATGATCCAGTTTCTTGAACACAACGTAAGCCGAGTAAAGAGTTTCTGGAGATAGGATACTAGAATATGTACTGCCATGAATCTCGAACGTTGTTACAATCTCTCCTACTCTTTCAAACCTGCACAACAGAGATAGGGCAACGTTTTTACGCATATGGAATTAATCGAGTCATTATATACAACCGAATTACACGAACATAACAAAAAACGTACCTAGATTCAGGAATTGGATACCATTTCCAATACTCAAGAGAATGTATTAATGATGCATCTTCTTCATATCCGACTGCAAGGTCCAATGCGGATAACATGATACACTTCTTCCCACTTGCTTTCTCTAACCAGAAGCTCTTTAATTTTTGGAAAAGGCTAAAAAGATCAGGAATTCTCAATCGAAACACGAATATAATTAAAAACTTCACAGTTACATCAAATTGCTTCAAAAACAAAAAAGCTTGAATCACATCCTTTTGTAGCCATAATTCTAACGTAACTCGATGATTCTACACGCAAATTGTAATTAGTATACGAGACAGATAATTATAATTAGGAATCCGAACATCAAATATAAGATGAGGCTTGAGGAAATATATGACCAGAACCAATCTATATCTTCACTACCAAATGATTTTAGCTGGAAATTTTATAAACCTAATTAACAATGATTCTCAAATGGCATAAACAAAGTTGATATATATAGTCAGATATACCTTTGAGCCATCTTCGATGAGAAAATGATCACAAAGAGCAAAATAGAGCTCCTTCTTCGATGAGAAAACTCGCGATCCAGGAATCAGAGATGCATAATCCGGCGGCAGAAACTTCTCCCACATAGCATCTGAGTCAACAGCAGATTTAAAGGTTTTCGAAACCAAAGCAGCAACACATGCGTCTCGTGGACTCGTCAAAGAGATAATGTTAGAGATGCATTCCTCCGGCAAGTCCTCGAAAGACGACGCTACAGAGGCCTTCTCTGTTCCGAATTTGGCTCTAGAATCATCATTGCCGTGTTTTGGAAAACCAGAAACTCCTCCTCTGCCTTTGCCTCTAGATTCAACGCTTTGTTTTTTGCCTATCCAGCAACAGTAAGCTTGTATGCCTTTACCTTTGCCGTGTTTTTGCCACATCGCTGCGCTCTATAGATCATGTGTATCTTCTTTTTCCCTCTCAAAGGTTGAAGCTTCAAAGTAGTCTCTGCCGCGTAATATCCCAAAAAAAAAAGAAGAAAGACTCGTGTAAAGCCACCCCCACATAATTACGGAAGTACCCTTCTTTGCATCAATGCTTACCTGAGTTGACTTTGTTCGTCAGAATATTTCCACAAAACCAACTTGTATATGGGCAAATCGGGGAAGCCATGACATCCATTTCTTGTGACTTGTGCACAACGTAACGACTGTAAGATGATTCAAAGAACATACTTTTCACATTTTTCTTATTGATGGATCGGATCATGTGAGAATGATATATATAACATCAAATAAAAATAAAAATTACGTTCACAAACATCACGATATCAAACAACATTAATAATTCGTTTTAAAAGTTTGTTTCTTCTTTTCTTACTCAAAACACAAAAGAGTGATTACAAAAACATATAACCAGAATCCTCCCAAACGATCTTCCATGATGTCATATCGCTTTTACCAGCTTTTTACAGGTCGCTCATGCTACAAGATTATTTTCCACGATTTTATACAACAACGTTTTTAACTTTACTTAGACATTAGACTCATACCAAATCATAACTAGAATCATCAAGCCGTTCTTCCACTGCAGAAAACCGGTTTACATATACCAACATGGAAACATCGGAACTTACCTCTTCACTCAATCGATCAGCGGTAAAATCAAGTAAAAACAAGTGCATCACTTTACTGGCTTTTGGTTGGACGGAATTCAATTCCTTGGATGATCAAGCCACTCTTCCAATGCAGCAACTTAGTCTGTAAAGCACTCATCTCAATTTCATCACTAGACAATCCTCCTCCTACATTGAAAAACTCCCCAAGCTCTACCTCCATCCAACCATCTTCCCTCTCCTCTGGTTTCACTATGTTCCTCCTTCTTTGCCTCCTTCTTATTGGAAGCTGCTCATCCATAGCCGTATCAAAGCATACGAGTCTTCTTCTAGAGGCTGTCACTCCAACTACAGCTTCTATGCCCACATCCTCAAAGCCATTACACTGTTCCGTTTTCTTGAACACAATGTAAGCCGAGTAAAAAGTTCTTGGAGATAGGACTGAGTATTTGTCCTGCCACGGATCTCGAACCAACATACAGCGATAAGTTCAGCAACTCTTTCGAATCTGCATAAGCACAGGGCAAAAGAAATTTAAGCACTCTCATAATAATCCAAACGAAATGAAATGAAGTACCTAGCTTCAGGACATGGAATCCATTGCCAATACTGAGGATTATCTCCCCATGTGATCGAGAGAGTCATCGCTGATACCATGATACACCTCTTCCCACTCGCTTTCTCTAACCAGAAGCTCTTTGATTTTATATAGAAAACACAAAAAAATTCCAAATAATCAGAAATGCTCCTTAAATTTCTGAAATAAGCTTGAATCAAATCCTAGCTACCGTAATTCTCTATACAAAAATTGAAATTCGAAGTCCAGAGGCAGCTCATCATCCTAAAATCTGTACAACAAAGGTGCAAAACCCAATGGATACGCATATATTACCTTTTTGCCATCGTCGATTAGAACAGGATCGTCGCATAAAGCGAAATAGAGCTCCTTCTTCGATGAGAAAACTCGCGATCGAGGAACCAGAGACGCATATTCCGGCGGAACAAACTTATCCCATACAATATCTGACTTGGCCGCCGATTCAAAGGTTTTCGAAACCGACGCGACGACGCAGGCGTCCCGTGGACTCGTGAAGGAGATTATCTTAGAGATACAGTCCTCCGGCAAGTAATCGAAAGGGGAATAATCAGAGACGATCTCTCCGATTTTGCCTCTAGAATCAAACCCGCATTTTCTCCCATCGGTGTCTGTATCATCGTCTTCCTCTGGAAGCTTCAGAGTCGACTCTTCTTAAGTAGTCCTATGAATTTACGAAAATACCCCTCTCTTTAATGAATGCGCGCGTCTTATTCACGCTCTTCGTTGGTTATGGATTTGGTATTGAACAATTCTAAACTAACCCAAAATAAAATTATAAAAGGTCAAGTCAGGTAGGCATTATGGATCAACGGTGGAGATTAATAATTTTATATTATAGTCTGACTAGTTATTCCAGAAAAGTAAAGCTTAAGCTAACACATATATAAAAAATGGATAAAATCAAAAAATGAATAAAAGTGAAAGCTTTCTCTTTCTTTTTGATTTGAATTTCTGAAACAGAAAATAAAAAACTAAATAGTACACGCTTTTTATGTTGAAGCAAACGACACTACAGGAACCTGGAGCCAAGACGTAAATCCGCCGCAAACAACCCAGTTTTTCCGACGGTCTTGGAGCTTCCTCCGCCGTAACGCTGTTGCTTTCTCCACGAAGCTTGTCTAGCGCCGATTAAATTTGCCGTAGGGTGACTTTGTGCTTCTTCTCGTTTCTCTTTACAGGTTGGGATTTGTTTAAACCCTAGCTCTACTTTCTAAGTTTTGTGATCTCTTTTCTAATCTGGTGATTTATGTTTTTCTCGATAGATTGAGAGATCTAAGTGATTTAACTACTTTAGGATTGTTTGCAATTGTTTGATTTTAACTGGATTAGGATTTTCTCCCCCATTTTAGCTGTAATCGGAAATTTCGATGTTCGGAGATTTCGTCCTTCTTATAATTAACTGTACTTCGTCGTTATCGTTTCCTTGTAAATCATTTCCTTATGTGTCGTCGAAGTTGCAAAGTTTTGCTTTGCTATAATTTTTATAAGCTAAGTATCTTTTTGCTTATCTGCCTTCTCCTTTCTAGTTATCCCCAATTTCTATTGATTCTTGATGTCTCTAGGGCTTGTTCTTCCTTCTGTTGATCCACACTTATCCTTAATCCGTCGCGTGTCTAACAGTGGTTGTTCTTGTCTCATGTTCCAGAACAGTGATTGTTCCTGTCTACAAATATTGATTTTGTTCCTCTGATATCGATTTCTTGCTCAATCTATGCTTCACTTTAGGTTCTGAACACAGATGTCAAGTCCATTGAAAGAATCAAAAGACGATAGCTCAGACTCTGCTCGTCACATGAGGGAAGATAATGAATATGTTCGGTTAGTTGTGGCTCATGAAGCTGCTCCGGCTGAAATCATCGTATCCCAATCAGAGATGCGGAGCAAAAACTTGATGTGGTGGTTTAAAGCTTTGGGGATATGTGCACTGACTCTCTTGCTCACACTCTTTTTCGCCAAATGGGGAGTTCCTTTTGTATTCAAAAAGGTCATTTCTTTACTTCATTTCTCAATATCGATCCATATCACAAGCTCGTCTCTTTCGATTGGCGTAATAGTGTAGTTTCGATTTGTAGGTTCTTATTCCAATACTGAGATGGGAAGCAACTGCGTTTGGCCGTCCTACGCTCGCGATTGTCCTTGTCGTGTCCTTGGCTTTGTTCCCTGTGTTCTTGATACCTTCTGGTCCATCCATGTGGTTAGCTGGGATGATTTTTGGTTATGGTCTCGGTTTTGTTATAATCATGGTTGGAACCACCATTGGCATGGTTCTTCCTTACCTAATCGGGCTTATGTTCCGTGAACGCCTCCATGTAAGAAGCCTTTCGTTTCTCCTTTTTTCAAAGTCGTATGATCATTTTTTTCACAAGATCACTTGCTTATGTTTATTACAAAAAATGGCAGCAATGGTTAAAAAGGTGGCCTCGTCAAGCTGCTGTTCTTAGACTAGCTGCAGAAGGAAGCTGGTTCCATCAGTTCAGAGTCGTGGCAATCTTTCGGGTTTCGCCATTTCCTTACACGATTTTCAACTACGCAATCGTCGTGACGAGCATGAGATTCTGGCCTTACTTGTTTGGTTCCATAGCAGGAATGATACCAGAAGCTTTCATCTACATATACAGGTCAGTCTTAAAACATCTCTCCCGGAATTGAAATCATAATCCCTTTTTGAAAAACCTAATTCTAGATTCTGAAATTTTATATGCAGCGGTCGATTGATCAGAACATTTGCTGATGTACAATACGGACATCAACGTTTGACAACAGTGGAGATTGTATACAACGTTATCTCTTTAATCATTGCGATTGTGACTACTGTAGCTTTCACCGTATACGCGAAAAGAGCCTTGAGAGAGCTTCAAAACGCAGAAGCTAACGAAGATGAAGAAGTTCAGGTGAAGAAACAGACGAGATTAGAGATGAAGAACGTTGTTCAACACGAAGATAACCATCGGCGTTTGGGTTCTTCTCATGCATTGCCCTAACTGAAATTTATGTGGGAAGATATGATAATAAAAATGAATAGATTTTGTATAAAGCTTAATGTTGATTTTGTTTCTCAGCAGGAGTAAGAAGTAAATAACAAAAGTGGAATATCCGAATATGTCTAATGTAGTAAACCAGGAAGATTAGTCAAAAGGTTGGATTCTAATAGTGTTTGCTGATTCCAAGTTATCATAATATATATATATTATGAATAAAGTAAATTTTTGATTTTCAGCTCTCTCATTAATTTTGGAGGTGGTTAATTATCATCTTGTCTTTCATTAAAAAGTCTATATTAGCTTTTAACTTGGTTCAAATTAAGTTTAGTTATTAGTTTTTTACTCGGTTCAAATTAAATTTAGTTAAAATTTAATAATCTTAATAAAATATAATCTTATCTTTAAATTAAATATATTTTTAAATAAAAAAATCGACTATAGTTTTTTAAAATCTACCATTTTTTTAATTAAAAAAATTATTAGTTTCTTAATATATATATTTTTTAAAAAGGACCATTATTTTCTATACACCTCAATCATTGTTTTAATTAAAAACAAACTATTACTTTATTAATCTACTTTTTTTATAAAAAAACGACCATAGTTTTCTATATATCTCAATTATTGTTTTAATTAAAAAAAACACCTAAAATCGAAAATTTAAGAGTACCAACACAAAAACCCCTAAACTTTTATATCCACTCACCTCATCTTTAATTAACAATTAATCTCCAATATCTTATTTAAATAGATATATACATGCTAACAGTTATTATCTTTACAAATATCGTTTATGCTTTTTATTTTATAAGTATAAAAAATACGTATAGAACAAAACATGGTCAAAATAAATATTTCACTGATCAATAATATTCTTCTGTTATTTTGTTCTCATTACGTTTTTAGTTTTCTAAACCAAAAACCCTAGCTTGATTTGGCTAAACACGTTTCCGCTTCCTTTCTCATTGTTTTTGCAACTGAATATGATGCCAAAAGGTATAGTTTTCTTTTAACTTTATCTTTGATTATGTTCCGTGCTATTAATCATAATTGAAATCCATTAATATGTGTTCTTTCATAATTATAGGGTTCTGGTTATTTTCCGGTGCATCTTCCTTTACCACAAAATTCCATCTATGATGATGTCAACGTGTCTGACTCGAAGAACAAAAGCAAATTGATATCTTGGATGGAATGCAATCAACTTAATCCAGCGGCAATGACATTGTTATATTCCAACATCCCTTCTAGATGGGTATGGGATCCGAAGCGATGTGAATGGATACCCGGCTCACAGTTTCTCGGAGTTCGGGTGTGCTAGAGGATTGTCCACTTAATTCTGGTGAACTCATTATCTACGCCTTCTATTGATTGTGAGGAGAGGTCCGTTATTTTTAGGATATTAAAACTGTTGATGGTGTTCTTCATTCTATGTTCAAGAGGGTATGCTACACTATGAAGATCTTGACTTCTGGGATCACCCGATGTGTTGTGGAGTCTTGTCCGAGAGAGGTTGATCTTTTGAGATTTCTATTGGATTATGCTAGAGATCCATGCACCTTTGCGGATATTAGGACAGTATTTAGGAATGAAGCAAAGTGGAATCTACATATAGCATGTATTTTTAATGTTTTTTCATTGTACGTTTGGATAAAGAGATTAAGAATAATTGTTGATATCATATTTGGCCAAATTGTTGAAGAGAGAGAGCATATGACTTTTGTAGTCATCTGTTAAATTAGCAGATTTGAAGAGTGATACATTTCTACCCCATATTTGATGAATTCTCTAAGAATCATCCTGTTTCTTGATACATTATTAGAATAGTCAAACATATATCTATCTAGAAATAACTAGCTTTAAAAAAATAAACTTTTAGGCGAGTCGTTCTATAAAATCACTTTAATCTAAATTAAAATAGTTGAAAGTTCCATCACTATAACATAATTAGGAGATTCTAGAAAGAAAGAGGGAAAGAGGGAACGAGATAGATATATATATATATATATATAATTAGAGAGAGAGAAAAAAAATATTAATGGAAACCGATAATGGAATACTTAGATACAAGTTTATATGGCGAGGAAGAAGACAATGATGTGATAAAGAAACATCCGAAGAATAAGAAATACAAAGAAAATGTAAAAATGAGAGGGAACAAGAAGAGGAAGAAGAAATCCGGGAGAAGAAAATGAAGACAAAGCTGAATAAAAAAGAGGCCAAGGAAGAAGAAGATAATAAAGAAGAATAATAACTTTAAGATGACAAAGTAGACAACGAAGGAAAAAATAAAAAGACAATAAAGAAGGAAAATGATGAAGAATAGTGAGAAGAAAAATCAGGAAGAGTGAGAATAGAAAATTATAATTCGGAGAAGACGAAGATGATGGAAAAAAAGAATGATAAGATAATGAAAAGAAAAAAAATAAGATAAAAACAGTCAGAAAAGACAAAAAAGATATGACAAAGACAAAGAAAATAAAAACCGTAAGAAGAATAAAAATGCAGATTAGACCAAGACATCAAAGAAGAAGAAGGAGGAGGAAGGTAAGGATTTGGAGATGATGAATAAAAACTGAAAAAATATGTAGAAGGAATTGAAGATGACAAATGTGATGAATAAGAAGAATAAACTGAATATGATGAAAAGAAGAAAAGAAAAATATGAGGAAGACGATAAAAAAAACTAAAAAAATAAGAAGAAAAAGACGAAGCGGAAGAAGTTGAGGTTGAAGATAAGATGAAGAAGAAACGAAAGAATAATAAGCCAGAGAAGACGAAAACGATCAAAAGAAATTTCGGAAGACGAAGACAATCATATACAAAAAAAAAGAATAGTTGTTGAAAAGGACAAAAAATATAAAGAATAAGTCAAAGTCAAAGACGATTAAGTAGAAGAAGAAACATAAACCAAATATGTTAAAGAAGAAGAAGGAAAAAGCGTGAAATAACCGATTAGAATGACACACATTTATGATAAAATAGAAAGAGTTCTGTTGAGGAAGAGATAAAAAAATAGTCAGAAAAAACCTTCTGTAATTATAAATATACGAGTAAATGCTAATGGTCGAATGTTTAACATTGTTCTTATATTTTGGAAGATTTTTTTTAATAAAGTTAATAATTTAATGATGTAATTATTTTTATAAAATTTTTGTGCCCGCACAAGGTGCGAGCTAATTACCTAGTTGAAATAAAATAAGACCAGCAATGTGTTACTATATTTGTAAATTTTGTTTTTTGTCGGCAAATATTTCTTTTTAATACAAAGCGAGTATTTATGATTGTAAAATATTCCCAAGTTGATTTAAAACGACATCGTTTTGACGGAACTTGTTGTATTTGCCTTGACGCCAAAAAAAAATGTTTTAAGTATTGCCGCGCCAATGACGATTCGTCGTCTCCAATTCGCCACTTCTCTCTTCTCACGATCTGAATAACCAAAACACACCAGTGAAGAACAAATAAAATCATTTCCTCATGGTAACATCTCTTTTTTCTTAATCTAGATTTTCTAATCCACATGGTAGCATTTCATCGCCTTCATTCAATTTCTGGAATCATGTATACTTTTCCGAACGTTGACTTTAAAAAAAAATTATTTCCAGGCGTATTCCGGCGAAGATAAGAAGGAGAAGCTAAAGCTCTACTCTTATTGGAGAAGCTCGTGTGGCCATAGAGTGCGTATAGCCCTCAGTTTAAAAGGTCTCACTATTAATTTGTTTTGCTTCTGGTTCTTCTTCGATCTTCTTTTGGTTGATATATTTATTTATTAATTTTTTGGATTACTTTTGTTGCTCGATTTTTTTTAGGGATTGAATATGAGTATATACCAGTGAACTTGCTCAAGGGAGATCAATTCAATCCAGGTGCGTATATTTCAGTTTTGATTGTTTGTTTTCTTCTCCGATTCAAGTTCAGTGGACACATACCAAAAATAAATAAAAATAATGGACTTGTTTCAAAATTTCCAAACTAATATGCGTACTAGACTGGATTGTGTTTTGTGTCTGTGTATGTATGTGAATGTGTATATTATAATTTTGTATGCGATATGAGGTCTTATGTAGCTGTAGATTAAGTGATGTAGAAAGTAGCCCATCGAATTTTAGGGTTCAGTTCTAAATTCTTTACTATGGAAAAGAACCGAAAACATCTAAAAACGTAAACTAATTGCTTTCGAACAAAAATAAGATTGATTTAGAGAATTTCGTAGTTTCCTCAATAATCACACTCTTAATATACAATATATATACTTTTGATCCTAAAGATTTCATGAAGATCAATCCAATGGGTACTGTACCTGCGCTTGTGGATGGAGAAGTTGTGATCTCTGATTCTTTTGCCATTATAATGGTATGTAAAAAACATCAATTTTAGGTTTATAGTTTTGTAAATTGAAAGAAAATTCTCATCAATCTTGTTTTTTTTTTAAATTGTTATTGGCAGTATCTAGATGAGAAGTATCCTGAGCCACCTTTGTTACCTCGTGACCTCCATAAACGAGCTTTAAATTACCAGGTATTTTCGATCCAAAACCACTAAAAAATGTATACAGATTACGAGTGTAATGGTTCTCTTTTTTTTGGTATAATTTCAGGCTGCAAGCATTATCTCCTCTGGTATACAGCCTCATCAAAATCTAGCTATTATTGTAAGGACATGAGATTGATTTTAATTTCTTGGATAAAACAGAACCATTTATGTTTTTTCGTTCTTCTCGGTACAGAGGTATATCGAGGAAAAGACAAATGCTGAAGAGAAAATAAATTGGATTAATAACGCTATCACTAAAGGATTTACAGGTATGATCGTATCTCTAACATAATCAAGAACCAAGATATATATGTTGTGAAAATTGTCATTAGTTTGAGACTTTGATGTAGTCTTTTCTCATACTCAGTATTACTCTTATATGTCTCGTTTTGTATCTCAGCTTTGGAGAAACTATTGGTGAATTGCGCTGGAAAGTATGCGACTGGTGATCAAGTTTACTTGGTATTTTCTCTAAATCCTCGTAATAGTAACACCACTCATTTTCATGACCAAAAATTAGTAACACTCTCTTCCAAGATATCGATAAAGTATTGCTTTGTTTAAAAAAACCGTTGATTTATTCGCAGGCTGATCTTTTTATAGCGACCCAAATCCACACAGCAGTTATCAAATTCAAGATTGATGTGGTACTAAAACATTTCCCCTTGATTTTTTTTTCTTTTTCAAAACTCTTCTTGGCATAACCGTGGTTTCTTACTTCTAACACTTATGTATGAATTTTTTTCTACAGGAACCGTATCCGACTCTTGCAAAGTGTTACGAGTCATACAACGAACTGTCTGTGTTTCAAGATTCAATCCCCGCGAAACAGCCAGATGCTCCAACTCCAACCAGCTGATTCCGTGAAACTTTTCTCACCTTTTACCACGTTTTCAATCAGTTGTGATGGATATATCGTCACAATGTCTTCAAAATGATCACAATTCTTAACTTTCTTTCGTACAACGAAGTGTCTGTGTTTAAGCACATTAGAACATATGTACTGTTTATTATATTCTGATGATCGTGGTGCACGTTTGCTATTTTTAGCTCTGTTCCTTGCGTTTATCACAGGAAAAATGGGCAATCTTGATCCAACGGTTCTCATTGCTTTAGAGCTTATTCATCTAATGGGCCGAATCTTTGTCGAGCCTGGGCCTTTTGTATGAAAGGCCCAAATATTTCGCATATTCTTTTTTTTTTGTCGTCAATTTCGTATATTCAAAACATTCTTATAGAACCTTTTTTTTTAGTCGTTTCTTATAGAACCTTAAAACTTTGATTAGTTTTAAAATAATAAACAAAACCCATTTTGTTGATTTGCTTTGACGCTAAATGACAAAAAAGACTTGATTTTACATTTGGTATCCAGTGTCGTCTCCGAATTCGCCACTTCTTCTCTGTACTAAACTAAACTAATCGCTTGAATCTGTGTAGAACAATTCATTTCCTTCCTGATCATGGTTAAGCCTCTTTCTCTCTTACTATCGTCATATCAGATCATCGTCTTCCCTCTTTCTCTCTTAAGAATCGTGATAACTCTTCAATATATTTTCTCGATGTGATCAGGCGAATTCCGGCGCAGAGAAGAAGGAGAAGCTTAAGCTCTACTCTTACTGGAGGAGCTCGTGCGCGCATCGTGTCCGTATCGCCCTCGCTTTAAAAGGTCTCGCGGTTGATTTTGCTTTCGCTTCTTACTCATTTTGTGAATATATAGTTTTATGTTTTTTTTTTTCTTTCATCTGAATTGGGTCTTGTTCGATTGTTTTTAGGGCTTGATTATGAGTATATACCAGTGAATTTGCTCAAGGGAGATCAATTCGATCCAGGTGCGTTCTTTACTTGTTTTTGTTTTGGTTTCAAGAAGGTTACAGAGAACTTGATTGAACATTTGCAGAAACTATATTGTAACTGTCTGGATGAGAATGTTAATTGAACTGTATCACTTTTATTTATGTTAACAAGTCTTATGGTTTTGATCCTCAAGATTTCAAGAAGATCAATCCTATGGGTACCGTACCAGCGCTTGTGGATGGAGAAATTGTCATCTCTGATTCTTTTGCCATTATACTGGTCAGTGAAACATCCATTGAGGGTTTTTTTTTTTTTTGTTGGTCTGATTTTACAAGGAACATTTCATCAATTGTGGTTTTTCATTTTTGAATTCGAAGTATCTGGATGAGAAGTATCCTGAGCCGCCTCTGTTACCTCGTGACCTCCATAAACGTGCTGTAAATTACCAGGTATTTTTACATTTGAATCATGCTTTTGTAACATGTGTTGCCATGAACATTACGAGCTTAGATTGTCCTGGTTCCCACGGATGTTTTTTTTTTGTTCTCCTTTTCCATGTAGTGAAATTTTTATGCAGATTGTGAGTAATGGTTCTTCTTGTTGTATATTTCAGGCCGCAAGTATTGTCTTTTCTGGCATACAGCCTCATCAAAATCTAGCTGTTATTGTGAGGACCTGAGTTTGTTGTCAATTTCCTAGATTCTACCATTGTGGGTTCTCTAGATAAAGCAAACATAGTTACGTTTTTCATTTTTTCTTACAGAGGTATATCGAGGAAAAGATAAATGCTGAAGCGAAAACTGCTTGGGTTAAAGATGCTATCACAAAAGGATTTACAGGTGTGAGATCTTTACTCTACCCCTAGTCTGCAACATTCATTGGGATAAGTAATAAGATACAAAGGCGTAAGTCAAGTAATCAAGAAGCAAGACAGTGTTGTCAAAATGTTTTTAGTTGATACTGTCGTTCTGAGTTAAATATATCAATGCTTAATGCCTAACTTTGATGTTTGACGTTTACTGCTATTACCGCCTTATTTGTTCAGCTCTCGAGAAACTGTTGGTGAGCTCTGCTGGAAAGTATGCAACTGGTGATGAAGTTTACTTGGTAATTGCTCTAAATCTTCTAAGATTGGAATTTGGAGAACACCTCAGTGATTCTTTTGTCCCTTTAGAATACTACCCTTTATTACAACCAGTAAGTAGTCAAGTTTTTAAGCCTTGAAACATTATTTTGCAGGCTGATCTCTTTCTAGCACCACAGATCCATGGAGCTGTCAACAGATTCCAGATTAACATGGTAGTTCTTCTTCCAGCACTCAACATTGTTTCAGGCCTAGATTTCTTTTTTTGCTTATTATGTCCCCAAATCCTTGGAATCCTAGATCAGTTTTACCCTCACATCCACACAGATATAAAGATTCTGTTGTAGTTACATAACGAAATCTTCACTCGATTTAATTCTCTTGTATGCATTTGTACAGGAACCATACCCGACTCTTGCAAAGTGTTACGAGTCATACAACGAGCTTCCTGTGTTTCAAAATGCAGTCCCAGAGAAGCAGCCTGATGCTCCTTCCACCATCTGATTCTGTGAACCGTAGTAAGCTACTCTCAGCTCAATTAAAACCTCAGACGACAACAACACAAAGATGATAATAATAATTACCTTGTACTCATATATAGATGTATCATACAAACCACTTTACTTCTTAGTTCCTCTATTTGTATCATACAATAAAGGTCACAGAGTTGTGAATACTCTAAGATATCTTATGCATTCAGAGGAAGCCTTTGTCTTTAAGACTCTGGACTGTCTCCTTAACCGCATCTTCAACCGCAGTAAAAACCATCCCGAGCTCAATCAATCTCTTAGCCGCATCTTTACACGGCGTAAGTCCAGGTTGAGTTTCTTTACCAAACCTGTGAACATCAAACTCAGGGAAGAGTTTGGACACAAGAGCAGCGAACTCACTGAACTGATAAACCCCATTAGTGCATAGAAACCGACCAGAAGCTCCAGGTGTTTCGAATAGCATCACGTGGCTTTTAGCCACATCTCTCACGTGCACTGCACCGAGCCAGTGATGCTCTTGTGTCTCCGTCGAGCCTTGTAAGAGCTGTAGCAAAACGGCACAGCTTGCGTTTAGGCTCGGTTGAAGAAGCGGTCCGAGACACGTTGATGGATGGATCGTGACGATGTTGGTTCCATGCGTCTCCGAGAATTCCCAAGCCGCTTTCTCAGCTAGTGTCTTCGAAATTGGATACCATTTCTACATAAACAAAATTGTTACAAATGTATAAAATTTCCTTAATGGTTTTAAAATCAAAAATTGATGAACCTGCATCGACTTGCAAAAGTTGAGATCAGTCCACGACGACTCATCGACGGGTTTTCCTTCTGGCCAGTTAGGGTTCGGAACCAAGGCTGAGATCGATGACGTGATCACCACGCGTCTCACGTTGAACCTCTTAGCTGCTTCCAACACATTGATCGTTCCCTTAACCGCCGGTTCGACCAGCTCCTTCTCTGGATTTACAGGTGGATCCAACGTACAAGGTGATGCCACGTGGAACACTCCCGCGCAACCATCAATGGCTCTGGAGAATGCGTCCGAGTCTAGGAGATCGGCTTCGAAGATCTTGATCTCGGTGTTAATGTCGTCGGATCCGGGTAGTTTCAGGAGATGGGTCGGGTCGGATCCTGGGTAAATCGAGGCGTGGATTTTGGTATACCCATTCTCAATTAACGTTCGGATTATCCAGGATCCGATAAAACCATTCGCTCCGGTCACACACACTGTCTCCTTCGCCATTGATGATGATTAAGTAAGAGCTTAGTTTCTCTCTTTCTTTGGATTGCATTTTAAGTGGATCAAGCTTCGTATTTATTTACTGAAGATAGGAAAAAAATATCACTTTCCAGTTAAAAAGGATCTTTTGTTTTCTAACTGAGAAAGAAAAAAAAACGATTTTTTTCTTAAAAGATATATGCGTTGATAGAGAAAAACTTATCGTTGACATGATAATTATTATCCACTAGTTATGTAGACTTTTCAAAATTCTGCTAACGAATTAATCCTCTAGTCTATAGATGAAAACCGCCGGAGCGCCGCCGCATAGAGGTGGTTCATCTTCCTCCGCCGCTTACTTTTACGGGTCTTCATCATCTTCCTCCGCTAGCTGTAGAGTTCTCGTTGTGAAGATGGGAGGGAAAAGCAAGAACCATCAATCTACCTCTTCTAAGGTCTACTCACGATTCACATTTATGTAAAGGTTTCGTCTTTGAGACCCAAAAATTTAACTTTTCCCCGGAAAATTGAGAATTTTACAACCCACTACCTAACGTTGAGGTTTATAGATTTTAATGAGTTCTGAAATCCTCAATCATTTTAAACAATTTGGTTCCTCTTAGATCTCTATTGTTGGAGTTATGAATATGATGGATGTCCATTGAGCATTTTGCAGACCATAGTTCATAGATTTGTATGAATTTTGAAATTGTTAATCCTTTTTTGTAGTTTTTGATCGATTTGGTTCCTTTTGAGATCTCTATTATTGGAGTTATGGATATGATGAATGTCCATTGAGCATTTTGCAAACATTGATCTGCTTTTGTTTTTTCATAGCAGGATTCAGATCCAGAACCACCAAGAATCAAATCGAATGTGAAGCATAACTTGCAGCTTCTCAAGTTATGGAAGGCATGTAGTAGTCTGATCTTTTTCTCCCTAACAATATATATCTAACCAATTTGAGTCCATTGAATGTGTCTCTAATCCTTGGAATGTTATGGTATATGTAGGAGTTTCAGAACAGAGGATCTGGCACGGCTAAGCCAGCAACTAGTTACAGGAAAAAGAAAGCAGAAAAAGACGAGTTACCGGATGATAGCGAGCTATACCGTGATCCTACCAATACCCTTTACTAGTAATTACTCTGTTAATATTCTCATTTTCATTATCTTCATTGTTGGTTCAAGAATGGTTTTTTGAGATTTGAAAGTTTAAGGAATGTTTGTGTTTATCCTGAAAGCGGTTTTACAGCACGAATCAGGGTCTGTTGGACGATGCAGTTCCGGTTTTGCTTGTTGATGGTTATAATGTGTGTGGATATTGGATGAAGCTAAAAAAGCATTTCATGAAGGGTAGGCTTGACGTTGCTCGCCAGAAGTTAGTTGATGAACTTGTGTCCTTCAGTATGGTTAAAGGTACAACCTTTCGAAAAATCTAGAACTGATTTCATCCGTCAATGATTCATTTCGCTATGCTAAAGATTGATTTGAAGTTTATTTGGTGTAGAGGTTAAGGTAGTGGTTGTGTTTGATGCTCTCATGTCTGGTCTCCCTACTCACAAGGAAGACTTTGCTGGGTAAAGTAAATCTGCTTCTTTTTCTTTTTTTTTCTTGCTTTCTTGTGTTTAACAGTTGTTTTCAATATCTTTCTCTACTTGAAAATTCAAAAAGGTTCTCTCTTTTCCAGTGTTGACATTATTTTCTCAGGAGAAACTTGCGCTGACTCTTGGATTGAAAAGGAGGCAAGTAAAAATGATCTCTTAACACCAAAGATAGTTCCAATTAATGGGTTTTCTAGAATCATCACCGATGTTTCTTAGATTCTGATAAGATTCATGATATGGACAGGTGGTTGCATTGAGAGACGATGGATGCCCCAAAGTTTGGGTTGTAACATCTGATGTATGTCAACAACAAGCAGCACATGGAGCGGTATTGCGCACATCTTGACAATGTTATAAACTCTCATATCTTGTTCTTGATTTGTAACTCGTTCTTTACAGGGAGCTTATGTTTGGAGTAGCAAGGCATTGGTTTCTGAGGTAAGATCCATAAAGGAAGTCCTCTTTTTTAGGTGATTCGCTTTCGACTTTTCATGTGATCTTGTGAAACATTGTATTGTAGATCAAATCAATGCATAAGGAGGTTGAGAGAATGATGCTAGAAACAAGGTTACATTGGTTTTTTGAGTTCTGTAATTGGCGCCGTTTTCAAACTCTGCATTTGAACAAAAAAAAAAAATCAGAAAACTCTGCTCTACTTTTTGTTACACAGGTCAACATCTTTCCAAGGGAGATTGCTGAAACACAATCTTGATTCTGAAGTCGTCGATGCTCTTAAAGATCTAAGAGACAAATTATCAGATAACGAATCAAAGAGATGACAAAGACCAATCCGGATTATATCTAGGCCCGGTCTCTCCATTTTAACTTCTGTCCCAAGTAAGCTAATCTGACTTATGAAGCAGATGTTGGCAGGAAATGAGAGAGAGCTCAAGAGATATGTTGTTGTGTCTTGTATCTGAATTTTTTTTTTAACTAATCTGTAGATTCGTTTTCTTTGGTCCAAACATTGGTTTTGAGGTGTACAGATCATTTGTGAAATCAAAATTCTGAATTTTATATTAAACAAAACCCTTTTTTCATAAATAAAAGACAAAAGTTTGACAAGGAAGAATCATGGGAATTTCAAACAGAACTACCACATCAATCTCAAACTTTTACTCCATACGTGTCTTCCTTCATTTTCTTGAGTTTGTGTCGGTTTTTGAACTCATTGATGAACTTATTCGCATTGATAAACTTCAGTATATTCGTTTCCTCAAGTCGAGGTACTCCTAGTCAAGGAATTTTGCTAAGTTTCTAAACTGAGTCTTGATGTCTATTGTGATTCAGACTGGGTTGGCTTGTCCTCAAACTCATCGTTCTTTGACAGGTTATGTGGTTATACTTGGAGATTTCCCTGTTTCCTGAAATAACCAAAATGCAATCTACTGTTTCTCGTTCTTTCGCAGAAGCTGAGTATTGTGCCATGTCATTTACATATTCCAAGATACAGTGGCTTCAGGAATTCATTCAAGCGATTAGAAGTTGGTTCCAAAGAACAAAGGCACATCACACATGTAAACCTTCAAGCACATCACAATTATCGTCATATAATAACTACAAAATGGTGGATTAATGGGTCAAAATGAAAAAGCTACTCAACAGGAGATTTTAAGTAGTTACTCAAAGACCACCGGCCTCACGTTAACTGGAAGAACGAATTTGGTTTTTTTTTTTTAATCAGTTTTACAATTTTGGTTTTTTTTTCAAGGAGAATAACTTATAGGATACAACAGAATACCAGATACTTATGTTATCTATAATCTTATATATAAAACTTGGCCAACTCTCTCCAGTTGAGTGACACATCAGCGCTGGAGAGAGCGCCACCTGTCATCTTCAAACATTAATAAAATAAATAATTAATTATATTTAAAGCAAACAAATTAAAACACATTAAAAATATTAAAACATTTTAAATTACATTAAAACACATTAAAGCACGTTAATAGATATTAATATATATTTATATTAGAATGAAATTCAAATTTAATTTAAACATATACAAACGTATAAATATTATATAATACAAGACTTTTTAAATGCACAACTCTATTTTTTTAAAATGTTTTAAAATTTATTTATAAACTAAAAAAATTAATTAATTTTTAATGCAAGTGAAAACAAATTATGAAACTAAATAACTCAAATAATATTATATAAAAATTCAACTAATAAAATTATAAAATACAAATCATATTTAATAAATGATTAAAAAGATAAAAGTTATTGAAAAAGTAATAGTAAAAAGAAAGGTATCCACATAAAAATGTCATCTATGATTTTTTTAAATAATAAAAAAGATAGAATCAATAAAATATATATAACCAAAAAAAATTCAAATGATAAATTAAGAAATTAATAAGTATTATATTAGTAATTTATAAGAATAAAAAGAATATAAAGATCGAAGAAAAAATGAAACTATTTAATACAACTGGTGTAAAAAAGATTACATATAATGTATCGTCAAGAAGAAATCGAAGAAAATATAAATATTTTAGAAAAAAATATATTAATAAGCAAACATAAAATTCAATAAAAAAATATTTAAAATATATAAATTAAAATAAGATCCGCGCATACGCGCAGGTTCTCTCCTAGTAATAGTTAAAATTTACTCAGTCCAAAAATTTACTATACTCAGGCTATAAAAGATAACTCCGGATCGAATAATAAGTTCATTAATCCTTTTAAGTTTTGACACATTAAAGAAGAAATACATAAAAATCTATAAAAAAAAAGTCCTTGTTATCCAGTTTTCGTTTGCATCCATCATTTTCCCTCGTTGACCTTCACAAGAAGATAAAAAAAGATCCGTGAGAGATAATTTCAATAATGCACAAAAATACATGAATCTATAGACTATAGACTATATAATACACAGAGTAACACAGACAAAACTTGAAATTGTCGTTTAGAACCCATTGACTTTCTATGAAGAAACTTCCATAAAAACACGTGTACAGACAAAGTTACACACACGCATATAAATATGACAGAGCAGAAGATGGATGTACTGAACAAGTGACGATAAACAGAGAATAATAGATCCCATTAAACATCAAAACATTACAGAAATAATTTTAAAAATTCAAGAAAATAAGAAACTATTGGTAATAATAACTCAAGTCAACGGAAGAAACAGACGAAGAGATTCACGAGATATCCGCCTTCTCATTTAATCTTTTTTGTCCTTAAAAGAGACATTTCTTTATTTCAGTACACTTCATGGCCCGACTTCTCCGACCACGTTGTCCTAATAATACCATGTCACTTGAATGGTTCTAACAAAACTTATTTGCTCCGTTCAAAATTTTAAAAATATCATAATAATTTGAGCAAGTTCAACCATCCATGGAAACAAATTTCATCTGTGAAGAAATGAAAACCTAAAGATTATTACTTGTATTAGGTTTTGATTAATGAGTGTCTTCTCCATTTTTTTTTTTTTTGATAAAATGTCTTTTCCATCATTCATAAAAATAAATAAATAAACTTTCCGTAAGGCCGGCTCGAATTATTAGTTTGGCAAATGAAAAACTCAGGTTACTAATCAGATCGAATTCGTCGCACAAAATGTCATGCCTTTTTCAAGATATTTATATAGCAATATGCTTATTTGTATTGATTCTTCTGAAAACCACTGAATATAATAAGGTCCCCTACTGCATGATTCTTGGAGAAGGATAATATCCAGATTAGATAAATATATAAAAAAATACTCAACGAGGAATTGGTTTGTTGTTAATAAAATAAGAACACATTCTAGTATTATTCTAAAGTAGTGTGATTAAAAAAGTCAGAGAGTCAACGGACTGTCAGAGTCGTGTCCTGGGTCCGTCTAGTCAGAGAGTCAAGCATTTTGTAGCTTGACCCATTCTCATTTAATCCGACGGTGCTTGTGGGCCTCTTGTCTTTTCTATCGTCCGATCGTGGTCCTCCCACGTCATTTCTCCATTTCCCTGACGTCACGCACACATTCTCGTGTTCTTCGCATCATCAAACTGATAGTCTATAGTATTTCATTTTTTTTTTTAGAATATGCAGCTTCTAGATAGATTTTTATATATATAGAGAGCATAAATGTTGAGTTTTAAAAAAAAAAAAAAATTCAACAAACTGAACAAAGTCGTCTGAGTATATAATCTAAGGGATAATTAAACAACAAGTGAGATTTTTTTTGAAAGAAAAATAAACTCCAAATAGTTTAGTCTCTGACATGCTATATTAGAATCCCGAAGAAAGGAAGGCAGAATATCCCTTTCAAAAAGTCAGGAAGATTTAAGACCGATGCCAAATGTGTATACATATCGACTTATATAGACATCATCAGATCGAAAATCTTTTGCTTCTTCATATATAAATATAAATATAACACATTTGCACCATTTTTGTGAGGAAATTTTAAAAAGGTATGCATGTATACGTGGGTGGACTTAGGCGCGATATTAGGTGTGGCAAAGGGCAAGTGCTACATACAAAAGTTTAAATAGTTTAGTTTTTAATGATTTTATAAAAAGTCCAGAAGTCAAATAGTTCAAAACCAACTATGACTATTATTTTTGTTATTTAATATTATATAATGTTCCAAGTCATAATATTTTCTAGATCCGTCCTGCATATAGACATGTGAATGATAATAAGCAATAATGTAAACCTACCGAACTTTATAGCACGTCACAGATTTAGAATTTAACCGTGTCATATTAAGACCATCAAATATACTTTCTCTTTTTCACGCGAGTTCATGCAATTATATAGTTTTTTTGTTAGAAATATTTAATATAGATGTTATGTTTTTTATTTTTATTTTTTTTGTATTGGTGTAGAGGTTATAAGGTAGTGGTTGTGTTTGGTCTCCCTCCTCACAGGGAAGACAATGCTGGGTAAAGTAAATCGGCTTTTTTCGTAACCGTTATTTCAATATCTTTCTCTACATATGTACTTACGAAGATCAATAATTGCAATCTCTAACGTTCAATAATATGGACTCTCAAGCTCAAGAATCTCTCCACAAGTGCATGCTGCTGGTTGGTCCAAACGAATTCTTGAGGACATGAAGATTCGATATAACGACATATATAAAAAATATCGTCAGTTATCAATATTATTCTTATTTTGAAATAAAACATAAATTGAAGGACTAGATGTAGTAGGAGCGATGGCCAAAGGTCATATTCATGCATTAAGTTTTTTTGTCCCCACAGTTAAATTAAAAAAAGTTAGAATTTGTAATTTTGTGTAAAAGAAGACAAATGATTCTACGATAAACTTGTGGCTGCATTATTGGTTGGGCGGTCCATACAACACACACAAGATAGATACAAAACTGAACACCGGTCTTATTCTTCCATGCAATTTGGTCGGTTTTCTTCTATGGCCACCTCTCAAAACCCGGATATTAAAAAAAAAAAAAAATCAGGCCAGACCATGCATTTTTATGTTTTATAAATGTAATATATTCTTTCGTCGTTAATTTACTTATTCTTATCATTCTTTAAATAATTCATTTTCTATGCTAAAATCATATCTAAAATTAAGATTAAACAAGAAAGTCCCATCTTTCGTCTGGATGTGGCCCGATCATGACTCGATCGAGCGCTTCTTCTCTGATTGATGTACTTGATGGTGCTGCTTGAAACTGCCTGGCTTGATCGTGCTGTGAGCTGGCTTTATTGAGCTATAACTGGCCTAATAAAACAAAAGTTTCACCACTTTCGTTTATTTGAATGATATTTTATCAGCAAAATCCAGTATATAAACACTGACGTTAATATATTATCGCTATTTTGTATGTCCAGTTTATACCTTAAATTTACTTGTTCTCCTACAATTTTCTAACAAGTTGCAAATATCTTATCAATCATGTACAATGCCATAGCATTCATAGGCCGGCTCATCATGTTATAAGACGTTTGAATCATACTTATAAAATATAGTTTTTTTTGGTCAATTTGCATTTACATGTATATAATTTTTTCATGGCTGTAAAAATTCAAGAAAAATATTTTCTAAACTCTTTTCAT